TGTTTTATTTTCGTTCCCTGCGCAATTTTCGGGTTTTCGTGGTTAATACATTAAATATTTCGCAGAGTCTACATATAAACCTGAAATGACTGGCTTGGGAAATATTTAATGGTTCATAAATATTTTATCATACAAACTATGAATTTCATTTGGCATTCCCAGGGAAACTAATTTTTCAGCAAACTGCCAACAGTCATTAGCTGGAGACGCTCTAATAAGCACAAGCCAAACAATGCACACTAAACAATGTCTTAAATTCGTTTAAAAAATTAAATTTAAATTTAAGCTTTGATCAATAAATAAAGTACAAGTAGATACTTTTGATTTTGTTACAAAGAATTAATATTTTTAGGATAAACTCTGACTTAATCTAATAAGTTAACCCACTGTACCCAACTGTCATGCCCAAAAATGTTAATAAAATCATAATTAGTCGGCAAGAAGCTAGCTCTCCTAGATGGACACGCAAACATTTCACCCAAATGAAACCCGCTGAGGACAAACAAGCCCAAGACCCTCTACCAAAATCACTAATAATAAATGGTGGAGAGAAATTGCCTACATTATTGTATTGTCTTGTATTAGTTAGTTTTAATTATAATTCTGTGAAGGGAAATTGCATGGCATGTGGCCACGAATGGCGCCACTTTGACGTCTTCGACTTGGAGGACTTTGACAGACCTCCATATGAAACCTCCTCCCACAGCTACGTGCCCCGAATGGGGAATAAAGTTGCCAAAGATCCGAACGGTTTCAGGCGTAACTAATTACAAAAACATGGCCACAGGAAAGATGCCAAATAAATACTAATTGGTGGCTAACTCGATTGTTAGCTCTAAACTATTCTGTAAAAATGAATAATCGTGTTATGCTAAGCATTTGTGACAGACTTGGTTTAGGGGCTGCTTAATATGCAAATGATTTCTCTTCTATTTTTAACAACAGCGAAGCTCGATCATCGTTTGAGATAAAGCCGATAACCTGCCGAAAGGGCGTGGAACAAATTGAAATGTTTTATGGAAACTATGGTATCGCGATTCACACGCTTAAAATACACGCTTAGAGTAAATAAAATAAGAAATACGAAAAATTTTAATACAATTTAATTTGCTACCATTTCTTTAGTGCCCCTTGCCAGTTAACATTCACATTTTCATTTCGCGTAATTGCAGAGCCACCTGAGCCACAAAAAACCATCGAAGAGGGTCCCCGAATCGGGGTCGCACGACCAGCTCCTCCCTTTGCTGACTGAGCATGTCCATCCAATAGAGCACCTTGGGTATAATTAGACCTGAAAGCATATTTGTCAAGTTTCGGTTACAGTGTGGGGATCTGGGGATCGTCGTCCAGATCAACAGGATGAGATATGTTAATGACAAAAGAGTGGTCTGTAACTTTTTGGCTTGGGGAGTCTTTTGCGACAAACTCTGGGGGAGAGGAAAGGAGTTCCAAATTGAATTTCAGACAACTTAGTACTTCGAACATTTAGTGATTCCTAAGATACAGCAAACTCCTTTGATTTCCCACATTAAAAAAAGCAAAATGTTTGAAATCTCCAACAGGTTAATTGATTTTTTTACGATATTGAAAAAAAAAATGAAAACCAAACAAAGAAAAGGATTAACACTAAAAAGTCGATCATCCAAATACTTTAAAACGAAAAGTAATTGAATTTGTTTTGAAAGCCTTGATACAAATCTTATATACTAATAAACCAATTGTAGTTACTTAACAATCTTTAGTTTTATGTTTGAGTAAGTTTGTAGTGTATATGTCGATACCCCTAATACTCTTTAAAAAACCAACGTGACCACAACTAATCCAATAATGAACACATATCAATAAACTCACAGCGCTGCTGTGGAGAAGTGACTCGGCCTGGCTTTCAAAAACACTAATCACGAGCTTCCAAGATGCCCCGAGCAGGCAACAATTTGTGCAAAAAATAAACGTAGAAAAACAAACAGATCGCAGCATGTTGCCTGACAGGAGTAGCAGGAACAAAAAGCCACCAACAGCAGAAATAATTAAAAGAAAAAAGTTTAATTGATGCATTAAAGCTGGTAACGTGTTTTCCACTCCCGGGTTCCCGTGCAAGTTTTTGTTTTTTTTTTAACCTCCTCATCGACTTTCTGTTGGCAAGCTCTGTCTGCACTATTTTTAAATGACTAGGACCTCAACCTGAAGCAACCTGCGAATCAGGTTGAGGAGCAGATCTCATTATGTGAGTCCACTAGTCGTGGCATGTTGTTTCAAATATTTACATTAAAATAGTTTGCATTGCCTTGGCGAATATTCCTGCTGGGCGGCAGATCAGTTGGGTTTTATCTGAACATTTCTGAAATACTGATTTCCTTCCATAAAAACAAATGACTTAGGAAACGAACTTTTCTTGAGGGTAAATGATTTTTTGTTTGACAAAAAAATTATTGACTTGAAAAGCGACCTCTAAAAAAGTCTATATAAAACAAAAAAAATTAAATACGAAAATCACTGCATTAGGAGAGGATCTTAGAACTCAGATACCTTAAAGTTCTTTAATTTTCGCTGACGTAGACAACAGCCGCCTAAAAAACATTGAAAGGACATCTGCCACTCGAGTAAAAAGTTCCTTTATTCTATCCATTATGCGGAGTCTGACTTTGTCTAAGATAAATTGAATTAGAGACGCCAAACGCGCACATTCATCATCCATCCGGCCGTGGGGATGGGGACACATGATAGATAGTCGCTGGAGGGATGCGCAGGGACCATAAAAAAGCCGAAGACACGGCGAAACCGGGGCCGTACCCTCGCAGACAAATAGTAGGAGTAGACATTTTAATTTCCCAAAAATAGACTGCCAGATGAATGGAATCCCACTGCGTACCTAGCCTTCTTTTCTTTTCTGATCTTCTGTTGTTCTTAAGTGGCAGGGAAACTAGAGCAGCCTGCGATCCCTTCCTTTTTTTATTTTGTAAGGATGATGAGCTAAATGTAGAAGTCTAAGCCGCTCAGATGCGTAGGCAGAGTCTGAAAGGAGTGGAACTTGAATTTCCCCTTTTTTGTGGCTCGCTTTTGAAGAAAATCTAATCCTTTTGCTTATTTTTTCAAGGTGTGGCCACGCAATCTGCCCTGTGTTCTTCATTGTCCGTGGAACATCTTGGCCGGCTTAGATTGCTGGGGAAAGGATTCGAGTCAGGCTTCTTGCGGCTTATTAGTTGCGCTGGATTAAATCAAAAGAAGGGATTTGGAATGAGTTTCTTGGGTTGTGCCCGCTGCTCATATGGAAGCAGCTGCAAAAGGATTAACTTTCTAAGGTTTTTTGTTTAGAGAAAAAGTTTCTGGCAACACAGAGCACTGCTCTTAGATATACTACTAACTAGCCAGGTTAACTTTATCCAACTTATTAAACGACGCCAGTAAGACAGGCTAACCTGCAGCCGGCTTTTCAACAATTTTCTTTTCCTGCATCAACCACACTGGCCAGTGCAAGGCAGACGACAACGATTGCAATGCTGTTTGTGATTTTTAATTGAGTAAAGAACTGGAATTAAAGGACTCATCATGACACCGAAACTGCGGTTACTCTTTATATTAAAATAAAATAACAATTATTTATTATTAACTTATATTTAACATAGCTAATGTATTTAGTTAAGAATTTCATTTAACAATGTGAAGAGTTTACAAAACATCCATCTAGGGTGTCCATTGATAGGCTCTGGACTTTATGCCATGGGCCGCTAATTAATAAACGCACTGGTCCGCAGAGTGGTTGATGGGGGGCGGAGAAAAAGGAAGCCCGACTGGCTGCCCGACGCCGCCGCAGATGCCACTTGGCATAAATGCACACTTTTAGCATTTCTCGGATTCTCCAACTGCAGTGAGTACGAAAGAATCGTGCAGCTTTATGACAGTTCGCCAATGTCGCCAACTGGCCGCCGGCGACTCTAAAAAGCAGAAAAAAATAGCCACCGAAAGGAAAACAAGTTGCAGTTGGAATATTAAGAATTGTCATATTGAAAAGTCAAAGATGCCACGAGAGTCAATGCCAAGTTATAGAAAATCCGGTCTTAAGAAGTTCACGAAGACGTTATACTCTAATAGTGATTTAAAATTAAGTCAAATTTTCCAGAGACAAAAGGCAAAGAATACCTTAATTATTTGAGCATGTTTAAGAAATTTTAACAGAGCGTGTCTTACAAAATATAAATATTTTAAAATTTGTAACCCTTTTTTTTATTAATCAGTGCTGCCAACAATCAGTGCCATTATAGAGTATAGACTCAAATCCAGTCGAGCAAGTTCTGCCTGTTGGTATCTGTGTTGATTTTAGTATTTTTGAGTTATTGTTTGGCACAGAAGCGTGTCCTGTTTAATTTATAAGTCGGCTACCTTAACATAATTCCACCGTTATAAAAGAGTTTGTAAAATTTTAATAGAGAACATAAATGTCTGGCCAAGGAAATCTTTTGTACCGGGAATCGTGCTGCGTAACTAATTGCCCAAATATGACAATGATTTCACCACTCTTTCTCACCGAGGTTTTCTCATTTTGGTTAATTTAATTACGACTTTTATTTGGTTGGGCCGGATGGTTGCGCTAATTTCAGTTTCTCTCCTAGTGTTGATTACAACAGAAACAAATTTTAAGAAATTTTTATTACACCTCTCATTTGTAGGTGCTTTTGTTTCACGGTCTTCAATTATTTAGACGACTGATGCGTGAAGTTCTACCAAAAGTCTGGTACTACAAACTGGAAAAGGCCTAATGCGACAAGTGTCAACGGAAATGCTTTAACAGTTTTACAAGTTCATTAATTTATGATTACAACTGCCATAAAAAAGGAAGTTTCAATTTGAGTCGTTGATCATATGTATTCTGATGAATGATAACGTGGATTTTTGAACTGAAATTTAAGTAAATCCTAGCCACTTTTATGAAGTACCAATAATGGTCTATTAATGGTCTCTAATGGTCTATCGAGAAACTATTTTCTTTAGGATATTTTCCATCTTTATTAAACAATTTATAAAACTATTTTTTATTAACAAAATCTTGTTCTTTATTTCTTATTTTTCTTCAGGTCCAGTGGTTCCTTGAGAAGGACTTGGGGCTCGACTTGTGGCGGGACTACTGCCAGGAGGCGTGGCATCCGGACTACGACCCAAAGGAACGAGCAGCGGTCCCATGGGTCGACGGGCCCGAGGTGCTCCACGGGTGCCTCGGCTGATGGGTGTGGCAGTCTTGGAGCGGGGTCTTCCCGGTCCCCGCTTGGCAGCCATTCCAGGAGACTGTCCAGCAGGAGCAGGACTTACGCCGGGTGTGAAATCAGCTGAAATGAATAAAGATACATTATATTTTTTAAAACTTTTTTGTGCATTCCATTAGTTGAATGAAAAAGGGACTCTGGATATTGAATAAAGGATTGGCTACTTTCGTAGTAATTCCCTTGACATTTGCCTCCGCACGTTTGGACGAATCCTGGCTGTGGCAATGTGTGCAATTGTGGTTTTTTAATTGCCAAAAGTCCCCGGCACATTTAAGCCCAACTCCTCCTGGCCAAGTGTAATTTATGCAACGTTGCGTATTTGCCATTGCGATTATGTCTCCATTTTCGGACAACAGCAACGGAACGTGTTCCTGTCACGTGTTCCCCCTCGCTCCGCATCAGAAGTCTGGGATTTTAAGCGGATTTATTCAATTATCATTTGTCGTGAGCCCGAAAATACAACTGAAAATTGCCACATTGTTGCAGTCTTATGTGTCCTTTAAATCGAATTTGTTTGACTTTAAAATCGTTGAATACCCCATGTAACAGATGCGAATTACTTTTGAAAATTACGAATCACATTGGCGGCAGTCTGCTTGTAGTTACGTGTTCTTGGAAGTAGCCCAGGCATTAGGAATGACATTTTACGTATAAATTAGTGCCAATTTCCCCCCAAAACCAATTCAATTAACAGCAATGTGGAATGCGACACGAGGGGGAAAGATAATGCAGCCAGATGCAAATCTTTGAACAAATATTTGGCTTGACTTGCCGTCGCCTGAAAGGGGAGCACCCCAAGGGGTGTTTTATCTGAAAGTATTTTTCAGTGGAGAAATATTGAAAATGTTTGTTTAATTCCAAAACGCCGGGTACTGCGTTAAAATTGTCACGTACCACAAAGTGGCGGCATTATTCCTGCGGGCTGTAATCGAGACATTTAAAAAAAAAATGTGAATGCCACGAAGGGGGGCACTACCGGTAGATCAACCACAAAGTAAGGCAAAGATAATACCATGAATATGGGGAGAAAAGGAGTGATTACCAAAAAACAAAAAAAATACTTGTTCCGGAAAAGGCAGCGATAAACGTGATTATGACAAGCGATTAGCGACAAGTGACACTCGGCTCAACAGGAGGGGGAAATCCTTTCGGAGGGTTAGTTCTTACAAAGGGATGAGTTGGCAGGCGATACCAAGTAGCTTTTACAGAGAAAATAATATAAAATAGAAAAATTTAAAATAGGACAGATTCTTCCTTTTGAAACTAAAGATCAGCAAGGAAAGCTTCTTCAGTTTTTTCCAATTTCTTTAAAATTTTATCACAAATAGGGGTATTTTTTTGTACCAGTGTACTAACCTTCTTCGCCGGCGTTCTCGCCACCGCCGCTTACTTCCTGTTGTGGCAGGGGTGAAGACGCTACCGCTACCGCTCCGGTTCCCGCTTCTGCTGGCGCTGGCGTAGCTGCTACCGCTCCCGGTACCGATACCGATCCCGCTCCGGTCTGCGTCGGCGTTAGCACGCGCTGCATCGAGCCGTGTCCGCCGCCCCGCCGCGTGCTGCCCCTGGGACGACCGCGCTTGGTGCCGCGCGGGTGGTGACGTCGCCGCATCGGCGAAATGCCGCTCAGGTCGCCGAGGAAGTCTGCAAACGGAAATTTATAGGTGAGTCGTTATTGATTAATTGCGGTTAGTGCCGAGGCCGAATCCAGAAACATCTGGCCCAATATATAAACCCAAAAAACAAACATTAAAATTGGAGTTTCGTTACATTTGCCACAATTTTATGGCCAACCGACAACCTAAATGGCTAATTAATGGGGATGGTCTGGATGGGTTTCGGCCGGCTGGCAGTCGTGGATCCCTTCTTGGGTTTCCTGTGGCAGAGATCTCCATTTCGAGCACCCACTAGCCAGCAATCCACCGGCACACCATCGTTATTTGTGCCATGACCATATTGGTGCACTTAACGTGTTACTTTTTATGCCCCAGAGACAATGGCAACTGAAAACTAGTTCCTCGCCAAGACCAACCCAAATGCCAAAGCAAAAATATGCGAATTTAGATATTTCCATATTGTAATGCTTAACCCTTAGATAAGCTATGGGGTTTCATACTTTTCTCCTATGTTTTTCCTTATATTTATCTTTATATAGTTGACCAAAAGTTTAGCTATGAGCACATGGGTTAAACCTTTTCATTTCACTCAGTTATATGTCACTGACTTTAGCTTAACTGTAAATTGCATAAATAAAAACCGAGACTTCCACCAACAAACAATAAACAAGAGCCAGTTAAAAAAAGTTGCAATCAGCGGGCAGACGAACATTGTCAGACAACAATGTTGCTGTTCTACTGGTTCCATTTCTGCAGTTAGTTGTTTGGTATCTTGTCTGGTGTTTGGCGACACTGCCTGGCGCTTGGCTATTTTGGTATGCAGTACAACACACAAGTGCAGCCAGCCTCCGGCCATCGGATGATCAATGATCATCACCGCATCCCAATGCGATACCAAACTCATGATCGACATTGTCTAGTCAGTACAGTGATCATCACCATCGGCAGACGCCAGAGAAATTGTTACTAAGATACCTACCTACCTATAGGGAGTTCTTAAACTCTTCAATTTCATGTAAAACTAGCTATACTATTACATGCCCGAAAAATCAACTACAACAAGCTTTGCTATTGAACTGAACTTTGATTTTCAGCCATAAGTTTTATCAATAACATTCAATCCAAGGCAATTCACACAGCCCGAAGAGGTTTCTTGGCTTTTCGGCAATTTGTTCTTGTTTTGTAGCTGCCTTTGGCATGTATTTCGGTCAAACGTCGCGGCATTGCAGCAAAACATCAAACCCGAACAAAAGTTTCGCTTTTTAGCATATTTAAGCTGTCAGCGAGGGGAGGATACGGGTGGGGAAATTCCAAAGTCAATTGAAATGTTTGAATTTATATAGGTTAGGTTAGGTAGTGGGCTTAAGAATAAATAATAAAATATTACAAAGATTTCTAGACAGGTTAAATTTCTATAAAGCCTATAAGACCCTTCTCAACCCACTAGTACTTATCCAAAAATCCTTTCCTCAAACCATTGATTAACCTATTGTATAGGCCCTTTACCATCAATAATACGTACTCCCTTTGCTCTAGTTGCATTTATGATTGTAATAAATATTTCGCTTTTGCCTGAATTGCTGCTGTTTGTCGGGTAACATTCACTTTGGGCTTGGAACCTGGGGCTTGGGGCACATTCATATTGCCAATTGGCACGAAAGGCCGCAGATATATAACTGCAAGCAACAAAAAATGGAAAAATATGCAAAAAAGCGGGAAGTAAAAAATATATATACAACTGCCAACAAGGAGGTTCAGCAGCAGAGGAAGAATAAGAATCCGGCGAACATAATCGGATTTTACAAATCATTCATTCAATTATCTAATTGATTTGACTGATGATCATTTGTGAACCTTGATCCTAGCACTAGGGTCCCGGTGCCTGGTGCCCAGTGCCCGATGGCACAGCCAATGTGACGCATGTTTGCTACGCCTGATAATGAAATGAAAGAAGGGAATCTCAGCTCCGAGGAGCTCACCTTTGACTGTAATGCGCCGGCCATGACTAAGTGGCTCTTTGACTTCTTGCCGGGCCCTCAGTACGCGCTACCTCAGCTTGCCATCGCAGATTTGCAGGCTTAGATTACATTTTCTCCTCCGGTTCCTACCAGCGCTACTGTAAGCCATAAAAAGTCAAATAAATTTGCGATTCTTATCTGTGTGTGAAATTGTTCATTTTTTAACGGATTTGATGGCCAAGCCTGGCCAAGAACGGCAGTTGCTAGCTTTTTCCAAACTATAATGAGAAAACCCCAAGAATTTGTCGGCGATATTAGAGGGACAAGTCCATTTACTAGCAGCAAGGAAGCAAGCAAAATACCAACAAGAAGGGGCGTCTTATCCTTCAAGGATAAAACTACATATAAAAGTATTCATATTCAGGCCGCGTCACAGGCTTCGAGAGGTAGAGCAGGCGGATTTGGTGGAGACGCCAGCCCTGGGACGTGAACTTCTTGCGCGGCGGCGGCGGCACATCCAGCACATCGTAGACGTGCTCCGGAATGATGCAGTGGGGCGGATAGGGCGGCATGACCTTTGGCTTGGAAATGCTCAGGATACGGGGAGAGATCCTGGCCTTGAGGGCTGGCTTGCGGACGGCGAAACGCAGCTCGGCCCAAAACTTTCCTTCGATGTCCTCGTTGGGGAAGCACTTTGGCACCTTCGGAGGGTCGAAGGGTCGTCCCTTGTCGTGCAGCGGCGGTTGACCCCAGACGATTATGGGAGAGTAGGGGTGTACGGGGTAGACGTATTGGTGCTTCTCGCTGCGCTTCCGATCCAGAGGCGTTGACAGATATATCATTTTCTGGGCAAACTCGTCCCAATCGGGGGTCTTCGGCTTCCTGGCACAGGGTAAGTACTTCTTCAAGCACGGTATTTTCCTTGGCGGCGGCTCCGGCAGCTCTTTCGGCATAGCCCGTTTGCCGGCCCATTCGTAGAAGTACTTCCAGTCGGGTTTCTTCATCGGACCCGGTGTCTGCCATCGGGTGGGGACCACCCTTTCACGGACAATCCTAATGCATTTCGGCTTGGAATTTCGCTCACACCACTCCACCCAGCTGGGTGGTGGCTTCGGAGCGGCGAAGACGCTCGCAGGCCTCTCATCCGGCATGATACTCATCTTGACTTTTTTGGATTTTTCGGTTTTGCTTCGGGGTTTGTATTCCAGCTACTAACGACTACTCTATCACTTAGAATTTTGAAATAAAAACCAATCGGATCAACATATATTTTTAATATAAAATTAAAACTTTTAAATTTGAGGTCTGCGTAGTACGACTTGTAAAAATGGAATGGCATGTTAAAGGACTAGTCCACATTAGCTAAACTGATGGCTAAGGCAAGGGCTACTTGTGTAAAGAATTTCAAACCACTTTTCTTTGATTTGAAAACCAATCACAGATTTTTGAAAATTAAAACAAAGAGCTTAAATAAATTAAAATTCATTGTAAATAAAATTATTATTCCGAAAGAAAATATTCATAATTTGGCAAAAACATGATAGAACCAAAAGCAGCAACCTTGACTCACGCCATGTAGAAGTAGTCATAGGACGGCCTGGTGATCGGTTTGGCGAGGTACATCAGCCGAATCTGGTGGTGGCGCCATCCACTGCGGGTGAACTTCTTGCGCGGCGGCGGTGGCTCCTCCAAGGGAGCCAATGGTCTTTCCGGGATGAGACAGTGTGGAATAGGTGGGTACTCGCGTGGCTTGGCCAGACTAACGATTCGGGGGCTGGCCAAACCTAGGAGGGCAGCCGGACGAATGGGAAAACGCAACTGAGCCCAGAAATCGGCTTCGACCTCCTCGGTTGGGAAACATTCGGGAACGTAGGGAGGCTTGAATGGCCTTCCGGGGTCCCGGTGAGGCGGTCGACCCCACACAATCGCCGGGGAGTAGGCTGGAGGATTGTAGATCCTAGCATACTTCTCGGTGATGGTGCGGGGTGTGGATAGCGTTTCCAACTTTTCTTGGCGTTCGTCCGGATCCAAGGGTTTTCTTCCCCACTTGTAGCATGGCAGGTATTTGGCGGCACAGGGCAACGGAGTTGGCTCAACCTCAGCTCGCTCCCGGGGCATGGCCCGAGTTGCCGCCCAGGCGCTGAAGTGTTTCCAATCCTTCTTGCTCATCGGACCCCGCTTCTGCCATTTGGTGAGTTTCCGTGGGGTCGGGGACACCGCTCTGCATGTAGGCTTCGAGTTGCGTTCACACCATTCCACCCATGATGGCGGAGGGGCAGTTTTCGGCGCGGATTCAGATTCAATGGCGAAGCCATCTGAGATTATATCACCCTGGCCCTGCATCTGATCTGAGCTCTTCATTGGCCTCCAGTTCCAAAGGTGTCACTTGCAATTTTTTTTTGTATTTTTCTATTTACTTACTTCTGAAATTTTACTCAAGGCTGTGCCCTAAAGCTGATCTGGTTGGTTTTTGGAACCTTGTTATATAAAACATTTTTGTGGCCTACTGTAGGCCTACTATGACCCGGTCATAGGTCATACGACTTTTCCACGCTTTAAAATATCAACAAAATTATATTCTTTATTAAGCTAACAGATTATTAAGATTTCACAGAATTTCTTGAGTCTAATCAGAGTCATGTTTATGGTCAAATTATTAACACCAGACTACAGTTCCAATAACTAACCTAGATAGGAAGGGTTACCATCCAGCTTAGTTAGTGGTTCTGTAGCTCTGTGAGAATAATTTGTGCCACAATTAGATTTTGGTGCAATGGCAGCCCCCCAGGGCAGCCAAAACCCGTGCATTTGGCTTGGCTAGGAACTCCAGGCGCTGCCGATGGAGTCGCCACTGATGGGCCGTCATTTTGTTGCGACGGGGCACGAACATATCATCCGGTCTGAGGGGAATGGGACAATGCTGAGGTGGCGGATACTCCCTCGGCTTGGACAGCGCAAGTATCGACTGTCTAGGCACGGCTAAGAGGGCCTTCCGTGAAATGGGAAAACGGATATTTGACCAGAACTCGATCTCTAGATCCTTGTGCTGGAAACAGCAGGGCACTTTTGGTTTCCTCACGGGTCTGCCCTTTTCCGGCTGTGGAGGATGACGTCCCATGATATGCGGGCGGTATGGAAATACCTCTTTTTTTGGAGGAACGTGTTTCTTGCGCTGCCACCTAGGTTGGCTCAGGCGTTCAAAGACATTGCATGAATCGTTTCCTCTTGCTGGTGGTTCCGAGGCTTTTTTGTATACTGTCCTGGAGAAGTGTTATGGTCTGGTTTAAGGACTCCTTTATTTTGGTTGTTTACCTATTGGAGTTTACCCGGCCACCAGCTTGCTGTCGTGCCATTTCTATCCTCGAGCTACCCTGATACTGCTTGTGGAAGTTGGCCCAGTCATCCCGACCCATGGGTCCTGGTTTTTGCCAGCGAGTCGGATTCGGTCTCGTGAATGGAGTGTAGAACGGAGGCTTGGGCTTCGAGTTCCGTTCACACCACTCGCGCTGTGACGAACGGACTGATCGCGGATCCGCCATGGTGCTGCTTAAGGCCCAAGAATTTCAAAAAACTGGTACTCAGCCAAAGGGAATTTGGAAATTCTTGAAAAAAGTAGGATTTCGATAGAATTTGTAAGAACTTTTTTTTCTAATTTTTTCATTGAGCCTTTTAAAGATTTTTTTAAGAAACATCTTGGCAGACCGTTCACACTTCTCCATTTCGAAGCAACAATATTTGTGATTTGTTGGCATTGAATAGTTGACACAAAAACTGAAAGTTGGGGCAAAGAAAATCACATTTTCCTTTTTTCATTTTCACGTTTTTTCCAACGGCATTCAAATTTTCTAGCAAAATATATGTACATTCTTCAAAAGCCTGAAAAATGTTAAAGAAACTGGCTATATTTTAAAGCCGCATTGAACCCAAACGGCTCAATCACGAGCCCAGTTTCCTAGTGACTAGAAGCTGCTTTGTGGCATTGCCCGTGGCGACACGCATTCGAGGTCATAACCCAATTCCTTTCGTGGCTGGCCAACTGCAACTGTATTCCCCATTTGCGATGCGATCCTCGATCCTCTCCTGCAGCCAATTGAAATTCGGTGCGCATTGTTATCGATCGCACTTTTTGCCTGGTGATTGTCGTCTGCCGGTTTCCAGTGCCCACTCTTCTGGCCTTTCTAACTCTGTCGTCTACGCCTGGGCCCGGTTGGTAGTTGTGGTCTCTGTTGGCCATGTCGCCCATCTTCATCATCGTCTTCGACAGCGGCATTTGATGAGCAGCAGTTGTGTTGTCGGCGGTTTGTTCGCTGCCATTGTTTTGATTTGTTGTCGCCAGTTTTCCTGTTTTTCGGGCCGAAGCCCGAAAGTCATTAGCCGGACACTTCCTGGCCGGAACTGCAAAGGAGCTGACTATGGGCTGACTAAACCACAAAAAAATAAAAAGGAGTCTTCAATCTGGCAACCGCAAAGTGATCATAGCATGTGTGAAATTGACACCACAGATGGGACTCGAACTAACGGAAACGCCAACAATTTTACGCTACATTTGCTTGATGACCAAAAAACCTCGCTGGCAGATGGTCCTGCCCGGCCCTGTTTCCTTTAATATTTTTTGGTGGAGCCGGCGACTAAAAAATATACACACATCCCCTGGGCAACACCCCAAAGGATCGACTTAAAAGGGAACTAAAATTGGAAACATTAGGGGTTGAAATGTAATTGGAATGCACTTATGCTTGTGGTCTGATTATTTTGGAAACATCAACGAGTCTTTAACAAAACTTAGCAGCAGGAGTTTAAAGTATAAAATATTTCATTTTCAAAAAATTTCAAGAATTTAATTATTATTATCAAATCCTAAACAGCTTTAATTTGTATTTCAATCAATCAAAGTGGTCTTAATGTGGTTTTGATACCCCATTATTAAGTCAGGCATTTAAATCCAACCCACTCTGTCTAGCTGCGAATTCTTGAGCGAATTCGTTTCGTTTTCACATTGCAAATATGATTAACCAATTTGAGTCAAAACCACTTTAATTATAGAGTCTCAGGCCGGCTTGGACAAGTGGCCAACTGCAATTGGCCAAAAGGAAAAACAAGGCAGCGCTGCGATCCCCGGCACGTACTCACTATGGGCGCTATGGGGGCCAATAAGGTGTAAATTTATGCGCTAAAACTTCGGGCTAAAATCGACCGGGCCATTAGCAAACCGAGCCTATGTTGAATACTTCTATGCTATGCTTCTGAACGAAACGCACATTTTTCATATGCCTATGGATGATTGGCATTCGAGAATGATTTTTTAGGTTTTGTAATTACCTGGGTCTGTGTGAATTTTTGTGGCCAATCAAAGTTTTTGTTCGCAGTTTTGATTTGCTGCCAAGATCTCCGGCTTACGGCGTAATTGCAACTCATGGCTAACTTGTATTCTATGAGATACTTTTTTGCCGCTGTTCCCTGTGAGCTGCGAGTCAAAACAATACCGGTACGCACTCCGTACTATGGATATGTTAGACAAGTGTTTTCGCTTAATTATTTTCATGTCTCACAAGCTCCGCTGACAAAGTGGACAAGGATCTATGATCTAATGAATATTTAATTCGATTTCGTTGTATTCGCATTTTCTTTGGGGTGGAGTAATGGCATCGTTTAGTAATCCGCTCCGGTTGCATTTCGTTTGGACGACTTCATGTGAAAGTTGCGCATTTGGCACGTGTCCCAATTGAACGGCATGGCATCAATTAAGAAATTGTTGCACATTGTGTTTGTTACACAAGACGACAATTAAGTGGGCTTTGAGGAAAAGTGGTGCACGCACTGGCAGCAGCTTCATTTGAATGATGCCAACACACACAATTCCACAAAAATGTGGACAATTGGCCCGTCCTGCTGCATCAAATTCAACTCCCGCCATGGAATGCCGTCAAGTGAAACATTTCGCTCCAGTTGAGTCTGCAAGAAGTCAGCATTTCTTCGGAAAGAATTTCTAGACACAGTGCCCACCTCTTCGGATTCATGACAATGCCTCATTTCGCCCCGAGACAGCAATAAACGGCAAATAAATGTCGGTTAACATTACGAAATCAAAACAACAAAAGCAACCTGCTCGGATTGCCAATTTATGTAGCCACAACACGTGAGCTCATTGATTAAATTAGCCAAGTCTTTCGGACAAGCCCTGTGCACATAAAAAACAAAATATATTTATGAGCCGCGATTCAGTTCGTTTTTCTTACTGTCTTTTCCCCGGCATTGCTTTCCTTGCTTTTTTGTGGCATTTTAATGCTAAACAAAAACCGAATATCAAACAAAAACCAAACGACGAGTGACAAGCTAACCAAACATAATCAACTTCGGCCACAATCAATTGGGTTGCGTATGTCTTACAAGGCTGGGAAATACTGTAGAAGTTGGGCCTACTCGGAGTTGATTCTTTTTATAATTTTTACAAAAATAAATCGACAAACTAATTGGATAATATGAGCTCAAAAGTTTTATAAAAGCTAATATTTATATCTATTATTAATGGTAAAAAGTATCATTATTTTCGTGCAATCCACAGAAGAGCGGGAAGTATCAACATCGACAACAAGTCGTAATGAAAACGTAATCAAGCGACAGGCGAGCGTTTCCAGTAACGAGATGAAACCGGGACATAGGCAAAATTAGCTGCGTTCGCAGGCGAATTGCAGGCCAATCAGTGAGTGTGCCACAATTTGGCCAACCAAACAGGCAAACAAACTGGCAACAAACTGGTCAAGTCACAGATGCCATCGTAGCGTCTTGTTGCCACAGCCAGCAACTTGCAACTTGCAACTTGGAGCCAGCATCAACGATCTGCTGACGTCGCACTTGTCGCGATTTCACATCAGTTTTGTTTTTGCTGTTTTTCAGCCATTGCCTACTTTTCAACGTCTTGTACTTTCGATTGGTTAATTGTTAAACAAATTTGAAATGTCTGCGGCCTGTGCATTGCAGCACCTCATTTTCCTCCGCTTATCCTCTCGAATGCAAATAGCAAATCGCATGAGCTAACAAGCTGCAATCGTTGCACATCCCACATGAAACTGGCCCCTCATAACAGCCGACATGCTAGGCTGGTAGACCACATTTTCGGCTGCCTGTGCATTGGAGGCGATTACCAAATAATATGAGTTATTAATCACTAACTAGCCACATAAATATTTGAGTTTGAAATGCTAGGCGCCCACATTATGAGATCTTGTATGCGATTCCCAGAAAAGGATTGGTTTCCGATTGACATTCCTATTGATGTACTCACTCAGGGATTCATTTTGTCCCATTATTGTGGGACTATCGTTGTCAACCACGACGGCATCGTTGTCCGATTCGTTTTCCACACAGGTGGCTCCCGGCACATATGTCTCCTGGCTTTGGGTGGGATGGTTGCTGTCCGTGCCGACACTGGAGGCCGAGGAGGTGATACCCACGTCGATGAAGTCCTCCTCCGGGTCCAGTTTCGGGCGCTTGGCCGCCGAGCTGCAACTGGGCACATCGTCATCGGGTTCTCTGGCCACCACTGGGGCAGGGGTGGAGGTGCCACCCATATTTACATCCTAAGACAATAAAAACAAATATGATATAAAAAGGTTATGCCTTAATTCCCGAATGTAACAATCAAATCAATTAGCATTTTAATGGGCAACGGAAGTGAAACATCTTTGTTGTTCCTGCGATACAATCTTCGGGCCGGGCCCTTGTAGCTTCCTCCCCTTTGAGCCATTTATAATTTATGCCAAGTTATCTCCGCTCCCCCGCCACCGGCCAGGTGGCATAAAATCATTCATGCCAAACTTGGCCAGAACCAAGACCTGAGTTATGGGCCGGTCAACTCGCGGGGGTTAGTGTTAAAAATGGGCCGCATTCGGAGGGAGGGTATCTGGTAATTGCTATGCTTGAGGAAATTGTTCGGAAGTAGGGTAAAGAGTTTTGCATACATTTCGCCCAGATTTTGATGGCCAATTGCTGGGAAAACAGTAGCAATTTTCCAACATGCACTTAGCTGCTTGTTAAGTCGCTCAGAGATTAATGATATTAGGCTGTTAAAGTTTGAAATAGTTTGGCTGCTATGAGAGCTTCTTCCCCCTCACATATTCATATTATAAATGATTATTAAAATTCAATTAAAGCAAAACTTCTACCTTCGATCGCTTACCCTTACTCTACCAATAAAACCAACTGGGCATAAAGCCTTCTAGTAAATTACAAGTCATTATATCAGTAAAGAAAATAAACCGTTCTATAATATACAACTGCGACACATAAATCTGTTCCAATTGAATGCCCTCTCTTCGATCAAAGGAAAACCCTGCCAGCACTTAACCTGAAAACATGAAAAGTACTCTATTCGCATTCGCGCATTGGAAACTTGAACTTCCAACCGTAAATGAATTGACAAGACGTCCGAAAGAGGTGAGGAGGGGATAAAGCTGCGTGCCATTATGGTATTATGGTATAGTATCGCATTGTGTCGACTGCCGGTGGCATATGAACTTGAGTGGAGTACAACTGCAAGTCTGAGTGCCCAACTCACTAAATGGAGGAGCAAGCAGTGCCACAGAACCAAAAACGGAGAGAAGCCACCAAGACGGAGACTCAGACTTGGCCAAAAGGCAGAAAAGAAGCAACACCAGCACCAGACCATAATCAGTGTTCCATTGAACGCACAAAATCATTTAGCGAAACCAACAAAAACAAAAACAATAAGAAAGCACAAAGAAGAGTCAGGGCCCGAGTTTGGAGGTGGTTAGTAGCAGCAGTTTTGTCAGTGGTAGTAGAGCCTGCACCCCAAACAAAACCAAACCAAACCAATCCGATCCGATCCAAGCCAAAAGGCACTTCAAACTGTTTTTTAAAAGAGTCTCCGAGAGACTGCGACTGCGAGTCCAAGTAGGGTAAGGCAAAGTGTTTGCTTTGGAGAGTAGTAACTAGTGGGGAATATGGTTACACAGAGAGAAATACTAAAATATATAGGGGTAGACTAGGTATAGTTCTAAGAAGATTTTATTCTCTGTGCACTACACTTGGATGAATGAATACAGTGGGCTCATGGGCCATGGAGTAGGTTCAAAGCACGCTATGGTACCAGACCAAGACCAGCCAAGACGATGAGTTGAGTTTTGTAGCAAATTGAATTGTCTTTGTTGTTGCTTTGGTCGTATGTGTGTCTGATATTGCATGAATCACGTGACCATGACCACCACTGCAATGCCAGAGGCCAAGAACAACAGAGCCGGGCCTCTGTCTCTGTATATGGCCGGTATTCGCAATTTGAACCTCACTCAGAAGATCATTTACTTTCATTAGGAAGCGAAGACGAATCTTGTCGTGTAGCAAGTGCAAACTTGGTCTAATAAACGGCCATTAGGTAGGAAGTCGGCTTGGATAATGCATGAAATGACCAACACGATGTTCCTTCTATTTTTGGGACGAATCTTTCTCACCTTATTGGGATTTCGTCTTTTGCGTTCGCCTTGAGTGGCAGTGGCTCCTGGTAGCGGCGAGGACGAGTGTAGCTTGGCCTCCTGTCGATCTGTTTGAAGAATAAATAAATGTATATTAACGCCATCGGGTATTAATTTTATTTTCTAAACTCACACTTCATTTCGATTTCCTCGTCGTCCAACAGCAAGGAGACCACTTCCTTGGGTTTGAGGGTATCTGGTTTGAAATTGCCGCCACTTATGACCATGCGTTGTATCTGAAATCGGAAATAAAAAGTATTCAATATGCAATTGAATATCCAATTGAATAAAATTAGAAATTCAGGGCAGGAAGCGAAACGAAACACGTACGAAAATTCGGGGTTAGCGCCAAAGTGTACCCCGAATTTTCTCGTCTGGCGGCCCGAAATGCTTTTATATGATAATCAGGGACATTCTGGGTTTTGTTGGCTAAACCAATAAATGCACAAGAAAGCGGAAAATGCTCGTACTTATACAGAACCCAGGAGGCGTAACCGAAATGTCGCCTAACCAATTGTATAATTAATTTCCGGTGTTGGTTTACCATCTCAACTCATTCCAATCGCATCTGTGAACACTGGTAGTCGTGTTTCCTATTGGTAGCCTAAAGTACCTTAGGAGGGCCTTTTTTTTTGTAAGCCCAACAAAAGCACGTGCCTAATATGCGTTTAAACAAAAGGAAAACCGAGCGAACTTGAAGACTTTGCGGTTCGGTTTCAATGGGGCTTCCTGTAGGGGATCACTCACCTCGCTCTTCTCCCGGGCCCTCTGTAGGATCCGCTCCTCGATGGTTCCCTTGCAGATGAGCCGGTAGACGGTCACCTGTTTGGTCTGACCCAGACGATGGGCCCGGTCCATGGCCTGTTGATCGACTGTGGGATTCCAATCCGAGTCATAGAATATGACCTAGAAGTACAAGGATTTAAAATTATTTTTAAAGAGGTTCTTACAATGTTATTAGAGGAAAATATATTGAAGAATCTTCTAACCGAAATGCAAATCACTGCTGCACACGCACATCCTTTTGCCATTTCATTGATTATTTCGAGCCTGCATATTAAGTAGTGCTTCCTCGAATTCCTCTACTCTATAATCCACTTTGTAGGGCCACGAATTCTACGCCTTTCCTGTCTATTATCTGGAGTAGGAAAAACTTCCCCCACCAGGCATAACCCTTTGTTGTCCCAGTTGAACCGCCACTTGGTACGTGTTTGGTGTGCAAGTGTTCAGGAATTCCTGGTCGGTTCCTCAAGGGTTGTCAAGGGTAGTGGCATTTCCGGCCGATTGATGGGACTAATTAAAATCGAAAGAAAATCATAGGCATTGGATGTTTTTCTCTTTTTATGTGGAACACGTGTTGTAATTTCTATTCAGAAGTGACATAGGGAAGACTATCGATTGAAGTGGAAATTATATTAAAAGATAGCAAGAAGCGAGAGCAGTAACTTCATATTTCTAGCCATGAAAATTAAACCATTAAATTTTAATTCGATATGGCTTTTGTAAACCCTATAAAAGCAAATAAAGTATTAGACTCTCAACAGTAATATTTAAAATAATGGCTTCTGGAAAGCTATTTATATATTTATTAATATCATTTTTTATTGGCATTCAATCAATCATATCTCCCATTGAATTCAGATGGATAGAACAAAAGTTAGATCATTTCAACGACAGTATTCCGCAAACCTTTCAAATGGTGTGTGTTTTTTTTTTACTTCTTGAATTATTTTTTCTGTTTTTTAGAGATATATGGTTAAGGAGGACTACTTCAAGCCGAATAAGACTATTTTCTTTTTCATGGGCGGAGAAGGCACTATTCTCTCGCCAGCCACAAACGTTTCAAAGATTATTCTAACCGACAGTTACATGCACGATTTGGCAAAAGAGTTTAATGGATACCTTATCCACAGCGAACATCGTTACTACGGAGAAAGTAAACCCAAAATAAGGTAGAGGTACTGCAAGTTATTTTGACATTTAAATAATTTAATATTTAAATAGTAGAGACTTGACAGTGGAGAACCTCAAGTACCTCTCAGTTGCGCAGGCTTTAGCAGATGTTGCAACATTGATTAGGTTTCAAAAAGCCAATACCACCCACTTTGGAGATTCCAAAATATTTCTTGTGGGTGGATCGTATACTGGGTTCTTAGTGCCTTGGTTTGCCAAACTCTATCCAGAACTCATGGACTTGGGATGGGGTTCAAGTGCACCCTTCGAGTTTAAAGGTAATTTTAAAAGCTTTTTTGAAACTGTGTTTAAAATTATAGTAAAAATTGGTGGATCAAAGTGTCACGAGAAAATAATAAAAGGCTTTAAAGCTATTGATCTTCAGCATTCGGAATATTGTGTCCATTTGGAGGGAGAACATTGTAAAGACTCTTTGGAAAAACAAACTATATTTCAAAGATTTACCGTCTTGTTTGCATATTTAGTTCAAACTGGAAAGTAAGTAATTAAATGAATATTTTTTGTCCAATTTCTTATTATTTTTCGATTTAGCAAAACCACCATTCGAAAGGCCTGTAAGGATATATTGGAAACCCCTTTTATTTCGTTTTTAAGAAATCATTTAATTCACGACTTTAAGTGTACTTATCAACAAAATAGAAATCTTGAATATAAAAACCTGAGTTTTTTCGAGAAATTGGGAATAAATTATACCTGTTTAGACCTGACGAGGACTCTTAAGAATGAGAGCTATACGACGGATCCAGGTATGTTGGCATTATCTAGCTTCTATTTAATATTCGCTACAAAGTTAAACTTACTCTCTAGCTCGCCTTTGGTTTTATCAGCAATGTTATGAGCTTGGAAACTTCCAAACTACAGAATATGTTCCTCTCCAATTTTATTTAGATTATTGTAAAGACATTTTTCCAGCACTACCACAAGCATATATGTTTGAGAGAATACAAAATTCTGATATAGTTTTTGAAGATTTAGACGAAAACACCAAAGTTAGTGAAATATTTCTAACTCAAGCGGAATACGATCCTTGGTCCGGCACAAAAGTGAGGAATCACAAGCGGACTTATTATTTAAAAGGTAAGGGACCTTTAATATATGTATTGTTAACACCATTGATTGAATGATTGATTTACGCAGATGCATTCCACTGCGAGGATCTAAGAGCAAAAGCTGTGAATAATAATCCCTCTATAAAAAAGTTAAAGAGAGATATTTATAGAGAAGTTCAAAAGCTGCAATTAGTTTAAAATCATACATTCGATGGAAAATATTTAATAAATTTTAAAAAGTTGTTTTTTTTTAATGAAAGGGCATGTCAGACACCTCTTATACATGACAAGAACAAGTAGTACTTGTACTACAGCGTGTAAGCTCTTATCCGAGTAACTGTATTACCTACATTTGAAGTGCCCTCGACTAGAGTGAGTGAACCACAATGATTGATAATCAAATAGGTGGTGGTGTTCGATAAGACGCCGCATGGCGTTTAAGGCTAATAAGAAACAACATTAAAAGCCCAACAATCTATTTAGCCCAGTTGACTATTATTTACTGGCTTAACAAACAGCTAATTAAGTACCTCTTGGCGATAAGATTTGGCTTTTAGCTAACCTAAATGAATCAGTTTGCACAAAAACTGGTAGAGCTTGATCAGTTCCATTTCGAGTCTCGACGGTCAACGATGAAGTTCTGGTTGGGAATTGCTTTGGTCCTTCTGGTCTTTGCCCAGAGCAAGGCTTCCATATTCCAAAGGACCTTCAAGAGGCTACACGATGAGCCTCCACTGCCAAGCAACCAAAACAGGGCCGATATAGTGCAGACCCTATGGATCGAACAGAAATTGGATCATTTCGACGAAGCGGAAACGCGCACCTGGCAAATGGTAGGAGCGATAGGAGCTTATTACCTAATTCCAGACTAGAGATTAAGAAAATTATTACCACATTTGGAATGGGGCTCCTAATACGGATACATTCCAAATTCTTTGCTATCTGAACTGCTATTTCAACAATTTTTAAACACTTTTTAGCGTTACATGCTCAACGATGCCTTGTACCAATCGGGTGGACCCCTGTTTATTTATTTGGGAGGTGAATGGGAAATATCCTCCGGAAGGATAACTGGGGGCCATATTTATGACATGGCCAAGGAGCACAATGGACTTCTTGCCTATACCGAGCATCGCTATTATGGACAGAGTAAGCCTCTACCGTAAGTAATGTCTTCACAGATACCTTTTAATTATTAAAATATTTAAAACCCATTTTTTTAGCGATCTTTCCAATGAGAATATCCAATATCTGACTGTCAATCAGTCCCTGGCTGATCTGGCTCACTTCATAACCACCATCAAGGCAACCCATGAAGGGCTTTCCGAGTCAAAGGTTATCATTGTGGGTGGATCCTACTCTGCCACAATGGTCACCTGGTTCAAGAAGACCTACCCCGACCTAGTGGCCGGTGGCTGGGCCTCCAGTGCCCCACTGTTTGCCAAGGTGAACTTTGTAGGTGAGTGGATTAAAGATTGAATTTAAATTACTTTCTAACCACTTGATTCCTGATTTTAGAGTACAAGGAAATCACTGGACAATCCATTGAACTAATGGGTGGCTCAGCCTGTTATAAACGCATCGAAAATGGAATTGCCGAATTGGAGGACATGTTCGCCACCAAACGGGGAGGAGAGGTCAAGGCCCTGCTGAAACTATGCGAACCCTTTGATGTCTATAGCGATCTGGATATTTGGACCTTGTTCAGTGAGATTTCGGATATTTTTGCAGGTGTTGTGCAGACCCACAAGTGAGTTTCAATTGAAAATATTCTTAAGAATACTTTTCTTACCATCCCATCCCATAGCGCTGGTCAAATCGAAGGTGTTTGCCAACAAATAATGGCAGGATCCAGTGATCTTATTGGTGTGGCTAGTTTTCTTCTAGACGAATTCGCAGAAAGTGGTGGCAAGTGCTACGATTTGAGTTATGATGGTATTACCGGAGTGCTTCTAGATACTAACTACAATGGCAATATCAGTGAGTGATTTCGTTAAACTTTAATTTACAATCACTTAATCTCTTAATTTATGATTACAGTGCGTCAGTGGATTTTCCAAACATGCAATGAGTACGGTTGGTACCAGACCTCCGGCTCCAGGGATCAACCTTTTGGAACCAAGTTCCCAGTGACCTATTATACCACCATGTGTGCCGACCTGTACGGATCGAAATACAGCAACGAGTTTATCACCAACCAGGTGAGCACCACCAATGCATACTATGGCGGCCTGACCCCTGGCGTGGAGAATGTCTACCTCACTCACGGACAACTGGATCCCTGGAGGGCCATGGGAATTCAGGATGCAGACCAAGCTACCATCCTGCCAGGTGAGATTTTCAATATAGGAGTACCTGAAGTTAAAAATAACTAAGATCTTTTTCCTATTTAGAATATGCCCATTGCAAGGACTTTAATTCTATCAGCTCCAGCGATTCAGCTGAAATGAAGGCGTCCAAAGAACGCATTGCCGAGTTGGTTCGCGAGTGGGTCAAGTAAACGTGAAATTAAATAAATAAACAAATAAACGCAATGTAACTATTAATTAAGTAAATAAACATGTACACAACCTACAAGCCATTTATTAATCGAATGAGACGGAAAGATAAGATTAAATATACTTCCAATTAATAGTTTTTATTTCGAGTAGATGTTTTCCAATCACTTGTAGGAAAGGCCATTGAGATTGCCAAGTGGAGGTACTTTAAATAGTATACTTTGTCAAGGGTCTTCGAAAAATCTATCGATAAACGTGGAAATTAATTAAAAGCGTGTTTCGCGCGATTGTGATTTTGATTGGAGAATTATAAATTAGGATTCCCAGAAAATGACAGTAAAGGTTTGACTGGCTTCCGATCGATTTATGGTATTCTGAAAATACAGTTCCTAATCGCACTTTGGAGGCTATCATATCATGTCGCTGGTCACTTATCGGGTCTGAGAAATTTACAATCCTTATCGTGGCCGCAAATTACTACATAACTCTCCCGTCATAATGGCTAACTTAAAAGCCAAAAGCCAACTAGTCGGTTGGTTCATTTGTGAAAATGGCTGCGATTCGTTTGGTTTGCCTTGCCGTGGTCTTGGTCCTTGGACTTGGCCAAGCATTGGACTTCTCCAAGGTCAAGGATGTGCCTGTTCTGGTCAAGACTCTGAAGAACTTGAACCGCGGTCCACCACAGCAGGTGGTGACTAAGCGCGCCAATGTCGAGGAGAAATGGATCACCCAAAAGTTGGATAACTTTGACGATAGCAACACCGCAACCTATCAGATGGTACTTGGAGATTTATATCCTTAAAATATAAAATATTATATTATATACTTGTACTTTACAGCGTTACTTGATCAACGATGAGTTCCAAACGGAAGGCAGTCCCATTTTCATTTATTTGGGCGGCGAGTGGACCATCGAGTCGAGCATGGTCAGTGCCGGCCACTGGTATGACTTGGCCCAGGAGCACAAGGGAGTCCTGGTGTACACCGAGCATCGTTACTACGGCCAGAGTGTGCCAACCACGTGAGTAGCCTGGACATTAATCTTCCTTTCTATAACTTAAAGATTCATTTGATTTTCAGCACCATGTCCACTGAGAACCTGCAGTACTTGCACGTGAAACAGGCCTTGGCCGATGTGGCCAACTTCATCACCACCCTCAAGTCGGAGAACGCTCAGCTGGCCAACTCAAAGGTGGTGTTGGCCGGAGGTTCCTACTCGGCCACCATGGTGGTCTGGTTCAAGCGTCTCTACCCCGACCTCGTTGTCGGTGGCTGGGCCTCCAGCGCTCCTCTCCTGGCCAAGGTCGACTTCACCGAGTACAAGGAGGTGGTGGGCAGGGCCTTCCTCGAGCTGGGCGGCCAGCAGTGCTACGATCGCATCCAAAACGGCATCGCCGAGCTGGAGTCCTTGTTTGCCAACAAACGTGGCGCGGAGGCCAGGGCCATGTTGCGTTTGTGCAACAGCTTTGATGACCAGAACGACTTGGACCTGTGGTCCCTGTTCAGCAGCATCTCGAACATTTTCGCCGGTATCGCCCAGTACCAAAGGTAAGATAGCTAATTTGGTTCTTTTCCTTCACTTCATTCCTGTCCACCCACAGTGGTAATGACATCAACGATTACTGCGACTACCTACTGAGCTTCCGTGATGATGCCACGGCCATTGCCAACTTGGTTTACTGGGCCTTTGGTGTTCCCACTTGCATTGATGCCACCTACGCCAGCTCAGTGGAGTACTACTTGTGGAGCGTGGAAAACTTTGACGCTGGTAAGTCACTGAATAACTTAAAAGCCTAAAAAAAACTATACCAATCGCATAACCCCGACAGGTCGTCCTTGGTATTACCAGACCTGCAATGAGTACGGATGGTACCAGAGCTCCGGCTCCAGGAATCAGCCCTTCGGCACCAAGTTCCCCGCCACCCTGTACACCACCCTGTGTGGCGATGTCTTCCACTCGCGGTATGGCAACGAATTCATTAGCAGCAATGTGGCCCAGACCAACGTAGACTTCGGCGGCTTGGAGCCCGGAGTAGAGAATGTCTACATGACCCACGGAGCCCTTGATCCCTGGAATCCCATGGGTCACGGAGTGGCCGAGGGAGCCACAGTCATCGCCAACGCCTCCCATTGCTCGGACTTTGGATCGATCAGGTCCACGGATTCCGCAGAACTGAGAGCCTCTAAGGAAAAGCTCGCAGAGTTGGTGCGCGAATGGTTGGCTTAAATATTTTCAAAAAAATTTTACATTTTCAATTGATTAAAAACCAATAAATAAAAACAATATAAAACAAGAAAGGAAAGCTAACTTCGGGCGGAGCCGAAGTTTATATACCCTTGCAGCTAAAACCGGATATATATCGCAAACATCGGATATAGTTGGCCGATCCTTATGAAATTTGGTAGGATGGATCAAAATATAATCTGTACCAAGTTCCAGCTTTCTATCTTCAAAAACACAAAAGTTGGGTCATTTCCGATCGTTCAGTTATATGGCAGCTATAGGATATAGTCGGCCGATCCTAATGAAATTTGGTAGGTTGGATCAACTAACCAAAAATAGAGTCTGTACTAAATTCCAGCTTTCTATCTTCAAAAACACGAAAGTTGGGTCATTTCCGATCGTTGAGTTATATGGCAGCTATAGGATATAGTCGGCCGATCCTTATGAAATTTGGCATGTCGTATTATTTTGCCAAAAATAGCTCTCATGTCAAATTTGAACTCTCTAACTCCAAAAACACCAAAGTTATACCATTTCCGATCAATCAGTTATATGGCAGCTATAGGATATAGTCGGCCGATCCCGGCCGTTCCGACTTATATACTGCGTGCAAAGGAAAGAAGGGTGTGTGCAAAGTTTCAAGACGATAGCTTTAAAACTGAGAGACTAGTTTGCGTAGAAACAGACAGACGGACAGACGGACAGACAGACATGCTCATATCAACTCAGGAGGTGATCCTGATCAAGAATATATATACTTTATAGGGTCGGAGATGTCTCCTTCACTGCGTTGCACACTTTTGGACAAAATTATAATACCCTCTGCAAGGGTATAAAAAATTTAAATGGATAAAATAATGGGTATTATTGGGTAAAAATAATGTAAATAAGCATTTTGAGGCACAAGTTTTACTAAACATCTAAGAATACAAATCTATATATGATAATCGTATTAGATTGTAGATTGTATTATGATAATGATTTAGTTTTTGATTTTGTCCCAATAAGTGCTAAAGGGTAAACCTTCGACATCTTTATAGTTACCAGTCAACATGAAGAAATACTCTGTTCCATTAAAAGTAAATATTTTAAAGTCCTCAGACTGTAATGGCGAAAGTTCTAATATTCAAGCTTTTACACAGCGCCTTAGCGTATGCAATGAAAAATCTTTTATACTAAACACGAGCCTGCTTAGTAAGCAGGCTTACACAACTAATTTCAACTAGAAAATAAACTGTTAAGAAGTAAAGAGGACGTTTGTACTGATTTTATTATTAAATTATCATCTCAATTCGAACTTAAATATTTTTCATTAAAAAAAATATTTACAAAGACACAAGCCTATGAATAATTGTTCGGGGTTTTTAATTCTTTACAAACTTTAAGTATTATTTAATAAATTTATTAATTAATTTTTCCTTTCTCGCGAACTTTATAAAAAGTTCACTGTACTTGATAAGGCAACCGATGAACATGATAATTGATTACGTTTGTTGAGGTGGTTTTATGTCTAGATACCTCTCTCTTACATCATGATAACACCCCAGACTGTTGTCCAAGGAACGTAAACAAATATATATTTTTAAACAAAAAGTAGTATTGATTGTTTATAATGAGTTTAATAGGCCATTGAAGATGATAGCATTGGCTCGTGTAAAGTGTACACTGTCCAACGAGGTAACGATTGGGGCAGTCCACTTATTGGTTATATTTTTAAACAATTTCAGATTTATTTGAAACCATTTACAATATTTTTTGTTTAATAAAATCGATTACAATATTATTTGATATCTTCTGTTTTACCAGCTTTGTCGTCTATTTCTAACTAAGTACATTTTTTATAATTTTTCCAACTATGATAAAAAGTAAAACTCCACATAGAATTTTATGATTGAAAAAGCATTATCCATTTTTTATATCTAAACAAATTCTTAACTTGGGTCCTTTTTCTCCTGATTTCTCCAAATTACATAAGGAAAGTGAAGACTTTAATTGTACTTATTGGGAACCTCATTACCTATATTAAAATTTCTAAGATATAACTAATCTGACAAAAACAAGTCAATTAGTCTATTAAATAAGATGTTATTCAAACTATAACTAGGAATTTTAATGAACGTAGCCGCGGCAACGTGATGTAACACGTGAGCCAAACGAAGAACACTTGACTTTATCAGAGCCATATATTTTCCCATATTTGTTTGCCTTCCAATTAAGTCCCTTCAAAGGCCCTATCTTCAAATGACTAAAGCGCATTCCGGCAGCGAATATTTTTTGAATAAATAGTCCACCCATTCGATGAGGAAATCATTCGCAAACTTGTGAACTATCCAGCAATATGAAGTATTTTCTCGGAGCTTTAGCCATACTGGCTGTCCTGTCTCCCCCCACTGCAGCCGCCAGGTTGAGAGAACCAAAGCCCAAGGCCAATGCCTTTGTTAAAACCCTGAGGAACCTGCACAGAGGTCGTCCGCAAGAGCTAATAATGTCTAGAGCCAAGGCTCAAGAGCGCTGGATCACCCAGAAGTTGGACAACTTTGATGACAGCAACAATGCCACTTGGAAGGATGTAAGAATCCTAAGGATCTAAGGTATCCCTTAGATTTACCCGTTTTTTTTACCAGCGCATCCTGATCAACGAGAAGCACTTTGTCGAGGGATCGCCCATCTTCATCTACCTTGGCGGCGAATGGGAGATCCAACCCTGGGACATTACCTCCGGCCTCTTGGCGGACATTACCAAGAAACACACTGGTACCATCATCACTACCGAGCACCGATTCTTCGGCAAGAGCATTCCCATAACGTGAGTGTCTCCCATTAGATATCCCTGATTAATTTGAATTATCACTATATAAATAATCATTTTTAAACAGCCCACTTTCCACCGAAAACCTCCAAAAGTATCAAAGCGTCAACCAGGCTCTGGCCGACGTCATCAACGTTATCAACACCCTGAAAGAGGAGGACAAGTATAAAAAATCCAAGGTTTTGATCGCTGGCTGCTCCTACTCCGCCAGCATGGCCACCTGGATCCGTAAACTGTACCCTGACATTATTTTGGGCAGCTGGGCTTCTTCGGCTCCGATAGTGGCCAAGGTAGACTTCAAGGATTACTTCAAAGTGGTTGGTGAGTCGTACAAGACTCTTGGAGGACAGAGTTGCTACGATTTGATCAAGAACGCCACCTCCTACTATGAGGATCTCTTCGCAAACGGAAAGGGAGACCAGGCCAAGAAGGAGCTTAACTTGTGCGAAGAGTTCAATTCTGACAACAAAAGGGATCGTTGGCAAATATTCAGCACCATTGCCAACATTTTTGCAGGAATCGCCCAGTATCAAGTGTAAGTAGCACAACCACACCAGTACCTTCGACTTCTTAATTAAATAAAATCCCATAGTCCGGCGAATAAGGACATTTCCAACGCGTGCTCGAAGCTAAGGGGCTTCAGCGACGATGACGCTGAGGCGCTGTCCAAGTTCGTTAACTGGAAAGTTCATGAAGACACTGGCGAGTGCATCAGTGCCACCTTCGACGGAACTACAGGATACTATGAATGGTCCAAGGACAACTACGAAGATAGTAAGTATTGAAAGAAACATTCAGTTGAGACATTTTCTAATAAACAAAATCAGGCGACCTGCCCTGGTTCTTCCAGACCTGCAGCGAGTTTGGATGGTTCCAATCTTCCGGTAGCAGTCAGCAACCCTTCGGATCCTCCTTCCCGTCCAAGCTTTACGAAGACACCTGCAAAGTAGTCTTTGGCTCCAAGTACGACACTGCTGGAATAAACGCCAACGCCAAGGCAACCAACGCCGAGTTCGGAGGACTGGACATCGACGTCTCCAACGTATACTGGGTGCAGGGTGGACTCGATGGCTGGAAGAAGGTGGGAGCCGGAGTGCCGCAAGGTGCAACCATCATTCCACAGGCGGCTCACTGCTCCGACCTTGGTTCGATCTCCGCCAACGATAGTCCCGAACTGGTGGCCTCCAAGCAGAAGGTTATCGCTCTGTACGATGCGTGGTTGGCGGAAGCCGATCTTGAAATTTGAGAGTTTTCGTCTGAGAGATTTGAAAACTATCCTCTTTTACCTATTACGTACCTTTAAGCGGTCTCAAAAACCCTCAAGCATCTAATGTCTCAATAAAACAAATAATATAACTTTAATAAGAAATCTTTTAATTACCCTACAAAATTTCTGTCGCCCTTAGAGAAAAATGCATAAAATTTAAAGCATTCTATTATAGTTATACACGGGATTCTTATAACTACGGTTTCAGTAAAACATAAGACTTGAAAAGGATTGAAATTTATAAATTTAAATGAAAATTGAATTCATTATTTTTACACCGTTGCAGAATTGTTTATTTGTTTGAAATTATAGATCAATTTAAAAAAAAAAGTAAAGCCTAGCAAAAAAGAGTATGCGGTACTTTCTGCCTAGAAGGGCCTGGGATCCATGTGAATGGTGATATATATTTAGACCATTGTGTACAAAGTCATAGTCAGCGTCGCCATCTCAGTCGGTTCAGTCAGTCTTTCAGTTTTGAAGCTATCGGCTATCAACCTTGTACGAAAAGTTTTCTTTTTCTCCGCTGCACGGTTCAGTTGACTACAATCTACCTACATAAAATTGTCATATAATCGATCAAAAATTTCATAAATTTGGGGGGTTTTTAATTAAGAAATTGAAAAATTCTATGTATTTTTCTTTTGTTTTATTGATTCAACATCTTGTGCGGATCTTACATTTTATGTATATGGATTGGGCGACCATTTCCTAGAGCTGTCATATAACTGCAAGATCGGAAAAGTCTTTACTTTCATGATTGTGTGATAATATTTTACTGGTCATAATACCTATTAAATAGATCTTAAACTTCTTATTCTTAATAGAATCGACTCCCGATGTATGTATATTATATATGCGACTCGATTATACCATTTTCACACACATTTAACTGCAAGGGTACTTCGACGACTTTGGTTCCGCCCAAAATTAGTACTCCATTCTTGTTTGTTATACAGGGTGACAATAAACAACCCGGACAAACATTTTTGATCATAACTTTTTAAGGAACTGTATTTGAGAAAAAATGCAGATACACAACTATTAAATAGGTATTGTGTTAACTTATATTCAGCTGGTTTCGTAGTGGCTTCCTTGGGCTGCGATGCAGAGCCCTAAACGTTTCTGGAAATTTAGCGCAATGGGCCGCAGGAGGTTCTTCCGATAATCGATCCCATTCTCGGAGCAATGATTGCTTCAGCGCCTCCAAACTTATGTGGCATTAAGCACATGCCCTGGACTCCAAAATAGACCACACACTATAGTCCATCGGATTAAGATCTGGCGAGTAAGGTGACCGTTCACTGCATGTGATAAAGTCCGGGAAATTGGCTTTGCACCAGTCCTGAGTCAATTTGGCTCTATGGGCTGACGCTGAATCCTGTTGAAACGTCAACTCCGTATCACCGAAGTCATTCGTAAGAAGATGCATTTTTTGGAGCTTGTAGGGCTGGAGATTAAGTTCATTTTTTGCTATCTACCAAACACTTTCTCGATTCACTCCCATTTTACGGGCTATTTTTCTGACCGAGACTCTGCAATTCCGAGTGATCCGCGTCTTCACTATCTGGCGAATTCTGGAAGTGTTAGCGGTAAGTGTCTGCCTCGTCCGGGACGGTCACCTTCATGGCCAAGCTCATTAAATCGCCGGATAGCGTCAGAGACCGTTTGTTTTGGTATTCCAAGCAAACGAACAATGTCGCATTGGCGATTTCCTTGTTGAAACAGTTTTAAAATTTCACTACGATTTTTAGACATCCCGAAACAAATATCAAATTGATGGGAATCCCAAAAATGTAAATATATTTGTTTTAGAAAAGTACAAGCTATCGATAAATGCATTTTTTTAAGGTCTGCATCATAATACATTTATAATAGATTGCTTCAAAGTTTGTCCGGGTTATTTATTGTCACCCTGTATAGATTTTAAAAAGATTTATTTTGAAAAAAACGGCTTTAAACAATCATGGATCACCGCAAAGGTTATGGAAACATTAAATTTATGCATGGAGTAAAAATAAAAAGATTTCTTAAAGATTTTTATAATCCGTAGCAACCTAATCGAAAATTGCAAAACTTTTGGGATCTTGAAATGTGTAAATTTTTTTTTCCAAAGGCATATATTTTCCAGATATTTTGTATATATTCTGAATTTTATTGCATAAAATTTCTTTTATACATATGCTAAAACTATATTATTTACAATAGTAATAGAAATTGCTGTTACAAAACTTACTGCTTGGCTAGCAATTACTTAAGCACACTTTATTAAAAGTTCACTGTACTTGATAAGGAAATCGATGAAAAGATAATTTTATTACGTTTATTGAGGTGGCTTCATTTTGAGACACCCCTCTCTTACATCATGATAATACTTCAGGCTTTTGAACAAAGAAGGCAAATAAAAAGGTGTTTGTTTAATAAACGGTAGTAAGGATTGTTTATAACGGGCTTAATTGGCCATTGAAAAATGATTTCATTGGCGTGTGCACACTGTCCAACGAGGCATTGATTGGGGCAGTCCAGTTATTCAATAAGCATATGGCGGTTGAATAAAGGTCTCAAAAATAATTCAAAATATTGAAGTGTTTCAAAATATTATCTATAGGGAATAGATTCACTAATTTTTGATGGTGTTCCTCTAGAAAATCGGATCGATTTTAGCAAAGATGTGGGCATTGTTCCGCCTGATATATAAATATCCTACTTTTTGCAAGGGACTCCTCCATGGGAAAATCCGAAAAATATGGATCAAAAATATCGTTCAGAGGTTTTGATGCAGATTGATGGAGAATCGATCCACAAATCATTTGAGGTATTCCGTTAAAGGATCGGATGAAAATTAACCAAGATATGGGCATTGTTCTGCATCATATATGAATATACTACTTTTTGCAAGGGACTCCATAGGAAAATCCGAAAAATATGGATCAAAAATATCGTTCAGAGGTTTTGATGCAGATTGATGGAGAATCGATCCAAAAATTATTTGAGGTATTCCGTTAAAGGATCGGATGCGAATTAACCAAGATATGGGCATTGTTCTGCATCATATATGAATATACTACTTTTTGCAAGGGACTCCATAGGAAAATCCGAAAAATATGGATCAAAAATTTCGTTCAGAGGTTTTGATGCAGATTGATGGAGAATCGATCCAAAAATTATTTGAGGTATTCCGTTAAAGGATCGGATGCAAATTAACCAAGATATGGGCATTGTTCTGCCTCATATATGAATATACTACTTTTTGCAAGGGACTCCATAGGAAAATCCGAAAAATATGGATCAAAAATTCCGTTCAGAGGTTTTGATGCAGATTGGTGGAGAATCGTTCCACATATAATTTGATTTACGTATTCCGTAAAAGGATCGGATGAAAATTGAACAAGATATGAGCTTTGTTTGGCCTCATATACGAATATCATACTTTTTGCAAGGGACTCCAGTAGAAAAATCGGAAAAATATAGGTCGAAATTTTCGTTAAGAGGTTTGGGAACAAATCCCACAAACAAGATTAGACTATTAAATAAGAAGTTATACAAGTTTTTAACTGGAAACTCTTATGAACGTATGTAGGTTCGGCAACGTGATGTAACACGTGAGCCGACGAAGAACCCTTGACTTTATCAGAGCCATATATTTTCCCATATTTGTTTGCTTTCTAATTAAGTCCCTTCAAAGGCCCTATCTTCAAAAGACTAAAGCGCATTCGGGCAGCGAATATTTTTTGAATAAATAGTCCACCCATTCGATGGGGAAATCATTCGCAAACTTGTGAACTATCCAGCAATATGAAGTATTTTCTCGGAGCTCTAGCCATTCTGGCTGTCCTGTCGCCTCTCACTGCAGCCGCCAGGTTAGGGGAACCAAAGCCCAAGGCCAATGCCTTTATTAAAACCCTGAGGGACCTGCACCGAGGTCGTCCTCAAGAGCTTATAATGTCTAGAGCCAAGGCTCAAGAGCGCTGGATCACCCAGAAGTTGGACAACTTTGATGACAGCAACAATGCCACTTGGAAGGATGTAAGAATCCTAAGGATCTAAGGTATCCCTTAGATTTACCCGTTTTTTTTAACAGCGCATCCTGATCAACGAGAAGCACTTTGTCGAGGGATCGCCCATCTTCATCTACCTTGGCGGCGAATGGGAGATCCAACCCTGGGACATTACCTCCGGCCTCTTGGCGGACATTACCAAGAAACACACTGGTACCATCATCACTACCGAGCACCGATTCTTCGGCAAGAGCATTCCCATAACGTAAGTGTCTCCCATTAGATATCCCTGATTAATTTGAATTATCACTATATAAATAATCATTTTTAAACAGCCCACTTTCCACCGAAAACCTCCAAAAGTATCAAAGCGTCAACCAGGCTCTGGCAGACGTCATCAACGTTATCAACACCCTGAAAGAGGAGGACAAGTATAAGGACTCCAAGGTTTTGATCGCTGGCTGCTCCTACTCCGCCAGTATGGCCACCTGGATCCGTAAGCTATATCCTGACATTATTTTGGGCAGCTGGGCTTCTTCCGCTCCGATAGTGGCCAAGGTAGACTTCAAGGATTACTTCAAAGTGGTTGGTGAGTCGTACAAGACTCTTGGAGGACAGAGTTGCTACGATTTGATCAAGAACGCCACCTCCTACTACGAGGATCTTTTCGCAAACGGAAAGGGAGACCAGGCCAAGAAGGAGCTCAACTTATGCGAGGAGTTCAATTCTGACAACAAAAGGGATCGTTGGCAAATATTCAGCACCATTGCCAACATTTTTGCAGGAATCGCCCAGTATCAAGTGTAAGTAGCACAACCACACCAGTACCTTCGACTTCTTAATTAAATAAAATCCCATAGTCCGGCGAACAAGGACATTTCCAACGCATGCTCGAAGCTGAGGGGCTTCAGCGACGATGACGCTGAGGCGCTGTCCAAGTTCGTTAACTGGAAAGTTCATGAAGACACTGGCGAGTGCATCAGTGCTACCTTCGACGGAACTACGGGATACTATGAATGGTCCAAGGACAACTACGAAGATAGTAAGTATTCCAAGAAACATTCAATTGAGACATTTTCTAATAAACAAAATCAGGCGACCTGCCCTGGTTCTTCCAGACCTGCAGCGAGTTCGGATGGTTCCAGTCTTCCGGTAGCAGTCAGCAACCCTTCGGATCCTCCTTCCCGTCCAAGCTTTACGAAGACACCTGCAAAGTAGTTTTTGGCTCCAAGTACGACACTGCTGGAATAAACGCCAACGCCAAGGCAACCAACGCCGAGTTCGGAGGACTGGACATCGACGTCTCCAACGTATACTGGGTGCAGGGGGGACTCGATGGCTGGAAGAAGGTGGGAGCCGGAGTCCCGCAAGGAGCAACCATCATCCCACAGGCGGCTCACTGCTCCGACCTTGGTTCGATCTCCGCCAACGATAGTCCCGAACTGGTCGCCTCCAAGCAGAAGGTTATCGCTCTGTACGATGCGTGGTTGGCGGCAGCCAATCTTGAAATCTGAGAGTTTTCATCTTAAAAATTTGAAAACGATTCTCTCTTACTTTTTATGTTTCTTTAAAGTTTAAACGGTCTCAAAGACTAATGTTGGTCTCAATAAAACAAAAATTTACTATAATAGAACATCTTTTGATTATCCTGAAAATATTTCCATTGACTTTACAGAAAAAGTGCATACTTTTCTGCTGGCTTACTTACTTTTTGAGTACAAGGATATATTCCATTCCGTAGAATGTATGGTACAAGGGTACAGCAACGTTTTGGACTTCAAAAATTGAGTTTTGATTTATTTTGGTTAAAGGAGACGTACAACTTCGTTTAAAAAGGACATATTTTTTTATACAATATAAAAAGAAAAAGTTGTGACCCGAAATATATTATAAAAAGGATTTATGCCTTACATGTGCTTTGTCTAAAATTCGTCCCTTAAATGTTCAATTTTTTAAGTTTACTGTGAAGAGTTGAAGTTTAAAGTTTAAAAGAAAATAAAATTAATTTTTACCCTTACAAAGGGTATATCCATATTATGCTATTTATTTTGTTATTTGGTATTTGTAATTTTTAAAAATTTTAATTTTTTTTAAAAAAAAAAGATATGTATTTCTCAAACATCTCTAACGCTATTATAATAAACCTGACAAGATTTGTGATCTTTTAATGTATACTAAAAACTGTACAAAAGCTTTGGCGGTGAAGCCTCGGAGATTTATTTTATATATTTACCTTCTTTAGTATAAATTTCGATTTTTCTTTCTCTTTTTTAGCCATTACTCAAGCAAACTTTATTAAAAGTTCACTGTACTTGATAAGGAAATCAATGAAAAGATAATTTTATTACGTTTGTTGAGGTGGCTTCATTTCGAGACACCCCTTTCTTACATCATGATAATACTTCAGGCTTTTGAACAAAGAAGGCAAATAAAAAGGTGTTTGTTTAATAAATGGTAGGTAAGGATTGTTTATAACGGGCTTAATTAGCCATTGAAAAATGATTTCATTGGCGTGTGCACACTGTCCAACGAGGCATTGATTGGGGCAGTCCAGTTATTCAATAAGCATATGGCGGTTGAATAAAGGTCTCAGAATTAATCTAAAGCGATGAAGACAGTTTTTTTTTTCTTTCTTCCAAAAGTATTTCAAAATATGATCTATAGGGAATAGATCCATTAATTTTTTAAGGTAACCCCCTAGAAAATCGGATTGATTTTGGCAAAGATATGGGCTTTTCTCTGCCTCATATATATCCAGCTTTTTGCAAAAGAATCCATTAGGAAAATTCAGAAAAAAATATATACAACATTTCGTTTTCAGGTTTTGCTATAGTTACCAAGATATGGTTATGGTTTGCCGTTAACTATGAATATCCTGGATTTTAAAACGAAATATATCAAGAAAAATTGGAAATTTATCGACTCCATATTTTTTTTACAGGTATTTAAAGATTAGAGGAGAGGAATGGATCTCAAATCATTGGTACATTCAATCATTCTTTTTTCAGGACAAATTTGAATAAATTAGAGAAATATGTAAAATGAATCGATTACACTGCGCAGTTCTGTAGGGTAGAAATCAATAGTTCAAAATTTTTAGAGTTACTTTAGTAAATACACAACAAAGGGCGACAAAGGTCGATATAGCAGATTTTCTTCAATAAACCTTGTTATGAACCATTTCCTTTTGTTAAACTTTAATTTGAAGACATTTTTAAGATACCACATTAGTATTTTTATGGGCATACCAGTGTTTTTACATAACCGACTAACTAGTATGCTGAAAGCACCATTTTGGATCCCCGATTCAAAGGACGTGTATTTAAATCTAAAGAAGCGTACAAAAAATCAGTTCATAATTTAAAAACAAAATTGATATCCTTTTAATCGGCCGCTGCTCAGACTGAATCTGTTTTGATGGATAATGCGTGTCAAGTAAATCTGGAAGGATTATGACACAACTTTGCTAAAAGTCAGTAAGCATTCCAACTAGATAAATATCTAGCCGAGGAATACTTGTACATCATGCGAACAGATGATCCATTGGTCTGATGGGATCAGCGGGAATCCCAGTATTCGCTGTTATACGCATATATGATTAAACGGCCTTGTATAGTCGCCACATAGTAAGTATATATGTAGTAAGTAAGAAACTTGTATAGAAAGTTTAAAAATTAAACATGAAACATATATTATATTTTTGAAATTTCGTTGGCTTGATAATGCATTGACCAACCAGTGAGCAACTGAGCTTCTGATCAATGAGCAACTGAGCAATGTACAGTGAGCTCACTGAGCAATAGTTAGTAATGAATAGTAATAAATAGTTAGCAAGTGAGCAAGTGAGCAGTATGAGTTGGGGCAATTTATGAATGTCCTTTATTTTTATGAGAAATTTGAATAAATTAGAGAAATATGTAAAATAAATCGACTTCACTGCGTAGTCTTTAGGGTAGCAATCAATAGTTAAGACAGTTTAAGAGTTACTATAATAATTGCACAACAAAGGGCGTCAAAGGTCGATATAGCAGATTGTCTTCAATAAACCTTGTTATGAACCATTTCCTTTTGTGAAACTTTAATTTGAAGGCATTCTTAAGATACCACGGTAATATTTTTATGGGCATACCAGTGTTTTTACATAACCGACTAATTAGACCATTAAATAAGAAACTTATAAGACACTTATCCATGACTTTAACTAGGAAATCCAATGAACGTAGCTTCGGCAACGTGATGTAACACGTGAGCCGAACGAAGAACACTTGACTTTATCAGAGCCATATATTTTCTCATATTTGTTTGCCTTCCAATTAAGTCCCTTCAAAGGCCCTATCTTCAAATGACTAAAGCGCATTCCGGCAGCGAATATTTTTTGAATAAATAGTCCCCCCATTCGATGAGGAAATCATTCGCAAACTTGTGAACTATCTAGCAATATGAAGTATTTTCTCAGAGCTTTAGCCATCCTGGCTGTCCTGTCGTCTCTCACTGCAGCCGCAAGTTTGGGAGAACCGACGCCAGTAGCCAACGACTTTATCCGATCCTTCAATGACCTCCACAGAGGTCGTCCTGTCGAACCAACGATGACCCGTGCAAATGTTCAGGAACGGTGGATCACCCAGTGGTTGGACAACTTCGACGGGGACAACAACGCCACTTGGGACGATGTGAGTCACCCAAGATGCCATGGTAATTTCAACACTTATAAGCTTTCTTCCTTACCAGCGCATTCTGATCAACGAGGACTACTTCGTCGACGGGTCACCCATCTTCATCTACCTGGGCGGTGAGTGGAAGATCCAACCCGGTGACATTACCTCCGGACTCTGGGTAGACATTGCCAAGCAGCACAATGGTACGATCGTCACCACCGAGCACCGATTCTTTGGCGAAAGTCTTCCCATTACGTGAGTTTTTTCTTTTAAAATAGTTAGGACTTGAGTCCTAAATTCTAAAACGTTTCTTTTAGTCCGTTCTCGACCGAGAACCTCGAGAAATATCAAAGCGTAAATCAGGCCCTGGCCGATGTGATCAACATTATTGAGAACCTAAAGGAAGAGGACAAGTACAAGGACTCCAAGGTTGTTATTCATGGCTGCTCCTACTCTGCAACCATGGCTACCTGGATCCGTAAACTTCACCCAGACGTTATTGTGGGAAGCTGGGCTTCCTCGGCTCCGCTGTTGGCCAAGGTAGACTTTAAGGAATACTTCAAAGTTATCGGCGATTCGTACAGGATCCTTGGAGGACAGTATTGCTACGATTTGATCAACAATGCCACATCCTACTACGAGGATCTCTTCGCGAACGGAAAGGGAGACCAGGCCAAGAAGGAGCTCAACTTGTGCAGCAACTTCGATGTGGACAACAAAAGGGACCGTTGGCAAATATTTAGCACCATTGCCAATATTTTCGCCGGAATCGCTCAATACCAAAAGTAAGTAGCTCTGTTGTAGACAACCAACAAGGTTAAATTTTTACGATTGTCATGTTCATTAGTCCAGCGAATTATGACATCGCCCAGTACTGCTCGGTGCTGAGGAGCTTCAGTGATGATGACTCTGTGGCCCTTTCCAAGTTTATTAACTGGAGAATCCATGAACACACCGGCCAGTGCATCAGTGCCACCTTTAAAGGAACTACAGATTATTATGAATGGTCCAAGGATAACTACCAAGACAGTAAGCTCTTTGAATACAAAAACGTTGAACAACTTTTGACCAACCATCGATTTCAGGTACCCTTCCCTGGGTCTTCCAGACCTGCAGCGAGTTCGGCTGGTTCCAGTCTTCCGGTAGCAGGCAGCAACCCTTCGGATCCACCTTCCCATCCAAGCTTTACGAGGACACCTGCGAGGCAGTCTTTGGCTCCAAATACAACACTGCTGGAATTCGAGCCAATGCCAAGGCAACTAACGCTGAATTCGGAGGTATAGACATCGACGTCACCAATGTGTATTGGGTGCAGGGTCAGCTCGACGGTTGGAGAAAGGTGGGAGCCGGAGTCCCGCAAGGAGCAACCATCATCCCATACGCCTCCCACTGCCCGGATGGAGGATCCATCTCCGCCAGTGATAGTCCCGAATTGGTGGCTTCCAAGCAGAAGATTATCGCTCTGGTGGCTCAATGGCTGGAGGAAGCCTAATCCGATATAGTTTGATTTACATATATCTCAAAAGATTAGGTCAATTTTCCGTTTTTGGAAGTACGATATCCCTTATTCTTTAATGTATACCTAACCTACAAGCCTTTAAAAGATATAATCACAAACATTTGGTCTCAATAAAAAAAATAAGAAATATAAACCTTATCTTTTTAATATTAGCCAAGAGGTATTCCAGCATAACCCAGTTCTTCTCTATTCAAGATTCTTAATCAGCCTTTGTTATTTCCAAGCTCAAGGTATTTGCAAAAATGATGCAATAAAACTGAAAATTTATGTAGCCCACAAATCCATCAAAAATATTTGAAAAGGTGTGACCACTACGACAGCCCCTCACGGACCCGAAAAACGATGGGGTTGAGGGGGCCCGAGGGTTCTCCTACACCCAATGTATTGCACTAAATCCAGAAACGTGCTGGGCATATCAAGATCCCTAGACAGCCGGCTACTTAAAGACTTTGCAATGCTTTAGAAAATGTCATAAATCTTGGGAGCCGAATCCGAATCCGAATCGAGTCACGCATTATAATGACCTGACCAGACCAGGCCCCAACAGATCCCCAGTCTACTTGGCTTTCTTATAAATAGCATTAAGTACAATTAATTCGTGGGTCTCGTATCGTTTAAACTGTAACTGGTACAGTTCTTTTTCCGCTTTCAAAGGTTTGGTTTTTTTTTTAGAAAACCTTAAAGTCCAAGAAATGCCAAAGTGTTGAGTTGCTGGTCAAATTATTTTGGTATGCACCACGGACATGAACAGGAAATACTTTTGCCGATGTTGAGGACAAAAGGGGAATTTTTTCGTTGGTGTTTGAGAAATTATATTGAAACAGAAATAAAAATTCTTGCCATAATTTGAAAGTTTATCGAAATTGGCTTCCTTCTGAGATAAATTTGTATTATTTTTGCTGAGAATAGCAGCTATATTTTGTACAAAACAAGTTATATTTAAAATTTAGTAAGTTGGCTTAAATAATCTCTACAATTTCTAAATCATCCTCGAAGATCTTGATCTTCTTGGACCTCTTTCAAAGATCCGCTGGTGGAGAACAATCAAAGACGAAAAATACCAAGATTGAATTAGTCAGCACAAGCCATAAACCTGGGAGAACGAGATGAAAACAAAGGTCTGAGCCTGAGAACCTGGCAATAAAATGACAGAAGAGTAGGAGCCGAAACCAAATTACTCTCGACCAGGGTGCGCAAATAACAAATCAAAACCGGTGACAAAATGATTTAGGAACCGGGCAAAAACGTTCACACGGAGCTGCCGATGCCAGAGGATCATGGCCATAGCCGATGAAATCGAATGAGAGACGGGCTGGTGGCTGGTGGCTGGGGGAGCAACATGCAAAGATTCTGTTCGATATTGTATCCTTTTCGGGCTGAGCATTCCTCTACGTGGCTGCCGAACTTGGCCGGATTGGTGGGTCTCATTGTTAAGAAGCGATAAAGATCACAAGAGTAAATCATGGCCATCGAGCCCCTTGATCCCCCTGGCCAAGATTCAGCCTTGACTGCTGCAATGCATGAACAAGTAGTTGAGCAAATGGATACACGAACCACACAGGGTTTTTCCGTGTCGCAGTGGCTTTTCATTTTCAACCAACTCTTGGGTATGGGTAATGGCTTTCAATGTCAATGACGATGAGGAAGACTTAGTTCTCTCCCTCTGTCTATGAAGAAGACTCACTGGAATATGCTTTTTTTTTGCATCCTATCAAACCTCAAGTAATGAATGTTTATTTGAATGCATTTATACATGAAGTTTTCTATTGTAATCTATAATGTACATGTGTTAGATAAAAAATAGTTCCTTGAGAACAGATTTCAAATATTTTAAAAATTATTCTTAAGCAGATTAGCTGATTACTTTTAATTTAATCACTGTTACCAACTGTTCAATCACCTATCCTATCTGTTATCAACTCTAATTCTTTACTAAACACGCACATTGTCATAAACTCTTACAACATCATGGTCCTGCTGGAGCTGTTCGAGGAACTCCTTGTAGCGCTTCAGTTGTCGCTCGGGGAGCTGGACCAGCGCCTTTTTCGGGCTGTGCCCCAGCTCGGAGTGAGTGATCTTGTAGCCACAATCCCTGAGCTTGGCTTTAACCTCGCGCAGGTCCAGTGGAGCACACTGAAAGGTGACGGTGCCCTTCTCGTAGCTGTTTGTGGTGACACTCGTGGCCTTGCACCACAAGGCATCTGTTTGCAGGGTCTGATTGAAGTCCTCGAGGCTCAACAGCACCTTGTCCGGGAGAACGGCTTCTATGAAGCCAGCTTCTTTGAACAAATGGCGATTGACGAAGCGAGCTTTATGCTGCCTTAGTATGACTGACAATCGAAGCCTCAGGTCACTGAGATTATCAGTCCTGGCTTTGCAAATCAGCCCCACAGCCTGGCGGCCGTAGTCTATGGGCAGGATGTAGGTGGTCTGATTCCGCTCGTAAAGCTCGCACTCTCGCAGGATTCGCTGCACCCGGCTGTAGGGCAACTGCATAGGAGACAGGCGAACTCTCAGCTCTGAATTTCGCTCGGGATCGATGGAGCCACCACCACGATGAACAGCCAGACGCAGCTCATGGGCCAGTCGCACCTCGTCGGGGGTGTCCGCGTCGAATTGAATCTGTTTGGTGCTTCGTGGAGTGATATATGAGGCAGGTCTGTCTGTGAACTCACTCGAGCTCCTCGATCCGTATGTTGGAGCCCATCGCACCCGCTTCACGGCCATCTCGTACTCCTCCTCGGGCAGCTGGATATCCAGGCCATTGCGCTTGTCGTTCTCCAGCTTGGGAGAATCTGACCGCGTAAGTGTCGGCTTTGGGCGATATGGCGTCACACTTGCCCTCAGCTGTGGCAGCTTCGAGGACAAACGCTGATCCATTGGTTCTAGGCAGCGGTTTTTCGACATGATGCGCTTACTTTAAATTTAGATTACAAATGATTTCCCTGCGAGGTCAAATAGAATGCTAATGCACGAACGATTTTTATGATAGATATCTTCTAGAAAAAGCCTACCCTTTTCCTAATAAAGTAGCTACTAAAGTATGAAAAATTATAAAGAATATATCTGATCTGAGTACTTACCGTATCGGCTGCTGTTAAATTAATGCCAAGCCCTCCAGCTCGGGTAGACAGTAGGAACACAAAGATATCCGCTCGTGTCTGAAAATCGGCAACCATATCCCGACGAGCTGAGATCTTACTTGAGCCGTCCAATCGCATATAACGATGCTTTCGGTGCCACATGTATTCCTAAAAAAGAAGTAACGATTTTTAAACAAAATTTAAATAAATCTTTCATTAAGCTCACCTCCAGCAAGTCGATCATCTTAGTCATCTGTGAGTAGATGAGCACGCGGTGGCCATTAGCTTTAAGACGGGTTAGCAGTGTATCCAAAACGAAAAGCTTTCCGGCATCGGTGATCAACGTCTCCTTGTCCGGCACCACAATCGAGGACCAGCCACCATTTGGCTTACACAGAGCCAAGCCGCTGGAAAAGAGCTCCCTGCCATCACTGTTTTCGCACTGTTGGTGGCGGATCTGAGTCCAGGCGGCAGAACGACTTTCGCAACTGTGAAGTAAAGGATAGTTTTACACCAAAGACTACAAGACTTAAGCACAGAAATCTTACTACAAATGCCTGTTTACGGCGTGTACTTTTTGGCCCAAATCATAGAGAAGGCGCGGCATCGATAGAGGCTCGCACTTGTAGCTCCTCGGCTTTCGTGGTCGATGGGGAAATTCTGGCAGAAGCAGAAGCTTGGTCACCTTAACATCACTCTTGGTGTTGGATTTCGTTTGCACTTCCACCGATTCCATCTCGAGCTCCTGCTTGGAATCTTCGGAATACTTATCGATTAGACTTGTCCTTTGCGTTAGAACCTTGGAGCGAATCACCCGATGCTCAATGGTCTCCTGCATGTTGTAGGTGAAATAATTTCCAAAAGCATATACACTGCTTTCGTTAGCGGTCTACCAAGAGAGAATTGTGTTTTCAATATTTTTATTTCGAAAAAATAAAGTTCTACAATTACCATGGCTGTGAAAACAAAGTTTCGCAAGACACAGCTCGGAAGCATATAGTCGGGAATCAGTTTGTTTTCCAGCATCGGTTCCAGGAGTTGATATCTGGTTGTTATCCAGGAGCTAGCGCGGTTCTTTCTCCACCATTCCCGACGGTAAGCCAGAAGCGGATACTTCTCAAGGATAACACGGTAATGTAAAAGGCTGCAATCGAAATTAAAATAAAAATAGCAATAAAGAATGATTTATTGTCAAAATACTCACAAAGTAATCAGTCCATTGAGCGTGACATCCACCATATCTCCAACTGATAGATCACAGAAGCGTGTAAATCCAAAGGCGCTGTCCACATTGACGTCCTCCCAAAGAGACCTCTGCATGTACTCCGATTTAAAGATGTTGAAACTATAAAGAATTGAATAAATTTGCAAAATTTTAAATCGCATTCCCCTACCGATTGTACAGCAGGTGCCGTCGACTTGGCAGGGCTCTGTGGAGCAGTCCTTCCTCGTACACTAGTCTAGGTATTACATACTCCGAACATCGCATGAAGAACGGACTCCTTGCGTCCCTTCTCTCAAACAACTCCGGATGGTTGCACACTTTTCGGAACTGCATGACCAGGTTCATTAGGTTCGAAGCAGACGAGGAGGATGAGGGAGCGGAGGATCCGCTGGTCAAATGCAGGAGATCCTCAATCCTAATCTTTTGCTTCAGTGCCCTGTAGAGTAGCTTCTGGCGAATGGTCAGGGGGCAGTATACCATTATTTCAATCTTGTCCGACAACTCATTCTCCACGTCCTTCTTAATGCGCCGCAACATGAAGGGCTTGAGGATCATGTGCAGCCTAGAAATTTGCTTCTCATCGATACCCGTCTTGTTCTCAGCATGCGATTCAATATCTTTGGAGAACCACTCGTTGAACTCATCGTGCGAATCGAACAGGGTGGGCATGATGAAGTGCAGCAAAGCCCAGAGCTCAGCCATGCTGTTTTGGATGGGAGTGCCACTGAGAAGTAGTCGATTCCTACAGCTGAACCCAAGAAGTAACTTCCACCGCTGCGATGCCGCACTTTTGATGGCCTGTGCCTCGTCCAACACCATGTACTGCCACTTGATACGGTTGAAGTACTTGTAATCGCTAACCACCAGCTGGTAGGAAGTGATGACTACATGGAAGCTGGCGTCCCGAGTGTGCAGGTGTTTTTGGTCCCAAAACTGACGTAGAATTTTTCTTTCTCCCGGCGAACCCCAATAGGGCACCACATTGAAGTCAGGAACGAATCGGGACATCTCCTGCTGCCAGTTGTGGAGCGTGGAGGCGGGTGAGATCACCAGAAACGGCCCCCACACTCCGTAGTGTTCCGCTATGTGGCAAAGGAACGCTATGGATTGGACAGTCTTGCCCAAACCCATTTCATCTGCCAGAATGCCACTAATTCCCTGATCATAGATGTTGGCCAACCAAGTCATGCCTTTGATTTGATACCCCTTGAGGGTTCCTTTAAACATCTTTGGTTGTGGCAAATCTTTCATCTCCTGGCGGGGAGTGGCATTGGTTTTGTCCTCGCCTTCCTGCTCCTCCGGTTCTTCCGACTCTTCAGGCTCTTCATCCGGCTCTTCCTTCTTAACAACCACATCAAATGCTTTGGTTTTATCCAAATCCCTCTTCATGGCAGCCTCGGCATGCTCTTGGGCCAACAGCTTCATCTCCCCTGCATCGTAGTCATCTTGCACCGATAACCTGGCATTTGTCTCTTCGTCCAACTGACTAAGAATACGTAATTGATCTTCCTCGCTACCTTGACCCAATTTTTTCGACATGAAATGGGCATACAGTTCGGTTTGGGTGATCAGGAAGTTTAGCTTTCGCTGCTGACGCTTCACTTCGATTAGTTCCACGTCCTGTTTCCGCTGCTCCTCCGCTTCACGTTCCTGCTTGCGCCTCTGATCTCGCTCCACTCGCTCATACCGTTTCCAGTATGTAAGCATTTCCCTGGTGAGACGCTTTGCCCGCCACACAGTCTCCTTCATTATCCTTTGCGAGTTAAGGGCACGCTGCCGCACCACTTTAGCACACATTCCAGCTACCCTCTTGCAATTGGCCAGCATTTCTTTGTGGTTGTTGCTCTTGATGCGCTGGAGCCTACCAGATTCCTTCTTCGACATAATCTGCCAAATGCGACGACGGCGTGCGGCCAGTGCTGCGGGATTCTTCCGCTTGCGTCGCACTTTTGTCACCTGTCCCTCCACGCCTCCAACGACATCCACTTCCTCTTCGATTTCTTCTTCCTCTGGGTAATCTAGGGCCAAACTAGCGAGCTCCCGTTTATAGTCCACCTCACCGCCGTCTTCATCTTCGTCATCGTTAGTGGGCAGTGTGTCGCCGAAGGTATATCTTCCGAGTTCCGAGGGCGGAACCTCGCCGGATTCAGGCGATCCCAGAATGTCCCGCTTCTTGCGACCACGTCTTCTTTGTTTGGGCGGCTTGGGACCAGCCTGAGCTTCGGCCAGGCGAGCCATCAGGATCTCCTGCTTAGTGCGCCGTCGTCGCTTGCGCACCCCGGCAGTAGCTTGTTGGCGCTCGGCGAAGACGTCATGGTTAGACAACAGGCCACTGGAGTAGTAGGCGAACTGCGCGTTCTGTGGATAACACTTTGAAACTATCCTTAACGTTTCTTACTTTTAGTTTACTCACTGTGGCCTTTTTGTAGTAGTTCTTCCGCTGGCGCTGCTCCCTTATGTGCTCTCGGAGCATTTGATGGACATATTCATCCTCGGTTATGCTTGGATCATCGCTTTCGGTGTCACTCAGCAACAAGTCGTACAACCACTCCCGATCGCTGGTCAAATCGTTGAAGTTGTATAACTGAGCCTTAACACTTTGTCGCTCTGTAGAGTACAATGTCAATAGGGGCTTTATTCATTTCTGCATGAGATTCGGAACTCACCCTCCTTGCTTCCTAACAGATGCTTCTTGCTGCTATGCAACTGCCTCGTTTTGACAATTCCAACCATAGACGAGTCATCGGAATCTACCGGCTCCTCTTTTTTTATTTCCAACTCCTCGCCGCTGTCCTCGCTGCTCAAGGGTTTCCTTAAAGCTTGTTTGGCCATTTCCATGAAGGGTCGCATATTGAGAGCCGCTTCCAGCCGCTGTATGTGCAGAGGCTCCGCTATGGCCCGAGGACGTTGCCCGGGTACCGTCGCGTTTCCGGGCTTGGTGTCCATGCCGGCCATTCTGTTAAGCCCGTGTTAATCTGATTTTACACTATATTTTCACGTAATTGCAAATTCGTCCGGCACGCGTAAAGGTAAACAACAGTATGACCGTCGCTGGTGCACGCGGAAAATACCAGCATGGAAGCTTCAAATACCAAAGAAATACTAAACTAGAATGGAGGCTACAAAAACATAGAATTTGAAATTCTAGAAACATAGAAAGATTTGAATTTATTAAATCCGCTTTAAAATAAGGATGTTATGTATTACATAAATTAGTTAACATAATAATATCATAAAATAAATTAACTCTAAATCAGAATCGTTTGTTTTATTTGTGTCAAAAATAAAAAAGAATTCAATTTTTTAAACAAGGGAATAAAGATATACTTAATAGTATACACCTATAAAATATCATATTCCAACTATAGTTTAATTTTCGCTCCTTTATAAAGTGCAAACAGTGAAAATACCTTTGCAGACCTTGCACTTTTCACATGAGATCATTTTGTCGCTTGAGTTTAGAAGCAGAAATTGGCGCTTTACCTTCTGAAGAATTTGAAAATGATGTGCTTTTATAAATTCGTATGACTTTTCGCGATAGTCGGTCAAAACAATCATTAACAAACGGGTCAGCACAAATTCAGTGGAAATAAAGAATTTTACCGACTCTGGCAGCTCATTCAACATTTCGTTTAGAAAAGTTCCAGTCAGTTTCAAGATGAAATTAAAAAGTTTTGGAGTTGCAGTCTTTGAGAAGACGCGAACTTTCTCTGGGAATGACTCGGCATTGGCCACGTACTTGAAGATAGCATCCCCATAATCATTAAGATTGAAGGACGTCTTTTGCATTTCTCCGTCCATAGCATCCTGGAAAGCCAGAGACTCGTGAGTGGGTATGGGTATGAAATATAATGATTCATGAGATTAGCTTACAATTACAATGTCCACGATGCCATTTGCAACACGTGTACCGGAAAGTGCCATCGAAGTTATGGTTCTTCCCTTGTCCGTCCATTGGGAGAACTTTAAATATATGACATATAAAAGTAGTGTCAGTCTTAATGTCCATTTTTCAAAATAGTTGCATTGTTATTAACTCACGGCTTTTGTGATCCCGGCAGCAGCTATACCGACGATACCACATATTGCAGTCAACCAGTGCCTGCGTGCCTCTTGGTCGGTCAAATTGATCAACTGCTCGTGTGTGGAGCGATCCACTAGTGCCATAATTGACCGGGTCGTAGCATATGCGGCAATGGCAAGACTCACAAATCCGAAAATGCCCATCACTACAGCCGTGAAGGGAAAACCACACACTGCCACAATTGAGACTCCCGCACAGGCAAGCCCTCCAATCGCAAAACTCTTATCAAGGACTTGAAGAGTTTTGCTACCAGCGCTACCCGCCGGTGTTTGAAACTTGTCCAGGCGCAACTCTCCTCCCACCAACTGGTATATTCCGGATTTTGGGACCACCATGGTACCGGGAGGTAACACATTGGTATCCACATAATGTTTCCAATTTTGGTAGACGCGAGCGTTTTCGTCAACAAACAAATTGCAGCAGTTGGAGCTGCCTTTTCCACCTTGAAGAAAAAGGAATTTTATTAGCTTTACAAAATGGGAAAAATATTTTCACTATTAGGGTGAAGAATATCTGTTCATATCATACATTAAGTTAAATCAATGATAGAGTGTTAGAATTACGGCGGGTATGGAGAGAAAATAAAAATGTTAAGCGCCTAATCTACAAGTAGTCGAAGAATTCTCGGAATACATCGAAACTTTTATTTTCTCATTTGGAAGAATATCCGACTATGGAAGAATATCTGTTCAAATCATAAATTTAGTTAAAAAGTCAGTGGTAAATGGTTCTAACCATAAGGGCGGGTCCATAAATCGGAAATTGAGATAGAAAAGATTTGAGGAAAATAAATAAACTTACTCATGCAGCGGCGGGCTATGATCACTGGGTGACAGGAGAAATTCGTACTTTCCTCAGCGGCATCAAAATGTTCTTCCTCTGGGACCACAACCACACAAATTATGGCTGTCAGCGATTGTCCGTTTGTATATTTTCCTTAACATAAAATACATAAAGCTAATAATCAAATGATAAAAAAATTGCAAATTCTTACGTTGATTCCACACAGCTGAAAACATGGAGTCACGAATTTTTTGGACACTCGATAATTTTTCAATTTTTCTCTTCAGCAAATATGGTTGATCCTCAGGGACCCTTCATTTCGATGGAAAATATATTATACTTTTTAAAAACTTCGTTTTTATACTTACAAATCCCAGACTATTTCCTCCTTGTAGCCAAGAGATTTCGCAAAATAATTCTGCAATTCTTTAACGGTAATCCTTTCATTATGAATCAGGGCCATTTTGCAAAGAAATTGTTCAAAGCGTCAATTTTGTACTTTATTCTTAGAAGAAGCGCAAATGAAAGCGAATTCCGGGCAAATTGTCCAGTGTAACCAGGTACTGGGACGAATTTCGGTAAACTTGCACAGTGTGACCAGGTATGGAGAGAAATTCCGACAAAATTTCCCAGTGTGACCAGCTACTGGGGCATCAAAGATGCTACAATTTAATTCTTTTTGTGTTGGTGTTTTGTTATGATTTTTAATTTTTGTAATCTGTTTGCAATTTGTAATGTCGTGGTCAAAAAATTTGGTTAAAGAAATTGTAAACTCCAAGAAACACATTATTTGCACGGAACTAGCCGTAGTCATTGCGGACAAGTTCCCAAAGGCTCGCCATCATTATCTAGTGTTGCCATTGGCCGATATTCCCAGTATATTCGAAGTAAGGAAACCAATCACGCCCTATAAGAACTCTTATATGTAGATCCGTATGTTTCAGTTAAATCGAAGTCATTTGCCATTGTTGGAGGAACTTTTTCTTTTAGCCCACAACGTTGTGGAGGTAAAAGGCGCTCGCTGGGAGGATTTTAAAGTGGGATTTCACGCGGAGCCTAGCATGCAAAGGGTTCACTTGCATGTCATTTCAAAGGATTTTGACTCGCCCTCTTTGAAGACCAAGAAACATTGGAACAGCTTTAACACCGACCTCTTCGTTCCTTTCGAAAGTAAGTATTTTTGGATAAAGTCTTGCCTGACTTTTGCAATAGGAAGTTTTATAGGGTAATGAAAAGTAGCAATCTTCTAATTATTGCATTTTTAGAACTTTTTGCCCAAGTGGAGAAGGACAATTGTTTTACCCGCTTGCCAAAAAGCCTGAAAGATGAGCTGTTAGCCAAGCCGCTGCTTTGTAACCAGTGCCGATTTACACCTACAAATTTACCAACACTTAAAGAACATTTGGCGGAACATTACCAAGAAAAAAAAGCCCAGAACTAGTATGTAACACTGAACCAGTTCGATAAATTTTTTTTAGCAATTGACAGGTCTTCCTTTGCAATTCTTCATTCGTGTAATTCACAAAAAATATTTCGTTTTCTCTAAGCTATTTGGAGCAAGAAATGGGAAAAAACGATTCACTAGATTATTTTCGCGACGAACTGTCGCGAAAATTAAAGGATAAGAAAAATTTTATTATTGAAAGCGATCGAGCGGTGGTAATCAAGGCGGATTTTCCGAAGGCCCAGTATCACTTCCGAGTTGTGGCCAAAGACGAGCTAAGAGATGCTACTAAGGTGCGTTTCTTTTAAGATATAAAATATATATAATATTTGTAGTCTATCAACTAGTATTAATAGTCTTATAAAATTTAAAACACGTAATTTTTTATTATTTTGCGTACGCACAAAAGCCGGTATTCAAAAAAATTAATGAATGGAAAAAAATTACTTTTTGTCGAAAAATCTGAAAAGTATTTATCTATGTTCTCTTTCTAGTTAAATGCGGACCATTTGCCTTTGCTGGATCACTTAATGGACCTGGCCCATCAAATTATCGAGAAGCAGGACCATTTGGAACCGCACCACTTTCGCATTGGCTTTAAAGTTAATACATTCTGGAACCGCCTTAACTTACACGTCCTCTCAGATGACTTCTACTCGGTGGCCATGAAACGTGTTCGTCACTGGAATAGTTTCAACTCTGAGCTATTTATGCCCTTTCATGTGGCCCACATGATGCTAAGCTTGCAGGGCTCCATTGACCCCATTTCGGATGAGAAGTGCAAAGAGCTGCAGAATAAGTTACCATTGCACTGCAACCAATGCGAATTTGAAACCAATTTACTGCTGGATCTCAAGTTTCACCTATATCAGCATTGGCAGGCTAGAGAAAAGGACCGTGAACAAAAGAAAAGCCTCGACAAGATTTTAAGCATGTTGGAGACTTCCAGCATTAGTGATGCCGCATCTGGTAATACTTCTGAAATGGGAAAAGAATTGGTGGAAAGCCCAGATAGACCGTTACCAACGCCACTACGATGCCAAGCCAAGGAGCAGGCAGCTACTGGCTATGCTGAATATGTTGCCGGGCCCCCGGTAAACATGATGAACATTCAAAATCCCAACAACCCTTTCCGGAACACTCCACCGTTGAACATCAAACCATTGGATCCGCCACCACATAATCATTCAAGAAACCACATGACTCATGGTCCTAGGGGGTCCGGCTTTGTTCCACGCATGAATATGGCACGTGGACCTCGGCCCTTCAAAGCCTCTCGGGGTCCTCCAAATCAGGAACGTAACATGCAACCGAGATTCAGAGCACCAATGTACCAGCAGGGTCATCAGCCAAGGGGTCCCAACACCTTCCGGCCGCCACCACCAATAAACCAGCCGGACTATCATCTATTTAGTGGTGGACCTGTTCCAATGTTTGGGTCTCCACGGGGTCCCAACTCCCAACACACACCTACTCAAGCAGGTGCGGTTATCCAAGCTGCTTCTACTGGTCAACATCACGGGGCTAGACCAAAATGGACTCCAAATAGAGGAAATAATACGAATTCAAATCAGGGCAATCCAAGTCAGCAAAACCTTCAGAATTCGAATCGACCAACACGTCCATACAAAAATAATAATAACAACAATAAGAACTCAAATCAACAGCATCGCCAACATCCTAATCAACAATCGAACCAACAAAACCGTCAAATGCAGAACTCTAATAACAATCAACCTATCCAGTTTCAAGGAGCCTCTGGAGCTCAGGGTCAAACAACTTCAAGTCAATCGAATCAAACCAAAAGTGGCTAAAAAGTTGAATATTCTATTTTAATATTGCATTTAAATATAAAATATTTTTCTCAAGCTCTCTGAGCTAAACTTCCTACAACTTGAAACAATTTGGATAACACTAAGAGTTGATATAGTTTTCCATGACATGCAGAGCAGTAAATTTTCCTTAACTCTATAAATATCACATCCAAGAAGGCCAAGAATGTGTTATAAAGTAGTTAGGGTAATAACTACATAGGGAAAAATAATTTTGTTAAAATAAATAATACTAACATATATGAATTTATTATTTTATTTTAAAGAATGCATTTTCATGCATTAAAAATATATAGACATACCTTAACCTTACACTAGTATCATTTGATTTTAATTGGAAATTAATGGGCCTTGGAAATTAATCCCCTATACACGTCTTATCACAGTTATTTAAGGGGTTATATACAGTTGTGACAAATGAAAAAATCGATTTTTTTTTTATTACATATTCTTTAAGTATATTCTATTGGGAATACTCTCACAAAAATTCTTAACGATCGGAGCATTAAAACCGAAGCTGTAACTATTTATAGCGCACTATCTGCATATAAAACTTGAACAAACTTGAAACTTTAAACGCGATTATCTCAGAATCTTTTTTTTGGGAAATTACCTTTGCGGTGGACACGATTACTAAAAAACTACTAATCCGATCAACACCAAATTTTGACCACTTATTTATTATGATATTAGCTAGTCCGTGAACGAGGGATTTTCAATTTTTTTGAAAACTCCTTTTTTAAAGCACAAAAAACGAAAATCTTATACGTTGAAAAAGTACATTTTTTGTTAAAAACGTCGCCATTTTTTTTTTAATCAAAATTTTTAAAAATCCTTCGTTCACGGACTAGACAATACAATTTACTAACTAAACTTTTTTGAATTTTGGATTTCGGATGAACCGTTTTCGAGAAATCTTGTCCACCGCAAGACACCATCGAAAAAAGACGATCCGGGAATTCGGCTATAACATTTTTGTTATGTAATATTTTTTTATGAAAAAATTTAATTAAGTACCCAGAAACATGTACTAAACAACGTCGGTAAAACATTTTTCATAAATATTTTCTATGGTGTCAAAAAAAAATCGATAAAAATCCATATTTTTGCGCGGTACAACTGTATATAACCCCTTAAACAAACACCGAGCCACACATTTCACTGGAAAAAGGAACACCTGCGATACACCAGTAATGCCTCGATATCGTACTGCAAGCAGGCGTACGATTTCAATTACAATTATTTATTAAAAAACAGATTTATAAGTTTAGTTTTATGTACTAATGTACTATGTACTAACTAATGTAATTAGTTTATGTAATTAGATCATTATTTTACGGACATGTTCCTAACGCCATTTGTTTTAAAGGAAATTTGGGTAAAAACGAAAACAAAATTGCAAGCAAAATATATAATTATAAATTAAAAGAGTATAGAAATAGAAATCAACTTGTTTTAAAAGTTGGTTTGTCCTAATAATAAAAATTTAATTTTTTAATAAAAAATAATAATTTAAGAGAACAAAAATTATTCGAAAATTGTTGGGTTCGAAAATTTAAATTCTACATTAAGTTTTTTCGATATATATCCTTGCAATATCCGGTTTTCAGACAAAAATTTACTTTAATCCCAGATCCTTTTCGATGGCGTGCGAGCACATAGCAATCATCTGATCCTTGACGCTTATGAAATTGTGAACTGTTACGGGCTTAGCTTCTGGCCAACCGGCAAGGTCACTGTTGATGGGGCGACAGAACTTTATGCGGAAGTACTGAATTGAAGCACAATTATGTATCAAAATATTTTTTAGATTTTTTGTCCATTTTTGGTGATGGGATCCCTTGAAAACGGGGTTTTCCCCTATATGGCCCACTGTGATGGCTACATCTTCCCCAATTCTTATCCGATTCTTAAGCGGAGTACCTTAAACGATTTCTGGATCGATTCGCCACCATTCTGCATCAAAATCCTGAGAAAAAATATTTTAAAAGCTTCGCGCCATAACCCATCACTAATACCAATCATTCTAGAATGTATCGTATCGATATTATCGATAAACATTTTACAGCATGACCATATGGCTATACATAGTTGATTTATTTTTTAACAATCCCTTTTGAAATTTTCGTTTTATTTTCATATTTTATATGCTACAACAAAAGCTTAATTCTGTTCAATTTTTTTTGGTTGTGACATTTAAAATTCTATCTACATTTACATTTTAAAATCGCTCTGTCCCGCAAGCGTTTTCCAACACTCATACTCACTCGCGCAGCCAACTTAACAAGGCATTTGTAAGCAAAATTTGCGAAGGAATTATTTTTATAAAGAAAACCCGCTTTCGCAAGAAGAAACTTTAAGGGAGGCTTAAGAAGATTTAACCAGTTTGCAAAGAAGCCAGCTCGCAGTCTTTTGCCCAAGAGACCAAGTTGAATCTTATTGTGTACCGAAACGAGACAAATACAAGGTGAGTATAGAAAACTGCATAGTCATAGCGGCAAAAATAAAAAATACTTCTGGTTTATTTTTCTTATTTTAGATAATAATGGATACCTATTTGTTCGATGGCGGCCGCATCACCAAAATGGAGGTGGACTATGAACCGGCTTGCAATGAGAAAATCCCGCTGGCCAAGGAGTTGGCTAAGAAGAACCCCGATGCCTTCCACGAAGCCATCGAAATGATGTTGCAGTTGGAGAAACAGACGCGACTTGGCGCTGACATGGTCTCCTGCTCGCGCGTTCTTGTGGCCATTTGTCAGATTTGTCTTGATGCATCCAACTGGAATGCCCTGAATGAGTACGTTAGCCTGCTGGTGCGTCGGCGATCTCAACTCAAACAGGCCGTTGTAAAAATGATCCAGGAGTGTTGCACTTACGTGGAAAAAACGCCCGACAAAGAGACGAAGCTGAAGTTAATCGACACCCTTCGCTCGGTTACTGAAGGTAAGATCTACGTCGAGATCGAACGTGCACGACTCACTAAGATCTTGGCGGATATCAAGGAGGCCGATGGAGATATCGCCGGAGCGGCCACCGTCATGGAGGAACTCCAGGTGGAAACATACGGCTCGATGGATAAGCGAGAAAAGGTTGAACTCATTCTGGAACAGATGCGCCTGTGCTTGCTAAAGGAGGACTACGTGTCCACCCAAATAATTGCCAAGAAGATCAGCATTAAGTTCTTTGATGACCCAGCGCAACACGATCTCAAGCTTAAGTTCTACAACTTGATGATTCAACTGAACCGGGATACCTCTTTCCTGAATACCTCCCGTCATTACCAGGCCATTGCAGAGCCTCCGCGCAAAAAGACTGGTCTCACACCCGTCGATTCCTCGCTTTCCGCTGACGAGCAAAAGAAGAAACAGGAAGAGGATAAAAAGAAAAAGGAGGAGGACTTGAAAGAAAAGAAAGTGGAGCCCGTCGCTGAGCCTGAGGTGGAGATTGAGTTGACTGAGGCCCAGAAGAAGGAGTTGACGGAAAAGCTAGTCAGTGCCGTGTTGTACTGCGTTCTGGCGCCCTTCGACAATGAACAGAGTGATATGATGGCACATTTATCGAAAAACAAAAAGTTGGAAGATGTTCCAGTGTACAAGTAAGAAGCTTAACACCTACCCCAATCATTCATGGTATAATTATTCATTTTATTAATTAATTTACAGAGAAATTCTGCGTTTGTTTATGTCCAAGGAGCTTATAAACTTTGACACTTTTAACGCTGAATTCGGACAGGTCCTAGCTGAAAACGAGATGTTCAAGGACAGTACAAAGCACGGAAAGAAATGCATCACCGAACTGAAGGATCGTCTTATAGAACATGTAAGCAGATAAAGGAATTTTGCAATTTTTAAACAGTTAACTTGATTATTATTTCCTGCAGAACATTCGAATCATTGCAATGTATTACTCCCGCTTGCATTTGACGCGCATGAGCGAACTGCTTAATCTGCCCAGCAGCCGATGCGAGGAATATCTCTCGAAGCTAGCCAACAGTGACACCATACGGGTGAAGATCGATCGTCCAGCCGGCATAATTTACTTCACCCAAAAGAAGAGTGCATCGGACATTCTCAACAACTGGGCCACCGATGTGAACCAGTTGATGTCCCTGGTAAACAAGACTTGCCACCTAATCAACAAGGAGGAGTGCGTCTACTCGGTCATGTGCGCTGTTGAGGAATAGCCAACATAAGAAAATTTAGTTTTCCCTCTGAAACGCCTGCCTATTCATTCTGTAATTGTAATCGTACTAACCTCCCAAAAAACATAAATACTTCGATTCTCTTCACAAAGTTTGTATTCATTGAATGAACTACAATAATAAAAACAAACCCCGTAATATCCATTTAAAACTGCATTTTCGTAATGTTTTGATTTTTTCCAGCACTCTTCAGGGATTTTGCAACACTTGCAAGCGTTTGTTGCTTCTTCTTCCTCACGCTTGCTTTTCATGGGCGTAGTTTAATTAAATTGAAATAAGGGATGTTAAGAAGAACCATCTGAGGTAAAATGGCCTCATTATTAAAATATAAAGGCCACAAAAGTTTTTATTTAATGAAATATTAAAAAACATCGTTTTATCAAATTTTAAATTCATGAAATATTAAGAAGGCTTTTGTGATTGTTATATATTATATGAAAAATATTTATTAATTTTATTTAAAATAAATATAAACTCTCAAACCTTTTTAAAAAATATCGACATCATCCCTCTAAAATTTTTAACCACGCCACTGAAAGCTTGTTATTCATTGTAATTGTATCATACTGCATGTATTGAAATTGTAAATATTTAAAACTCGCAAAATGCCGAAACAAGACTGCAAATACTGGGAAAAGTGTTATCAGCGAAATCCAGACCATTTGTCAAAATATAATCATCCCCCAAAGGAAGAAAAGGAGGAAAACGGCTCGGATAGCAAAAAAGTGGCGCCAAAAAGAAGTGCATCCTCGCAGTCAGAGGAAAAAGATAAGCCAAACACCAGTAGCTCAAGTGCGGAGAGTGGAAACATAAAGGACATTCAAGAAGAGCCCCGGGGAAGCTATGAATCTGAAACCGCCGAGCTGCATAGAGAGGCCATGAACAATATTGCTGGCAAGAACTATATGGAAATTCTGGAGAAGCGCATCCGATTATCAGTCCAGCAAGAGTACGATAATCTCTGCCAGTCCAATGAATTTATCCGGCACAAGTTCTTGGTTGAAATGCCGCCCGACTTTTACGAATTCTGGAAATTTGTGGGCACCTTAAAGAACGACCAGTCCGAGAAAAACACAGCGGGTCTGGATCATCTGGAAAAAGTATTTCAGTTGCAGCTAGTGGGTCCCTTTGAATTCCTGGCCGGAAAATTTCATGGGGCCAAGATGGGAGAACCTGGAGACTACTTGCGACACTGGCGTTTTTATTACGATCCTCCAGAGTTCCAAACCATTTTCGTGCGCAAGAACACGGGAGTCCACTATGGTTACTGGAGAGATGTGCCACAGGATAAGGATAACCTGTTGATTGCCAGAAACGATTCCACACAAGGATGTGAATTTACGTTCATAGCTGGAAACATTTTCGATGCATTTTTATATTATTTGGAGAATGATTTTGTGGGTACACCGTTCACGGCAAACCAGGTTGCTGGAACAAAGAAATCGGTTCAAAAGTACTTGTCGGATCAGTCCCTCGAATTGCCACAACTGGATCGCCTTCAGAGGGATCGAAACAAGCGTGTGGTGGCCAAAACATTCCATAGAGCTGGAATTGTTGTGCCGCTCGATAAAAAATCCCAAATGGGGTACCGCCCGCTTTCCGTAAGCGATGCTGAATTAAAGAAAATGCTGGCTTTGCTCGAACGCAAGGACATCGATAATGGATCTGCCAAGCAGGCAGTGCTGGAGAAACTTCAGCCGATAGCCAATGCGGCCACCATTGCAGTAGACGAGTCGGATTTTGGAACCGCTCTAGAGTTCGGCATCGACATGTTTAGCAGTGGCCACAAGGAGTTGCACATGCTTGCCTCCTCCTTGTTGGTTCCTGCATATTCAATGCTCTCCCGGCCGCAGTTCATCGCAATAGCCAAGGCGCACATGGAGCAGCGGCGAAGGGAGCTGAACCTCAGCATATTTGAAGTACTAAAGTAATTATATTGAAATATATTTTTATTCCATAACCGCACCATTTTTAAATGAATTAAAGTTATATGGAAACACAGCCAAACCAGTTGTCTACATGTACAGATAAGAGTTCTCCTTTCGGGGCGGGATGTAACTGGATGTGCAGGCCACACCAACGCTCTGCAGAAGCTTAAGAACAGGCTGTGCAGCAGTCGAGTCCAAGGGGATCTTGTCAGTGTAAATAACAAAGGAGCTGATCGGCAGATCCTGCTGATCCCTCCAACTGGCAACTAAAACGATACATTTTTAATGGGCTATAATAAACGATGTATGCATAACTCGTAGGGCGTACCTCCAGCTGCCACACCGGCTATGAAATTTGGAGCTTCTAGTTCAGTTATGCCCTTCTCATTGGCACCCACACCTCTCACGATGGCAATGTCATCGCTGTACAACTGTATCTCCTCGCTTTTGAACTCGACCTTTGGTTTAAGCGTCAGGGTGACCACTTTCTTGGCCACCTTTGCAAAGGGAAGCAGTAGCTCTGTAACTTCTCCGCTCTGGGTAAGGTCATCCTCTAGGATGGCCAAAAGTTGTTTGTTTACAGGATTCCAGTGTAAAGAGGATGTCTTGGCGGGAATGCTGCACACACGTTTAGAATCCTTAGCCAGCACTGAGGTGCCAAAGTGAGAGATTTGAGAGCCTTCGATGACTACCAGAAGATCGCTTTCAAAAGCTGCTTTACTGCCAGCCCATTCGGCCTCGAAATTTAACTCCAATCTGCGAATCTGAGGGATTAATGTATTCAATAAACATTTTAAAATAACTTACTTCTCAGCCGGCGTAATGTTCTCAAATTCATCTTCGTCACAGTCGTCCCAAAAGGCGCGTGACGAAGGAATGTTTAATTCTCCAAATCCTGGACAGCTCATGGTGTTTGTTTTAAATAAATTTACAGGTGAAATTCAAATAAGATCTTGAATCCGGTCACTGTGTTTTGTTCAAGTCATCAAACGTCGGCTCTAGAGATGGTACCGATTTCGATAAATAAAATACGAACAATATTGGTATTTAAATACCATTTGAATGTAGGCAATGTTTTGATAAAATTATTAAATAAAATTATTAAAATTATGATGATCCTTTATTTTTGTCAAAGCGGTGAGATAATATGAAGAAACATCCTCGCGGTATAGCCGATCTGGGCCAGGAACCTTTTAAGGCGTTTCATACTTATTTTGGAAAATACGGTGGTCACACTTCGTCACCAATTCCTGCAACACACAAAAAATGCAAGATGCAGGCGTGAATTCGAATTGGAAAAAATTCTCTGATTACAGCCCCCTGATTAATTGAAAGCCACGCGTTGCCGAAACGGCAGCCCAAGTGCTCTGAGCGAGGATTGTGCCCAAAAACGCGTTCGGAAAGCAACGCCATGCGGAAGCGCAGCTCACGGTGTAACTCTGATACTTTCAAGGAGCACCAGATGGATTCCAACGGTGGTGACGACATCAGCCTGCTGCAGCGACCTTTGCGCACCGCCCACACGGGATTCGAGGAGGCCCGTCGTGCCTATGAGGATGGCACTAGTGAGGTTTGTAGTTTTCTTTAAGTGGAGTACGTGACTCAGCTTGGACCAGCAATGGCGAACGCTCCTTTGCTGGAACCTCTTAACAATTTCTTTCACCTTATTGCAGGTGCGCCAGTTACTCAGTATGGAGTGCAGCTTGATCTACGAGTGTAAGGTGTGCCGGAATATGTTTCGCAGCCTGGCCAATTTCATCAGCCATAAGCGTGTCTTTTGTTGCGTCAGCGCCCGCTTGGCGAATGGTAATGGATACACAGTGAGTGCGCAGTAAAGAACCCTTTTATCCTTATACCCAGCACCAAATGCATGTTTGAAACTCTAACTACACCGCCTTCCTAGGATCTAAACTCGACGATGATAATACAGCCCGGCAGCGGACCTTCTTCACAAGATATAGAAAACATGTTGCGCAGCAGGAGTACAGGTTGCTCGCCAGTGCCGCGTCCTATAAAGGGGGGAGGTGGAGGAATACGCGATCTCAGCGGCGTCATTGAACGTTTGCGTAGGGAGAAAGCTCCAAAGCAAGTTCGAAGAACTTCACCCACAGTCCTGCAACTGGAATCGGTGCCCACCTCCAGTCAGGCCGTTTATCAAACTGTCAAGGTTCAGGACCAGCACGACAGCATACGAACGGAACTGGACGAGGTGCATCGCATGCTTAATCCCAACGACACTGTAGTGGGACCCGATGGAAAAGCCATGAACCCAGTTAAAATAGAACGCCACACTGGCAGCGACTCTGGAGAAACTGGGGAACAGTCAATCAGTGACGAAACGGATACAGGAATCTTTTGCGAAAATTGTGAGTGTGACTATCCAAACAGGCTTTGACATTTGATTGGTGACTTGTCTATTTTTCGCAGGCAATCTGACGTTTCAGACGCACAAAACGCTCGAGCTGCATATTCAAAAGCATCATACGTCCTCAGCATTTGCGTTCCAGTGTCCGGCCTGTTCGCTGACTTTTTTGCAGGCTGCTGCTGTTATTCGACACCTATCCAAGGACCACAAGTATGTAAAGACATGATCGGAGACATTCCTTTTATTTGGGACTTTAAAGAATCAAAATCTTAGACAATAAAAGACATTCCTTTTTGGGAAAAATTTATAATTTTCAAAATTTATTTCTATTCCAAATTGTATTAATTCTTTTGAAAGAGTCTTGGTGTTTATGAAACCAAAACTCTTAACTCATGAAGCTATGAATCCGAGTCGTACTTATTTTTTTGTTGAAAGAACCACTTTTCTTTGAAACTATCTTGTTTATTTTTCATTTATGAATCATAGCCATGGAGTAAACAGAACTATTACTTAGATTCTCGTATTCTTTCTAGAAAACCAACCAGACGCATTCGCATGATGAGGAATACGATCCTCAAGCGCCGCGTTCAGCAAGGCGATGTTCAACCCAAAGGACCTTGCCGTGAACTGAAGCGGCTGAAAATGTCCGATGATGTGGTAGGCTACGAGCCAGAGCCATTAGGTGCTGGTGGTGAGAAGCGGAAAATCATGTCGCTGTGCATGTACTGCGAGAAATCCTTCGAGCGCCGCGCCGCTTTGTCGACCCACTTACTCAATTGCCGGGCGAAACAAGAAGCCAGGCTGGCCAAACCCATAGCCTGCGCGAAAAAGTTGAAAGAATCCAAGAGCAATGACTCCAGTTTGGATGCAGGCGACGAAGATCCCTCAGCCACCATGGATTTGCCTAAAATAGAGATGGATGCAGAAGAGCCTCCTATCGAGAAGTTTGAAAACTTAGCAGAGCCGGCTAATTCGTTTCCCTCTGGCCTGCATACAGTCTCATTGGACAAGCTGCAGATACCCAACGAAAGCGATTCAGCCAGCGATGAGGCCTCCAACAGTGAGGACGAACCGGAAGCCGATGCCGAAGCTCCAGCCGGCCCTGAATCTAATCCCGATGCTGACAATTCCAAGGTGAAGGGGAAAAAGAAGCGCAATGTTCCGGTGGAGAAGCAGTTGCGGTGTCGCTGCAAGATCTGTCACAAACAGTTCAATGCCCTCGGCAACCTGCGTCGTCACATATCCATGTTTCATTACCGCGCCCGCCGCTTCGGCTGCAATTTGTGCGAATATCGTGCTTTTCGGCGCTATGATATTGTAAATCACCTGGGTTTCACTCACAAAATCGAGGGCGATCGCGACAAGCTGACGGAACAGTATGTGTCCACGCACGAGTGCGAGTATTCCCGAGATGATGTCGACGGGGATATAATTCTACTGGATAAGGAGGAAAAAACCTCACCAGAGAACGAGGGCAAGTCTACCACAAAGGCGAACGAGACCAAGCCTCTCGTTAAAACATACGAAAAGCGCTTCAAGAGGGTCAAGACAATTACAGAACCTACTGGGGGAGAGGAAGGACGCATATCTCCTGCCATGGAAATTAAAGAAGAGCCCGTCGACCAGGAGCGGGTAGAACCGCCCCCCCAAGCTTCGAACAAGAAACGTCGCAAGTCGCGCAACCAAATATCGCCTGAATCTGGCGATCATCACCACCCAGAGAAGCGTCCCACCCGCAAACGGGTGAAGGCAGTTAACAAGGACTTTGTCTACGACATGGTTAGCTTCAAACCCGATGCTTCGGGTCAACTGAATCCAGCTGCCCAGGGCGTAGACTCCATGCGGGCCAAACTTCGTCGACACCCTCCCACGACGACGACAAGCGGAAATGAAGAGAACAAGCCCAAACAGTGGGAGGATTACATCACGGAGGCCAAGAGGCCGCTGGTGCTGGGCATCACGCGGCGTATCATGCTGGAGCTGGTGAGTCAAGGCCGCGCCGTGTCCGCCACTTTGCCGGAACTGCCCGCCGAGCGTCCGCAGATTCGGCCACGTCTAGTGTCGCACACCCGCAGCGACGGTGGCCAGCAGCCAGCCCAACCTGTGGAGGCTCCTGCTCCGGAAACAGAAAGCTTCATCGAGAAGATTGCCAAAAGAACGGCGGCAGCTAGCAAGGACTCGGCTGTTGTTAACAACCTGTGGAACAAGGTCAACACGGCGATTGCCCAACAGAATCAGAACCTAAAGGAGGAACCCGGCCAACTACCGAAACGGGAAGTGGAGAAGGAGCAGGTGGCGGAAAATAAACCTACCGAAGTAGAGAGACCAAAAAGCCCCCCGCCCTTGCCGACGCCTTCGCCCTCGCCAGCCCGCCATTGCCCCAACGAACCCATACCTGAAACGTTGGCAACCACTGGGATGGAATGCCTGGACGGCAAGGGCAGTCAAGCGGGAGCTCCGACAACGTTTCCGGCCCTGCCCAAGCCGCCATCCGTTCTGCAGGCAGCTGCCAATGGAACCATCCAGCTAACGCTGGACAGTCTGCTACGAGCTGCTCTGCAGAACTAAACTAAACGGAACCGGAAATGGAAGCCACCACAATCTCTGTCATCATTTTTCCAACGTTCGCCTTTTCCTTTCTAATGAATTTTCGTCGAACTTTTGGCTGGTTGGCTGGTCGCTTTCTGGTCTCCCGTTTGAAGGTAATTCACTAGTGTCCTTATTCTAGCTGTAAAACCAACTAAATAGGAACTAAATCAAACCAAGAATCCCTAGATGATAGAAACGCTTTTGAGTATTACGCGGTAAACAAAAACAACCAAAACAAATTGAAAAATCGTAGCATAATTTTCGGCTATTAGCAAATCTTTGTTGTTTGTGTGAATTGAGAAAAAAGTAATAAGATTTTTTAAAATGTTATAGTTAATAATACTGTATATGTACCTAATTTTATAAATCCACATAAAAATAAGTCGCAAGTGTATGCGGGGTTATATGCGGTATGTGCTGCAGACTGTACTGTCATCGAACAAGTATAGGGGTTACGACTATATTTAAATTCTAACAAAATAAGTTTGTTTTTTTTTTATAAACTACTCATTCCCATTTATTGTATAAAATTATTTAATATATTATTTTGTAATTCCTATGCTCGAATCATTCGCACTGGATTAGGCACACCCTCTATTTTAAGTATATGTATGGGTATATGTATAGATGGAGATGAGATGGGTCTTGGATATTACGTTTGTTGACGCCTAATCTTGCCATCTATCATACGAATCTATCGCACCCCCCACCTATCGTCCCACTACCATCTAATTAGCATTATTATATTCGGGAACACAACAGCTGAGTTTGAGCCAAGAACACATCCAACGACGGACGACTTCTGCATGATGCTGCATAAATTTGTTTTGGAAAATGTTAATTGCAAACTAAGCGAAAGTCAGCCGAAACTCAGCCGGGAGTACAAGACAGTCTGCTGTACATACCACCCCAACCCCATACCCCAGATACATGTTTGTATATGTATTTTATACATACGCACTGTTGACTTGGCAAATATTTTGCCAGAAAGCAACAGAAGCTACAAAAAAAATTAAGAACAAAAGGGAACGAAGCTCTCACACAAACATTCAAATAAAAAAAAAAAAAAAACAAAAAAAATGTAAGAGTCCTGATCTACTCAAGTAGTTCAATGTATTTATATATCATTGTATTGTACAAGGTAGAGCCTTAAATCAAATCACCAAATGATAATAAATCCTACCATAATCACCGACAAAAACAAGCTGAGAAAGTGTATTGATTACAGGCCAGGCCAACAAGTGTCCAATTTCCAGTGGCCAGGGCACCTGGTTTTTTGGGTGCCCCAGATGAGGAGCCAAGCAGTCCAGTGAATTGGAGCAGGTCTCAGATATGTACCCATAGGATGCCTCGGCCATTACTTGCTGCAGATGCTCGACAATAGAAATTGTGTCACGGTCAGGAGTCCACGCCCAGGACATGGGGATTTTGGACTGAGCGTAGGGATGGCTTTGAGGGCATAGGGTGTATGGTGTGGCACGGATGGTGGAAAACCGAAACCGGGCCACACTTTAAAGCTAAGCGTGTGCGTATCTGTGCGGGAATATAGAGAGCATGGTGGCCCAAAAGAGTGAGATGGGGCATGCGGATGGGGCAACCAGAGACAGAGAGAGAGCGAGTGCTGGCGAAGCGCAACTGTGTGTAATTGGAAACCGAAAGTGAAAACGCCCAGGCCTTGAAAGACTCAACTGGGGCCGCACAGATATGAACTCGAAATTTATTTATCAAGAGGTGCCATGCCACACCACCCTCAAGCCATGTAAACTCATTGCTTTTCAATTTGATGATTTTTATGGAAAAAGCAGGATGTTTTTGGGGGGAAAATTGTTCTTGTCCTTGTCCCAAAGTCCTTGTTAAATATATTTGAAGTTTATGCATGTCATAAGGATAAACTATCAATATAAAAGGTTCTTAAACCTTCAATTTCAACTTAAATTTAAATAAAATGTTTAGAAGAAAAAAGTCGAATTTATAGAAATTTCATTAGTGCTGAGGTCTGAACTGAAAGGACGCCATCAGCGACATCAAATTAATGCCACTTACAAAGGCATTACGTTCGAATAGAGCTCCGAGCACCCCCATAGCCGAAAGCGAGGGCGACGGCAATGTCAATACCAAGTCCTACACCAATACCTCTCTGTAGTGAGACCCAGACTCAGACCCAGGCCAAGCCCACTTTGCTGAGTAAATTTGTGCTGCATAAACTGATTAAGTGATTTTAGGTTCATGTCCAGGTTGTTGTTGATGTTGAGGTTCAGGTTCAGGCAGGAGGCACATGCAAAGGCGCTAGGCATCCGGCATCCACATTCAACTCCGAACATCAACAATACACCGCTGGGAACAGCCAGCTGACATGGAAGAGCAAGGGCTGGGTGATGGGGAGGAGGGACAAAAACACACACACACCATATAGTATATGCGTAAGTGGCAGGTGGTACTGGCACTGGGACTACTGTGTTGTAAAGAGATCCCTTTATGCAGGGTCATAAACGCGTTTTCCTCATAGAAAGTGCAATTGCAAAGGAAACCCGGGAAACGGGGAACTCGGAAATGGAGATGCCAGGAACTGAGATTGCTTTTAAGGAGCTTATGCCTTATGGTCAATAAAGACCAACTCACTCTCGTGCAAACAGCAGTTGCCATTTATTGTGCAACGCAAAATGATATGATTTTCTGTTCTTCCTGTACTGGGTACTGGCTGGGGATAGTGGTGGTGGTGCTGGTGGACAAAGTGATTTGCTGCTGGCGGTGCAAGCAAAAGTATCAGTAGTGCTATTGACAATTTAATTAAAAAATTAATTGACAATCCGGCGACTGTCATCCGGACCTCTTCATAGCCTCCAGTGATTTTCCATTGCCTCAAAAGCAGTCACCAAGTGTATCCTCTGTGCTTAAAGTGGTTCCTGGAAACGATAAATGTTGCATCGATTACATTAAATATTTAAAGTGGTATTCAAAAGGATTTCCAACCAACTTTAATAGCCATAATATCAATAACTCATCATAATATATCTAAAATTTTGAAACTATTTTGAAACAAAAATAACTCATACGCCCTGGGGACCACAGCAGCTCGACTCCCCATTGGGCGCTACTTAAAATCAAATTAAGTTAATTAAATCGACTTCGTGCAGCTCGGATATCTTTCAATTTGGGTCACACAGCCACTTGCATGGAGCAGCCAGCTACCCAAGGGATCGGATTGGAAGGAAATGTGGGGCTAAACAGGACGCCTCACAATTTTCCCACGAGTTTTCCAGTAGCAACAGCTGCGTCCTGTAAATTCTTTTCCTTCCTTCTGCTTTTTTTTTTTTTTTTGGGACTCAGCAAGTGTTCAAAGTGTACTAAGTACTGTTTATTTACTTGCCGCCCATTTGAATAGTGGCAGAGCGCATTATTACCGATTATCGCCGAGCTGGAGCAGATGCTGCCGGAGTCGCAGTGGGTTGCCAAATAAACATGGACAGCGATGACAGGGCGGGGAGGGAGGACGAAGCAAGGGCGAAGGATGGCTGATGGCTGGATCTGATGGGTGGGTAACCTACTAACACAGACAGCCATGAAGAGAGAAAGTAAGAAAAAAGCTCGGGAGAAAGTTGTGAAGATGAGTGAAAGCAGCCGCACTGGCTGTCATCTGTTGGCGGGTTCGTTTGCCGACGTTAGCGACCCGCGACGTGTTGTTGCCGTAGGACGTTGAAGGACACCAGTACCAGCATCATCAGCATTAGGACCAGCAGCAGTAGCAGTGACAGTATCAGGAACAGGAGCACCAGCAGCAGCAGCATCACCGAGTTGTTGTCCTAGTCCTGGCCGAAAGCTCTCGGCACTACGGTTTCGGTATTCGGCTCTCGATTACCAGCTCTCGGTATTGGTGAAGGCTTCTCGGCAGCCCGGAGCTTCGTCAGCTCAGTCAGTCGAGTTTCGGCCGTTTAACCCAGCAGAGGTGTGCAGCGGACAGCCAATATTCCACATCAACATCAGGAGCAGAAGCAGAAGCAGACAGAGCCGCACCAGTAGCAACATAAACTGAAAACGGAAACAGACACAGAAACAGAAACAGGAGAAATAGGACATAGTAACAGGGCATAGAAACAGAAACAGAAACAGGAGCAGACACAATAATTACGGCGACAAAAGAACAACTGCCTGACTGCCTGCCCGACCGCGTCTGCCTGCCTGCCCAGCCTGCTAGCCTACTTGCAACTTTATATCCGACAGATACAGGACCTCCTCAGCGGTATCTGCAACTGCCATGTTGAGCTGTCAGTGACTGACCTGCCACAGCAACCTATTGACAGACCAGACCATCCGTATTCATTCTACTTCGAATCGTATTCAACTGTCAGTTTCGCCGGATACGTTTGTGTGGCTCCGGTTTCAGTTCCATCATCATTAACCACAGCGCCGTAAAGTAGGCAACACGGACTGGAAATCTAATTAGCGACGTCAGTGTCAGGATCGGTAATCCATTAATTTCGTGGCATCAACAACTTTTTCGGGCCGAAAACAACGTACCACAAAAAAAAGGCGTTTCTCCTCTGACAACAACAACAAAATTCAGGAAAATCGGGAAAAAATTACACACAGAAAAAAAAGAGGGAAAGCGAACACTTTTGTTTCTGTGCGTCGGTGTTCGTGTTCCCGCGTTCGTGTATGTGAGCGCGTTTGTACGAGTGTGTTTGTACGAGTTTGTGTGTGTTTGCTGATAACGCGAGCCTGGTGCTGACATCACTTTCACTTCAAGCCAAGCCAAGCCAAAGCCAAAGGAATCCAATTCCCATCCTTAGTCTTGGCCCCAGGAAGAAGCTGCCAATCGAAACGCTGCACAGCAACAAAATCAATTAAACTACCAACTCAACTCAAGAAACAGCAACAACAAATCTGCCAATAGCCAATTATCGAGCAGGAAATCCTCCCAAGAAAAAAAGAAAAACTCAAGATGTTTTCCATGTGCAGCAAGGTAAAGTCGCGAAGTGCGGATATGGATGCGGATAGTTCGTTTATGCAGCAATCCCAGCAGATGCACTTGCAACAGCCCCAGGCGATGGGTAAGTGAATTTTTCGGCCGATTTGAAGAGATTTAAGTGAGGTGGGAAAGATGGGTTGAGAAAAGCGGAGAAAGTGAAACTGAAACTGTGAAACGGTGCCCTCATTTGGCGGAAAACCCTTGAACTCGTTTTGGCTGCCCCACCCCATTTCGAGTCCCTCACGGCTGCCTATTTTTCTCAATGAATTCACACACAGGCGCAGCTGCGCGTCTGTCTCCTACTTTCTCTTTCTTGTTCTCTCCTCCTCGCACACACTTTCTCCCCCTCCCGCTGCAGACTGACACACACACACAATTTATACACACTCTTCCACAACCGCCCACAGCTCGATTACTAAAGCGGAATCCAGAATGCGGTTTCATTATGCTGCAATTGTTGACAGTGCCACGCCCATTGGCCAGTTTATGCACTGGTCTGTGTGTGTGTGTGTGTATGTGTATTTGTATCTCTCAGATACCCTTCAGTACCAAAATTCCTTACCCCGACGATTCCTGGCGACATTGTCGAAAAACAAAAACAAATTGCATGGGCTTCGTTTACTCAAGTCCGAAACGAAAGGGGAAACGAAACTTCTACCTGCTTTTGGTTTTCGACGATGATTCTCGAGGCTTCTACGTCATAGTTTCGGAGCAGAGGCACGCGACAGAGAGACAATTAGAGAGATGTAGATGGAGGGAAGGGAGAGAAAAAAAATCTGTGCCGAAAACCAAATGAATGGAAGCGACGTCAGAATACCCTTTTTAAAATATGTTGAAATATTTTTATATATTTAAGATTATATTTAATACATTTTTCTTTTCTAATCATATGGTATATTGAAATGTATTAATAATTTGTGTTAGGCAAAGCCAATATGTTCATGTTTGATTATTAGCCTTGTGCGATTCTAATTACAAGGCATTGCTTTGGTCGACTATACCCTGGCACGCGCCAGAATTTTCGGTTGTCAATTTTCGGTTTCGTCTTGCCTCTCCCCTTCTCCTTTGCATTTGCTGTTCAATTTGCATCGGAATTACACGCGTTTGTTGCGTTTAAAGTTAAATTTTTCAAAAAACATTTACATAAGTGACCTAGTGATACTAACTAATTCTGGTGAGTAGTGCATATAATTAACTTATTTATTAAATACCGAGCGGCCGTTCAATATATGTATGTACATATGTACATATATTTATTAAACGGCATTAGCCGCTCGGAAATGTGTTAAATATTTATATACAGTATGTCAAGTAATTGTTTGCAAAATAAAAAATTTTAATTTTTGAATTAAATTAAATTAATTAAAAAATAATTTAAATTAAATTTTTGTGCCATTTGTATTTAGCAAACAATTACTTGAGAAACTGTATACATATATGTATATGTACATATATTTATTAAACGTTAAGGGAGTTAACGTTATTTCTTTGTTAAGGGAAAGGCCTCCAGCAATGCTGTCAACATGGAATTCCCGATTGCCACCGACGAGGCATTGGCAGCGTTGGAATTCGTCTTAGGCCGCGGCATGAAGGAAGAATGTGTAAGTATAATATTTATAAATTAAATATAAAAAAATTTTAATACCTATTAATTTTTGCAGACCACCGCAGTGACGAACTTATTGAAGCGCGGAGCCCTTACAAAGTCATTAAAATATATTTTCGCGGAGGACCTGATCGTCAATTACAATATTGACGGAGTAAGTGGTAAGAGGAGATTAAAGTCGTTTCCAAATTTTTATGGAATTTTGATTGGTATGTATTTTAATTACAAATAATGTAAGAGATATCTAATTTCTATTTATTTTATTTACAGATAGTATATCTATGGTGGATCCGGGGAAACCGCCGGAGAAATTGTTGGGGCACGCTTTGACGGCCATCAAAAATAATAATAATAAAAAAAAAATTAAAATAAGTAGTATAAATCTTTAGAATAAATAATAAATAATAATAGATTATAACAATGTATTATAATAATAACAATATAGATTATAACAATTCATAATTTCTTGTATTAATAAAATTTCAAATAAAATAATAATTTTGGTTGAAAAGGTTGGATGGAAAGGGGGGGGGGTGAAAATCCTTACAGTTCCTCAGTGAATCCCGTATGAATCCCACCTGAATTCCCGTAAGATTCCTCACGGTATACCTCAGGGATTCCTTGGGGTATTTCCTCAACGATTCCTCAGAGTATACCTCAGGGATTCCTTGGGGTATTTCCTCAACGATTCCTCAGAGTATACCTCAGGGATTCCCTGGGGTATTTCCTCAACGATTCCTCAGAGTATACCTCAGGGATTCCCTGGGGTATTTTGTTCGAAATCCTCTTCGAATACCTACAGGAATCCTGCAGTATTCCTTGAGTTGTTCGAATTCCTCGATGTGAGGAACTCTTCTATGGAAATTCCTTGATGGTTTGTATGAAACATACCTAGAGGATTCCTCGGGTGGCAATACTAGTACCTAGACGATTCCTTAAGGAATCCTTGAGGTATGGTACTGAAGGGTACTGTCAGTATGCCAGTGTGGGTGTGACAGTACTTGTACACTGCATTAAATCATTAAGCAGAGACAACACAACTATGTACATTAACATCAGATTCCGCTTTAGCTCCAGCACTCAAATTTCAGGATGGCAGGGCGGGATGGTGTACGGGGGGGTACTGTGTGGATTTGGATGTTTTCGAGCCCGGGAAAAGGGCGAAAATGAGTTAAAGCCCCGCTTCAGGTTACAGTTGCAATAGAAGCTCGGCCCTTGCATAAATCATGCAGCTGCACTGCAGGAAGTCGGGGGCTAGGTCCTGGATATTGAAGAGATTTTATTTCTCTTCTGTTTTTTAAGATCTGTACCTATATTTTATACATTTTTATCAAATAGATTTTACTTTAAAACAAATTAAACATGTATCTTAAAAGTGTATGTCTTTTATATTAAGTATACGCCCAATGGGCCGAGCATAGTTTTTTTATCCCTAACGAAACTCTTCTAGAAAAGATTTTATTTCCCTTCTTTTTTTTTAAGATTTATACATTTTTATTAAATATTTAGGTTTTACTTAAAAACAAACAGATATTTTAAAAGCGTATTTATTTAATATTAAGTATACGCCCCATAGGCTTAGCATAGTTTTCTCATTTGTGACGAAACTCTTCTCAGTGCACAAACATTTCTATGCACATACATAGCCAGGCCCTTTATCCACTCTCATATCTTAGCCAGGCCAGCAATTATGCCTGTACACGTTGTCGTTGCCGCTGTCGTTGTCTTCGACGCCCTTCGCGCCCGTCCTGCGTCCCGCACGGGTACGGGTCCGGGTACGTTGTCTGTGGCAGCCACTTGCAATTCTAGCTGATTTGTCATGTGCATGTGGATGTGCGGATGTAGATGCACCCATACCAGTGCATGCGGGGACGCGGATGTGAGTGGGCGTGGATGTGTGCGGTTGTATGCGTGCACTGAAGTGGCACACATGATGTCCGCTGCCTTGTCCCCATCCCTTGCATCTGCCATAGTAGCAGCGCTGTGTCCTTCGGCGGGCTCATCCGCCCACTACTCACCATTCCACCCAGTAACCCAACGGCCTTCTCCTCATCCTATGGTACGTCTCCACTTGGAGATGATCGTCTGTCGTTGTTGTCTACATTCCGTTTGGTCGCTAGCTACACAGAGAAAAATAAGGTCAAGTTTTTAAGGCTCTAGTGATTTATAGAGTTTCTCGCTTAACGATTTACTGAATTTCGTGAATTTTTCTCAGTGTTTTGAAAAGAGAAAAGAGCGTTTTGAGGGCAAGCAGTGTTTTTTAAGCGAGCCGTGCCGTGCCTCGAGCGATTTTCAGTGCCTGTGCCCATCCTGCCCATCCCATCACCATTCAGCATTCACCATTCCCAGCCAGAGCAAATTGTCGCAGGCCACTTTGGCCGTAATCAGTTTGCTGCAAAAGCAACTTTCTCGAGTGGTCGAGTGCGGCCAGAATGCCAAAGAGGTTCTTCAATCCCGAAAATGCAACTATTCTGGTCGGGGGACCTTTAATCGCTTATCAATTTCCAGAAATTGAATTCACTTTAATGGTTTTGTGAGAAATGCAATAATATGTCACAAATAATGAAGATGTTACTATATTACGTATACGCCCCATGGGTTAATCATAGTTTTTATGTTAATGAATATGATTAATTATGAATTATTAATTGATAATTCTACAAGTTTTGATCAAAACCATTGCAATTGTTTTCCTTTTTTCGGATTTTTGATAAATTCAAAGAAAATATCAGATATTAAGTATACGCCCCATGGCTTAACCAAAGTTTTTATGTTAATAAACATGATTAATTATGAATCGAATACTTATTTATTAAATAATTCTGGAAGTTCTGATCAAAACCATCGCAATAGTTTCTTTTTTTATGGCTTTGTGATAAAATCAAAGAAAATAGAAGATATAAAGTATACGCCCCCTGGGTTATTCAAAGTTTTCATTTTGATAAACATGATTAAACATAGTGATACTTGAATTGAAAATTTTAATTGCTTTTATTCGAAGCTCTACTCAAAATCGATCTCTATCAATTACCGAAGTTTAACTAAAAGCCCTAATGAATGCCCCAAGGTATTATGGTTACTTTAAACGTTTAAAACTTGAATTTTAAATGGAATTCCACCAACCGCCACCTGAAACCGGTATAGTAGTATAAACGTACAATGGTTTTTAAATTAAGTATACGAAGTAACCTGAAGCCCTTTGCCATCTTTATTGAAATAATTAATTCAGTCCACCGCAAGCGTCGTATTTGCCACTACCACTGGCCGAAACCCAGTATCCTGTAGCTGCTCCACGCCGCACTTTCTCCACGTCCTGGCAGCCGACATTCGACTCTCGGCTCTAGACCAAATAAATGGGATGCCTGTGGTAATGAATTTGAAATGAGAGACCAGGCGAACAGGGCAGCAGGGCAACTGCAACGGGGCAACGGAGCAACTGCATCGGGGCTGGCTGATTGAGTTGCTTTTGCTTTTACTGCAATTCCGAGGGAATAGCTAAATGAATTTTCGTGTTTCGCTTTAGCTATTTGTTACCTGTCCCCCATCCACTGCCACTTTTAACCCGCTTCTGGTTTCGGTTACATTTTAAACTCGCAGCTCCCATGGTCCAGGGATTCGGGCTTTCACTGTTTTCGGTGCGTGGGCGGCGAGAATTTAGTAATGGAGAGGAATCCTTGAACGGGAAATGGGAGCCAGTTGCTTCCATCTATTCAATTAGGGGCATCCTGTGACTGGACACCGAACAGCGGATGCAGATTGGATGGCATATCTGCGACTCACCCTAACTATATTTCTTGATTCTATTTTTGCAGGAACTGGCGGGAAACAAATCAAAGGCGGCTACCTATTGCGCTACAAAAGTGAGTATTTGTTTTTAAAAATCATAAAAATCATGCATAGAACTCATCAAACTATGCAAATATTCTTTGAAATACTCCATTATATTTAAATTTCCTGGGGAAAAAATAGTTTGAAACGGAAGCTTTACCTGCAGGAGGATTTTTTGTCAATGAAATGCAGGTTTTTTTAGTACAATGCAACGTCCTTGAAAGGACAGTCCAATTCAGACCTATTCGTAGGGCTGTCAGCACAGTTAGCAGGGTCCGTCCTGTCCAGGGACGAACCCTCGCAGTCGGCAGAGCTGAGACGACAATCTGTCAAATCAGCACAACATACCGCCACCCAACTCAAGCTCAACAGGATGACGCAGCAGGCATAGACGAGGTAGATGGTAGATGGATGAGGACCACATAACTGGGTGGGGTGTAATCATTTCGGGGTCACATTCAAGTGTAATTACTCATGATTTGGCAGCACAATGGATGCGTCATTGTCAAGTTCCCTCTGACAGTATTCGAAACAATTTCGTGCTCAGCTTTCGTTCAAATTAGTAAGGAAGAATACAAATATTTTGTAAGTAATTGTGGCTTGATTTTTGTTGCTTCATTTTTGTTTGGCAAATATGAAAAAAATAGGAGAGGAGACTGAAATTGTTTGCCTTTAATCTTCAAAAATGAGATGATATTCTAAAGCAATTTAGCAGAAGGGCTTTTAAAGGATAGGGAGGAGATCGTAATACCATTAAAACAAACTTTCTAATTTAACTTTCAAGAGCAAATGTTTTGGAACCGCTGGGCTGAGGAGTGGGTAGTCCTGTACGACGACTCGACCATGGCCTGGTTTACGGAGCCAGGACGGTCTTCACCATCTGGCAAGATCCTGGTTAAGGAGGCGCCCGAGATGCTGGCCATCGCCCACTGGACCGGCCAGATTCCGCGTCGCCCTCCACTCCCGGCCGGAGTTAGTGTCTCCCAGCTGATTGCCCTCGGATCGCAGCGAAAGCGCTCGAAAGTCTACTGGATGCTGGCCAAGTCCGAGCAGGAGGTGGGCGATTGGATCGATGCGATTACCAAGACCCTCCCGCCGCCCCCTCAAATCGAGCTGGTGGTGGACAAGCCGCATCTGATGAACGTGCTCCGGCGCCCGCTAGTGCGCATTAGACGTAAGTAAAGACTTTTAATCCTTTCTAAGTCCTTTTTGGATTATGGAATACTTCCCCAAAGCCTGAATTAAAATATTATCTTTTTTTGTGTTCGGGTGGAAGCTTAAAAACTGAATGAATAGTTTCTACTATAAATTTGTGTATCCATTTCTGCTTCCAGCTGCCACCCAGTCGGAGGTGAAGCAACGCAAGGTGTCGCATCACGGCAGTGGAGCGAGCAGCAGCAAAAGTCACCGATGCGGTAACGGCTCCGGAACTTCGTCGGCGGTGAGCACACGTCTGTACCGCCAGGTCCAGAATCCTTTGGTGAAGAGCGACGCAGCGGTGGCCATTCTCAGCAAGAAACCCGACTCGAAGGCATCCTTGGCTTGCGCCCTGCCTTGGGGTCACGGATGGGGATGGGCCACCCTGCCCAACGGGGTCTGGAGCGGAGGCCTGACATGGTCACAGTGCGAGGACACCTTCACCCTGCACGCCCTGCCCACCACCCACTGCACCAACCTGATCGACACCTCGTGCTCCGGAGCGGTCTACCACACGGACATCGGCGGCTTTGACTTCCACTCCTCCGGCGTGGACGACATCGGAGGCGAGGATTTTGACTATGCCATGGACTGTGGCGACTTCATATTTTAAACGTACCCCGTATTCGGCCAGCCAAACATCCACCCACCCGAGGGACAGGAGCCAGGGATCCTGGGCTCTTGCCCCGCAAAATTTTGTCTTCGATTGAAAGTGTAAAGTTAGGAATTAGAGTGTTTCCAAGGACTTACATAGATAGTATTTAGCTGTGCTTACGTTTACCCTCTGAGTGTTAGGTGTTGCAATAAGTTCGGACTAGGGCGGGGACATGCCGCGGGGGGCTGGCTGAAGAAGGACAAACAGTCACGTTGCGTATACGCCCCATTAGCACCGACATGTCCGTGTCCCGGGCCGGTTAACTATCTCGCTGTTCATGTTTTCGTGTTTAACTTTGTGTGCAGCACTAATTGCATTAAGCAGTTAAACAGCAACCCGCGTAGTGCGTTCTAGAATAACTATGATAGCAACAGGCCCGTGATTATCCTGTCCACGAACAGTTGCGGTCAAAGGATTACGTAAGCCCAGTTCTCTGGGGACTAGCTTTGAGGACTCTTGGAAATTCATATTCAAATATTTTTCTCCCTCATTTATTAATTTATGAATATTAATTTATTTCTTCTATCTCCATGACATTGAAATGAATTTCATTTAAGTGCCACCTTCGTTTTGACCGCAACTGTGGTCGTCTGACATCCCTGCGGCCGATAGATACATATGTATGTATGTATGTATGTATTTATACGAACTGTGTGTCTGCCAGTAGATAAGCATATTAAACCACACATTTGCCCCGCTTCCAGACACGTATGTAGACCTCTCGACTGCACCCAGTCCCGTGCCCCGTGAGGGTGTTGTTGCAACCACAAGCATTTGAAATGCGAAAATATTTTCGCATCGCGCATATAAGTAGGCTACAACATATTTTTGCACTCGACAAGCAAACAAATTACAATAAATAATGCAGACACGACGCATACGACCGACTAAATTAAAGTGAAAAACAACCAAAAAAAAACTGCATGAGATTGAAATACTTTTGTGTATTTTGAGACTTTTGAAATTTATATTGATGTTTGTGCAATTTGTAATGGAAACACTTTTTCAAATTGTTTTGCCATGATTTTCTAGAATTTTTGGAATCGATAGTATACAACCGCAAGCCACAAACCGAATACCAATTACCCAACGACCTCTCAAATCCTCCTCCCGTCTCCCAAGAGTACTATATAACGCCCTACTGTCCCCCTTCGAGCAGATCCATTTTTGTGTGTAAATTTTTGAAACATTTATACAGAAAGAACGCGCGCGTAATTAAGTCATCGGAAAAATCGATAAATGTTTAATATAATTGTCAACGCAAATTTTAAATTGGGGCATTGCAATTTTTATATAGCGTGTTGAACAAATACGACAGCAAACAGGAAAACCAGGTAAACAAAAATTAATTAATAAAGCGAACTCTAGATGTACAAAAAACCAAGTTAATCAACCACACACTCTCATGCAAAGTCATGTCTTTAGTGTTAGTGTTAGCACTTAAGCCATATGACATCCTTAAGACGAAATGTCAGTTAAGTTTACGAAACTAACTCACACAGATCGACATACCCACCCGAACTGATGTAAAGTTTATAAAACGAATCAATCAACATTAAACAAACAAGTTAGCAACCCAGGAAATAATCGCACCATATAAAAGCCAAAACACAAACAATTACTATTAATTAGCATATAAGAATGCACCCGAAGTCATACGACACGTGCCACACGCCTCATTCAACGTCAACAATCGCCACATGCCACATCGATTCGATTTTGAATTTGATTTTGAAGAACTTTCGCCAGAAAGGAAAACGCCGCTACGGACACCTTGAACAAAAAAAAAACCAGCCAGTTACCTTTAACGGTAACTGTAACTGTAGTTGTAACTGTATGTTTAGGCATATATAGATGGTATAGTGTGTATGTATAGGAAACTAGGATAAGTCGGAGATGCGCGAATTGCGGTTAAGCTCTATATGTATATGTATGTGCAGGTTTTCAAAATGTTGCATGCCACGCAAGTCGCTTAGAGATAAAACAAAAAACACAACGCGAAATATTATGTAAAATACGGGTAACAGGACACACACAGTGTCCCCAAAGCATCTGTTGCATGTCCTTGTCGGCGTGTCGAGTGTGTGCGAGAGGGCACAGCTGCAGCCGTATATATAGGTATATATATTTATGTACTGCGAGTAACGAGTATATATGTATATGTATTCATTGTATGTACAACAACAATAACCAAGAGCAAAGCTACACGAAACGGAAACCTTAAACCTGAGCCTACTACAGCCTTAGCTATCATAGACACATACAAACACATGGCCCACACATACGCAACTATATAGTATTTACATATGTATGCATGTATACAACACCTATAGCTATAGTCGAGAAACCCGAAACCGAAAACCGGATAAGAATAAAGTAACAGAACCGAGGGAAGTGACTCGCATCGGGCATCGGGAATCGGGAATCGGGAAATATATAATATATATAAAAACAAAAAAAAAAAAAGAAATAAATGTATATGTATACCCGCCTCGTAACGTAACGTAAATGAAATGTAGACTAAAAGACTTAAGCAATTGTCGTTTAGACGTTAAATTAGAGAGCATTGAATGTTGGCTTATGCTAGTTGTAGGCAAGGAGGCGAAGTGCGAGAGCGTTTAGGAACATATTTAAGGACATCCTCAGCAAGATGTTTTAGTCTGAAGCCTAGCCCGAATAAAATGAAACGAAAATTGTTAACTACCGGAGTAATAGAGTTTACAACACAAAAAGCAAATCGATTCCCAAAAGAACAAAAAACTTTAAACTAAACATAAACATAAACGTTAACGTAAATGTTAAATCAACCTTGGACAATCAGGCATAGGAAAAACGGATTAAATAATGTATGTAAATTGTTAAGCCTTGAGTCGGAAGCGATTAAAGAAGAACGGTAGCTTGTTTGGCATAGTCTTAGCACGTCCAGCATGGAGTCCGCTATGGACTCCGTGAAATCAACTAATCTATATAGACACAAGCACACGTACGTACACATTTAAATAAAGGATACGATTCGATTGAGGGCTCGAGCCCAGCCAAGCTTCAATTACGTGTCAATCCCCGCAATGCTCTTCTGTTTGAACCGAAAAGTATTTTTGTAATCTTTATTAACAAAACCCCGAAAACAAGATCGAAAAAACAACAAAAAAAATTAATGAATGTATACATAACATTTAATATAATAACTATGATAGACACGAATATGAATGTTTTAATAGCAAAAGTAAGCAAATGTAAAACAAAAGTATACTTTAGATGCAAATTTTTGTAGTATAATTGTACACGTAAACTGCATTTCCGATGTTAGCTGAATAACCGTATACACATGAAAACATTTATATAAATGTATACATATATAAAGATATATATGAATGCATATGAATGCGGTTAAACATAAAGTCGAGCGATACGCCCATTTTTATTGTGCTGAGCATTTTCAGCAAGCGGTTGAACTGTGAATAGTACCTTAGGTAGTACTGGCATCGCGTGTAAACCGCATTTGATGTTACGAATTATGAAATTTTAGTAAACCAAGGTGGATGCGAAATGATCCGCAAGCGAGAGAGGCATTGAGAGCGACAGGGGCCCAGTCATCGGTTGTAACCGGAAACGGAAGCAGGCTTCCAGTAATCCGGCCATCTTGGCAGTCACGTTACGCATACGACCTGTGGTCACCTGCCGGCTCGGTAATAGCTAACAATTAGGTTAGTAAGTTCGCGTTGTTAGTTACCAATCGTCAGTTGTCAGTTGTCGGTGTCGTTGATGTTGATGTTGAAATTGAAAATTGAAATAGCAATTGCCGTGTCATTGTTAAATGTATTGAAATTGTAATCCGGCTAGCTGCCGGCTAGAATGCAGTATTTGGTATTAGAGACGGTCGGTAGCAATGGTCGGCCCTCGACCTCAGCATATTATAAAGATTATACAAGCAAGCATATACATAAACAAGACATCGGTGTGCATAAATATATACATATACTCATTGGTGTAAAAAGCCCCCCAAACACACACAACACGTTGAATCGTACCAGGAAGTTTTAATCCACTTAACTATTTCGGGTCTTCCGAATTAGGCTCACCTTGCCAAGAAAAAACTCTTCCAAATCCCCTCGAGATTCATCTCAAATGTCACTCCCCAAAGGAAAACCAAAGAATAACTCGAACAGCCGAAAAGTAATTAGCAAAGTAACTACGTTATTCTATAGATGTGTATGTGTCTATAAATATATTCTGAGGAACTTCACTCACAAGACGCCGCTCAAGAAAAGCTCAAACTTAAACCAAGGAGGCTCAACAGCCCGCCGCAAGAGATCTTTTTAGGGGCTTTAGCCGGTTCATTTTCAATCAACTCCAGTCAAGAGCCAGTGCCGCTACTCTTTTGGCCAAAACCCCAGCTGTGGCTAAGAGAGCGAGCGTACGCTCTTCCATGGTTTCAAAACCGCAGCCCAAAACTAACGACGAACAATGAACGTTTGAATAATTGTTATGAAAACGATGAGCAAATAGACGCTAAGCGGCCAACAAAGAAGTCATCAAGTGAATCAGAAGGCAAAATAATAAAGATTTTTTAATACACTTTTTTAGTTGAAAAATGTACAATATTATTACGACAGAATATTGAAAGATTAAAGGCTATAAATTTATTTAAAAATTATTTAATAAGCAGATTATTATTATTTAAAATCTATGTATTATTAAGTCAGTATTCTCCAGCTCCTCTGAATTATGATTAATTGAGATTTGGCCATCGCACTGGCTAAAAATACACATTTGTCCACTTAAACTTGATTCGATGACTTCAGATGGGCTCGAGGAAGAACAGTGAATGGCGAAAAAACATCTGTGAAGCGTCTGAGTTGATAAATGTAAAACAAAGCAAATAAAGTTTAGCAACAACATCTGAGAGAAAGAAAACAAAAAACAGTCATTGAGCGATAAATACTTGTTTTTCATCGCATGCACGCATACCGAATACATGGATGTGTGTTCGGGGCTTCTGGGAAAGGGGCTGGCAATGATATATGAATGTACATACATATGTACATAACTATGGCAGGGGTGAGGGGCAACCGACACGCCATCATCCACAGATCAGTTGGCGGTGCAACGCTCGATGTCGCCAACTTCGCGACTTGTTCGGGCCCCGTCATCGCTGTGGTATCGGAATGGTTAGCGGAATGGAATCTTGTCTCAGTTAGCGCGCAAACTTCTAAGCAAACAGTCGCGGGGCTCCACGGAACTCAAAATCCAAAATAGCTGAGACACGCGGCGTATACGTAATTACCGTCCGTCCATCCAACAGCTGGCTAGTTGCCCACCAACGACCCCGCCGCCACATGCCCCGCCGTCCTGCGGTGACCCACTTTGAGCTCCAGTCCGGCTCTAAAGTTCAATCGTCGTTTAAGTGCCTCCTTTAGTGTGTCAATAAACTCGCGTGCCCAGTGTCCACTCCTCTGCCACCAGTCCTGGCTGCCACCAATTTTCCACTCCTGCCAAACTCAGCACACTTTCAAAGTCTGGACTCCGGAGGCTTCCCGGCTTCGTCGACCGACCCAGTTGGTAAGTTCACTTCGGTGTTATATGCAAATCGCAGCTCCAAACAAACAAACAAAGCCAGCGGAGAATTAGTCAGCGCGAAAAGACGTGTGCCAAAAAACCGAAAAAATACATAAATTAATGCTATTGTGAGCGAGCGAACGGAGCGGATCGAGTGGGTGTGAATGGTGGTAATTGTATGCCCTAAAATGAAGTTTTGAAAATTTAAAGGAGTTTTCTATAAAATAAAACCAGTGAACTTTCAAAGAAACAGAACAAACCATTATTTAAAAAACCTGCCAGCTGCTTTGTGAATTATGTTTTGAATAACTTGACTGAATAAACAATATACGATATAATATATGTATCTCACAATAAAATCCAATCTTATTAACATAAAAAATCACCGGTTTATTGAATACATTTTTAAAATATACCATATCAGTTGGCTTGGAAAATAATGTCAATACTAGAGGAGTTTGAAAATCAAAATTACATTTCAGATCCTAAGAAAACGTATTACACTTTTGGCCAAACATTGTATCTCAAGTATACCAAAAAATTTCAAACTTCTTCAATACTTTTTTTTTCGGTACTGAATCTTAGTTTTATAAAATAACCTTTCATCAATTTCATTTCGATTTGGGCGACTTGGAGTGAATTCAATTGAATTGGTTTGTTCATTGATCGCTCCGTATTTGGAGCGGACATCGGCCCACAATCGTAAGTCTGAGAGTCTGGGCTTGGGTCTGGATCTTGATCAGTTAGTTGGGCTTGATCAGTATATGATCAGTATATAAATATTGTACTTGTACTTCCACTTCCAGATTGGCACCCACATACATATCTGAGTTTCTACTAACGCCTCCTGGCGACAATTTGCGTGCCCCGCCTCTGTTGCTGCTGTCGCTGCTGCTGTTTTGTAGCATTTTTATTATTAATTTTTATTCGCCAACTCGCGTGACTCACTGGAGGTGCAAGTCTGAGCCGGGTCTACGGTAACCAAACACTCCAAGCCAAGCTCAATCGCGTCATTGCCTTGGCCGGTGCCCACACACGACCGAGATCTTCGCATCCAATCGCATCGAATTCGATCCGCTTAGCGTAGATCGACCTAAAATTGAATTGAGCCGGTGCCTCCGACAAAAGTTACCTGTGTTTGGAGATGGCGTCAGAGGGTTCCCGAGATCCCAGGACCTCAAGGTTGGCGCAAATGCAGGTAAGTGAGCCACAGTTTCTTAGGATTTATTAGCCATGTTTCTAACAAGTTGGATAATCTTGATTATTAGGCTTTCTATAATAAAAAGCTTAAGTATAATATTTATATAGGTATATTTAAAAGAAACCATATTTATGATAGAATGAATCACAAAGTTTGAAAGAACATATATATTAATTTATTTGCTGCTGCCTTTATTTGTCCAGCATTTAGTTTATCAGATCTCTGTTTTAATTTCCGTGATGCTCCATAAATGGACTGGGTCGAGTCGGGCTTTCTCGATTTTTGGGGAGTTCTATTTTCGGCCGCCAACACTGAAGTTTCCCAGCGAAAAACCAGCTAATTAAATTGTATTTGCTGGTGCTCATATTTGGTAATGGGAACTCTTGTCGCCCCCGCAACGAAACAAAAGGCGCTCCTTGAACCCCGCCATCTGTTAACGCCACACAGAGGCGCCGATATGTAGAAAAAGGGGTGGAACGATTCTCCCCAATTATAGGTGTAATTACAATAGATTCAACTACGCCGCTGGTTGAGTGGCTCGATAATCAAAAAGGGTTGACATTAAGAAAGCAAATAAACATTAGGGCACTGGGAAAAATATTTAATTGGGAGCTGAATAAAACATATAGGGATATACTATTATCATTAGAAAATAGCCGAATGTTAGTAAGAAGGATAAATATAAAGGGTTTCAACCTTAAAATTACTTTATTTTCACAAATAGGCTTTAAAAAAATGTAATCTTTAAAAGTTTGCAATGAAAATGATTTGTTTTAGTGTCGGGAGATTACTCTTAAAGGTTCTTCTGCTAATGCAAATTAATTTTATTGAATTGCATATTTATTTTTTCATTCCTAAATGGTGCAACATTTGTCATTTAAGTTTTGAATAAATTATTTTTCCCGGTGATCTCACAATTCATATTTTTCGCCCAACCACAATTCATCAATCAAAAATATTCAGCTGGGAAAAGAGTGGCGCGCGCGATTTTTATCGCCCATTGATTCGGGGGGGTGACGGGCAGAGAAAGGTAAAGGACAATGCGAAGGTCCTTTGTCACCTGGGCGCTGCTCGTCCTTTTGCGGCATTCAACAATTGCTTGAACCCCTACAGAGCCGAGGGTGTGTACGAGTGTGTTTCCCATGTGGCATGTGTCATGGCAACGTTGCAGCCATTGATTTTTTGTTGTTATTGGCATGCAGGGATAACAACAAAAACAAGCCATCCAGCAAAGGGAACAAAAGGACAGCCAGCTAGGATTTCTCAAGTGTCCGATATTCACAAAGAATTTCCATTTGTTTTTTTATTTTGCTCAACGGTTGACTTGCCAGGTGGCCATGGCTGAGTTCGAAGGCCACTACCAGGAAAACAGACGCCGAAGACAACCGCAATTACACGGCTAGGATAGAGGGACACTCACAGTGCGAGGGAGCATGCCCACTGCTACGCCCACACCCACTCGCACAGCCCATTCGACGGGATACTTTGCCCCGCCACCGGCACCGGCGAGGGGTCGACCGGACAAAGTTTCCTTCGCCCAGGCGGGTCGAGTGGCGAGGGGCTTTATGTACTGGCGGCACGTAAGTGGGCACGGATTTATTCGGAGGATATACTCGTAGGGGTTTTGGGCAGGGGTGCAAGTGGTGGGAGGTTCGCCACTACCTCATCGCCATAATAGACAAGTAAACAAAAAAACAAACACACACCCACACACACCTGTGAGTCCTGTGCACTTAATGACTCCACTCGGGCCAAATGGACGCGCTAATGTCCGGTTCCAGTTCACTCAGTTGACACGCGTTCTCCGCTCCGGAATGTTGCAGTCGCCGGACGTGGACGAAATCGAAATCGGTGGCCATCTCCACCACTACGACTTTGAGTCAGAGTTTGGCCAGGATCATATCCTGCCACTCAAGCTGAACGAGTCCTGGGCCGCCAGACGCCTCATGGAGGCACTGAGTCACCTGCCACCATGTGGCCCACCAAATAACAGCAATTCGGCTCCTGTAAGCTGGATAATGTGTGAAACTAAAAAGAATTTTAAAAAACTTATAGAATTAAATATTAATTTTAAATAAAATAATATTTTAAGACATATTTTTCATAAAAAATCTACTAATTTAAAAAATAAACTTCTTTTTAGATGCGTTTCCAGCAACGAACACAGCAGGAGCAGGAAGTGCGACGTCGGGAGCTTGTGGCAACCAAGACACATGCCGATGAACTGACACCCATAGGAGCACCCAGTGCTGCCACCAGCCGGCTCATCGGCAATGGAAAGGTGCGCCAGATGTTCGACGAGCGTCGCCGTGGTGCGGGCATTGATCGCAGCAATCCCCTAAAGCCAATTGGCACCCTGCCATCGCCCCCAGCCCAGACCCAGACCCAGACCAAAGCCCGGACACAACCGTCCGTGAATCGGCTGGCAAAGGGCATATCCACGATGAGTTTGAAGGAGCCGGGTACGATCCAAAGGCGTATCGTCAACGATAATAACAACAACAATAAGTACGGCACGCCCAGGAATGTGAATGCCAATCGCAACCTGAAGCCGGTGGTGACGCGGAAAACGCCACCTGTTCAGGAGCCCATGGGACGACGATCCGCCTCCTCGCCGCAGACAAGCGCCAGAGCGTCAAAATCAGTACGGGTGGTGGGTGGAGGAGTTAGTCCGCCGGCCGATAAACGAATGTCGCCGCCTATGAGTCGTCGGGTGAGTTTAGTGATCATAATGTCTTGGCGTTTTCCGTCCACTTCTAACCAGACAAAAATTTCCTGTTTCTCAATAAATGCACAAACCGGATCAGGCCGAACCCAAATCGCCAGCCAAACAAGTCAGGATGGTAGGTATCTGCAATAGTTGGATGACCAACACATCTAATATAATCCATGCATTTCGTCCACAGCAAGGACCATCAACAGCTCCTGAGGGAACTGCACTATGTCGGTTCTGTGCAAGACATTTCAACACCGACCGGTTGGCGAAGCACGAGGCGGTTTGCCAGAAAACCCTGAGTACCAAGCGAAAGATCTTCGATGCCTCCAAGCAGCGCGTTATGGGCACGGAAGCCGAGAAGTTCAATAAGAAGCCATCCAAGGGGATGCCTCGATCCCAGTCCTCGTATAGCAGTGCGGCCCAGCAGAAGGGTCTGACCACCGGCGTGAAGAAGAACAACTGGCGGAAGAAGCACGAAGAGTTCATCCAGTCGATACGGGCTGCCAAGCAGGTGCAGGCTCATTTAGCTCGTGGTGGGAAGCTCAGTGATCTGCCGCCGCCTCCACCGTCCGAGAACCCCGACTACATTCAGTGCCCGCACTGTAACAGACGGTTCAATCAGCAGGCCGCCGAGCGACACATACCCAAGTGTGCAACGATGATTCATAACAAGCCTCGACAGAATGGCCCGCCTGCTCCCAAGAAGCGCTGAGAGGTAATTGAAGATCGGTAACAGCTGATCTCTGGCTGGGTGAGAGAGTGATCATACCCATACTTTTACTTGTGATAAAGAAATTTGATGATTGGAACGAAACTAGTGCTGTCTTATTATTAACTAATGGGAGTTCTGGGAATTAGAGATCCTAGTCGGAGAGCACTTCCACGTCGTTGCCATCCGAGCTATCTACAAGGTTGGGCTCTGTCGCTGAACCAGACGACTTCTTTTCGCGCTCTATAATGGCCTTCACCGCTTCGGCGGCTGTGTTCATCTCCAGTCCCTCCAGCATGTACGCCCAGTTGTCCAAGGTAGCATCATCATCTTCCGATATCCAGTTGGTAAGCATCTGAACACAGGCTATTGTTGCTGTTGGATGTTCCATCTGGAAGTAAAGAAGCTCGTCGTTCTTGAAGCCAATCTTCTTGCCGACCTTCATCCAAGGCTCGCCAATCAATGGTGCCACTTCTTCGATGTGTTCGCGAGTAACCATCAGAGGCTTCTCATGGGACGGTGCCTCATCCGTCTCTTCTACTGGTTCAGTGTCCTCCACCTCGAGACCTTGCTCCGGTTCAAGTGCCACGGTCGCGTCCTGCTCGCTCTCAGGATGAGGATTTGTGGCTAGGCCATTGTTTTGGTCCGAGTTGGATGCTGTTGTCACAGTCTTGGGTTCCTTATCACGAACGAGCCGCTTGCGTACTTGTTCCAAATAGTCGGATATTTTGTTGGACGGCAGTGACAATGAAGTAAAGAAATGGGGTGTCTGGCGGGCCAGCAAACGCAGCGCTCGCCACTCAAATGCGGGATCAGTCTTGTCGTGCGGTGTCTCCAAGTATGTTTCCAGTAGGGGCAGAAAGTTGCGCTGCTCACTCTTGCAAGCCTGCAGATTGTCCGGTGAGTAGTTCCACAGTCGAGTCAGGTTCTCACTAAAAATGAACTTGTTGATTTGGCCTCCATTTTTAATTCGTGATACTTACTTTCCCAAGAAGAACTTGCCCTGACGAGCTGCATCTCGCAGTGAATCGCCCAACGGGCGTCTAGGTCTCTTCGCAGGTGGGGGCTTTAAGTCCTCGTCGCCGGTGGAAGGTTCCTCCGGCTTCTTGAATTCCTTGCAGCCCTCGTTCTTCCAATTGTTCCACATCTCCTCCCGCTGAAGCATATGACTGACCGTACGGGCAAACCTTCTGCCATAGGGAGGCGTTTCTTCCAACAACTTGTAGACACGTGTTTCAGTGTCTTTGATAAAGTCAGTCTGATCCGTTGTAAGGGTATACGAATCGCTGCAAGAGTTATTATTTAGATAGGTGTCTTAAAAGATTACAATTTAGTGATACTTACTTTTTGAACTTCACAGTAACTTGAAGGTATTGGAAAAGTATAAGAAACTGTACAAGGATTGCGCGTCGGAAATTTGAGTCAGACAATTGAAGCGCTAACAATTTCGGGTTTGTTAGAAACTTGGCAAAGAAGTGGTTGGCTTTGTTGACTGTGGAAACGGCCGTAGAGTCCACAGCTTCGTCGTCAATTTCCATTGCCTGGCCAGACTCACTGGCAGTGTCATTGGTACTTTGACGCAAATCCTCCAACTTGAAGCTGGCGAACGATTGGAGGATATTCTCAGTGTGCTGAAAGGGGATAGTTTTAAATTAGTGAATTAAGGGGTTGCATGTTTTTCATCCATTTACCATTTGAAACATTTTCCACTGTGCCTTGCTGTAGCACTGGTTGGGATTGCGGAAAAACTCCTGCAGCGACCAGAATTTGCAGTACAGGTCGTAGTCTATTTTCAGCGGAATGTCCTCGGCAGTGTCCTCCAGCTCCTTATTATCGTTGTCATCGTGGTCCTTGCTGTCTAACCCATATTCAGTGTAATTATCAAGGTTAAACTCTGACACTATATTAAGGCCCGAACGCTCGGAGAATGGAAAGAATTTGGAGAGGAAGAGCAGAATGCGGCCGCAAAACACAGTGTTCTGAGTACGCGACAAACGGCGCAGCAGGTCGTTGCACATTCGCAGAATGTTGTTCTTGCACGACGCAAAGAATATGTCCTCTTTCCAAACTTCGACGAGTTCCTCGACAATGCAAAAGATCTCCTGGCACTTGTCCAGGGTGACCAATTCAAAAGTGTCAACCAGGAGCACTACAGGATTGGTGTTTGACACAATCTCCGCCCGCGTGGCTTCCACAGAAAGACGCACCAGGTCGCCAATACTCTGCACATCGTCCTCCAGTCGCTTCATCAGCAACACCCGGAACGCATGGTCCATAGGAAGACGCTTATCGTTGTCTGAGTTGGATGCAAAGCTTTTGTAGGCTTGCACCAACAACTCTACGTTTTTGTCGGCAATGGCCTGCTCCAGCGTTTTCTGAAATTATTATTATTTCATGAGTTTTTTTTTGCCGGTTCAGTAGCAGTATTTCTTACCTCAAACGACGTCTGCAGCGCAAAGTAATTGAGCAACTTGCCAGCATCTTTGCTAGCCCCCTCAACAGCGGTGCTCATTTTCCTTAAAATTAGAAAAACCTTTGAAGAAAAGAAATAAACGGAGAAATTGATATTTTTATAAAACTAAACACAAATTGCTGGCGCTGCCAACTTATTTAATCCAGTGTTGAAAAATGTTTGCACATTAAATACCAAATATAAAATACCAGAAAATTATCAGGGCGGCTAAAAAATTTATATTTAAAAATAAATCCTAAAATAAATTGTGTTTATTTTTAATAAGTTTATTAGATTTTTATCTTTTGTAATATTTATTATATTTATTTACCCAAAATAAAAAACTTAAGCATATTTACATCGTCCAACATTTGAAACAAACAATGTCACACGAGTTTGCATTATAATTTTTCTGTGGACTGAGGTAGGCAATTCTGTTATCAGCTTCCCAAGCAAATCAGAATAGACTTGACCTGTCGTTTACTTTCCCACTCCGTACAAGGTCGCGGAAGTTTCATAAGTGGGGCAGATGAATACAATGCAAATCGCCTATCATGCTATGTTATTCGGAAGTTGAATCTTGGACAGAGTAGCCATGCGTAAAATAATTTATACTCTGGTGCTGTGCATTCTTGTACTTAGTCACGTCAGCTGTAGCACTGTGCTGCAAAAACTATTTCCTGGATTTGGTGGCTACTATTATCCAACTGCTCCAGCCCAGCCTTCATACCCGGCTTACTACGAAAGTGCTTATAGACAAACACCACGACCTCGACCTCAGGACCGTCAACGCTCTTACAAGGACATTTGCCGCGTGGTCAACACTAATGGCTTCACAAATCCGGGCGGAGTACCCAAGTGTCCCTTTTAGCTTGCTCTATATTTAGCATAAGCCATATTGAATGTACATCTTCGAAATATCACTAAATAAATATAAATACGAGCGGTTAGGTGCTTATAATTATGGTCATGTGCGCAGCACTTACTCTAAAGCTAATTCTTAGGCAACAAAAGGAATCGCTGGTCTAGAACAGACGCTTCTGCACAATGTAAAAGACACAAGCGAGGAATAGGGAGAAGGCAAAGAAAAGCAGCATTTTATCGGTGCACTCGCGGCGTCCATATTTTTTTAGAAGCTTTCCAGACATTGAAATGCTGCCGGCCGTGTTCTGCAGCTCATCGCTGGTGGCCTCCACATTTTGAGAAGAAGCCACTAATGTCTCCAGCGTAATGGCACTTTTCTGAGTCGTTTCCGACAGGTGTCGAGAAATAGCCAACATCTTTTCCGTAACGTCGTTTTCTTGCGACACCAACGTGCCTTGGTTGTGACGTGCCCGTGCCGTCGTCCTCTGGCGTAGCTCACTCTCTCCAGTTATAGCCATTAGTTCCTCGCGGTTGGCTTTCTCTATCTCCAGCATTGTGGATACGTTAGCCTTCCGGAACGCTTGCAGAGTTTTGGAGAACTGGTCGCGATGGTTGTCCACTTCCTTGGCTAGCAAAGCGTCTGCAGTGTCCCGTGCCCAGTCATCTAACCTCTCGATGCTCTTTCGAATGGCGGAAAGTTTGGCTCTACCTGCTTCGTTCAACTCCTCCAGTTCAGCGATCGAAGTGCGGCTGTTTAGTATATCCTGAAATTTGGAGCTTAGACTTTGAGTTCTTCGATGCTGCCGTCTTGTATATTAACCTGTATTATGGCCTTTGCCTGAAGATTGTTATCGATGAGGTTCTGCCGGATGGACTGCAGCGTAAAGGTGTCCTTGTCCATTGTTTTACTTACTTATGTACATTGGGATCGCGAAAATCAAAAATATTATTTATTTTGACTGGTGACGTGCCGGTAGTGTGACCGTGTTGCACCTGCAAAAATCCCCAAGACTTTCAGAATTATACTAGTTTTTGTTTTCAGAACCATACTAGTGTTATTCCCTGCTCGATTAGTTGGCTGTTATTAAAGTGTCATCACTAAAAGCAAGCCTCGTATGTCACCCCGCGATTTTGTGAATATTTCGTAAACTTACTAACAAAAATAAAAAATTATTTGGTAGAGGATATAAGATGTCTAATGCATCTTCTAATTGGTTGGTATGTTTTCGTTTTTGAGTGCTCGCTGTGCCAAGAGAATTTGTTGTAACCTTTGTTTTACTTAATAGGAACTGGAAATTGAAGACTCTTACGAAGTTGCCGGCATTCGCTATAGTCGTAGCTCCTCCAGAGCTAGCCAGAGCTCCTTCGCCGAAAGTGTAACTTCCAGTTCAAGTTCAAGCTCTTCAAGTTCCAGCAGTTCAAGCTCAAGCGATTCGTCCACAAGCTCTTCTTCCAGTTCAATAGCCTCAGCTTCAGGCTCCAACCCACTTAGATTTTCCTTTCAAGTTAACTCAATAAGACTTAGAATGGACAGTTCGTCTGAGGACTCACGTAACAGAGATTCAGTATCAAATTTGTCAATTGACGTAGCCCAAATGGAGGCTGAAATAGATCGCAGTATGTCCCTTCTCTGTTGATCATGTTATATTTTTTACTTCAGTTACCGATTTTCAGTTAACCGCTTTTGCGAGGATGTTATTGCCCAAGTTGAAATTGTGCCTTCCACCTCCACCCCAACGGCTGAGCGATCCGGTCGTCGTACATTCAGTAAGTACAATTGCAAGATTATCAACAAGGAAGAATTGACCTTTTCACTTTTTAAATGTTTTAGATATAACTTCACCAGTTGAGGTGATTGATTTATCTAATTTGGAATTGGCTCCACCACCACGCTCGGCTAGAAATCGTGTTCCTGACGCTGTAATCGATTTATGTACCCCAGATGGGCCCTCGGGCGGTCGCCGCACACGTCCAGCTACAGGTCCCACAGGAAATATGCGCCGCAGTCTTGATCAAGAAATTTCATGTGTGGAAGTCGTAGATGATGAGGGTATTTCGCCACCCAAGCGCCGGCAGCTTGATCAATCAAAGGAGGATGATACTTACAATTGTCCGGTCTGCTTGGATAGTGTTCGTCGCCGTGAACCGGTATCCACCAAATGCGGCCACGTTTTCTGCCGCGTGTGTATCGAGGGTGCCATACGCACAACTCATAAGTGTCCGATGTGTAACAAAAAGATCCCGTCAGTCCGTAATCTTTTCCGCCTATACCTATAAAATGTTTGCGTTAAAGCTCATCATTGTTGCATCTCTGTGAGACCAATTGAATTATTTAAAAAATATGTCATTAACTTTAACTTTAAGTTCTTTTGAATTGCGGTTCGCCAAATATACTTTTATACTCGTTACTTTTCGTAACTCCTTATCTAAAACAATAAGTTCATGTGTTCTGCAATTATAAGCATATTAAAAATTCAACATAAATAAAAATAAAAAAAACCTCCTATTACGATTAAGAAACTAAATATGTGTTTTTTATTTTAAAGAGGAAAATTCTACAATATGTACTTATTTATTATCAAATTATTTTTAATAATAAGGATAATTCCAAGAATAAGTTCTTTGGCTAATTCAAAACTTATCAGCAGAGCACTTTAAAGTTTTGCAAGTCATTGACCTACGACGTCATAGATTCGCCAATTCTGCTTAGATCGATGTTATATTATTCAACACTTTTTAGACGTTGTACTCAAAATAAAAAATGACAAAAAAAACCGAACATATCTTAGCCCTCCTAAAAAGCCCAAAAGGCCGGATGTTTCAAAAACAGTATTGGGTAACTCTTTAGAAGTTCTGTATTTGGTTGCCCTAGTCCTTTATATTTTCATGGCCACTTTATAAAAGTTTTCAGTAGAAAAACATTCTATTAGGTTTTGTTGTTGAAAAAAAAATTGCTTACGTAATTGTTTACAAAGACTTTTTTCAAAGCCTAAAGGCCTCCTAAAAGCACGCGGTAACAAAAACAGTGCTGGGTAACTCTAAAGAAATCAATACTACATTTAAGCAGCCCTGCTTTTTGTCTTTTCGGCTTCTTAGCTGTCAGTTAGAAACAAGCTTTGTAAATATAAAATATAAAAATGATTAATAATAACAATAACGAGCAATTAGATCGAAATCCAGGGGAAATTTCTGAAGACAATAACACTGGAAGCAACCAAAATAGTGTTCAAGTGTTTGCAATTGTTGAAGGTGCGAATCAGTGATAAATGGTTATGTGTTAAGGTTTTTTATTACTTTTCTAGGCGTAAATGAAGCTGAAATGCCGACTGGTAATGGAGAAAATCGTCCGGAAGCGGCATCAGCCGGTTCTACCACGTGTAATACGTGTGGCAGCCGCACTACCAACCCATCGGTCGCGAGTAATTTGCGCAACTGCAACGTTCTCAATGATCCAAACGAGGGCAACAACGTATCCATTTATATTTCGCGCTCCAGTCAGCCACCGGTCGGGGAATCATCATCTGTCGGACATCAGGCATCAGTGCCTCCAATTGAGATCAGTATAAATGTGTCCTATGCTCCACCAATTACCGTGGGCACATCTGGTTAGTATAAAACGGATCTACATACATATGTATACAAATTCAATCCTTTTAATTCGGTTCTTGGTTTCCTTAAAAATTTAGGTTTACCTGGAGGCTCGGCGGGCACTACTAATGCAAGGCCTATTCCTCCTCTAGCTCCGTTGAGCTCATCAAACCGCAGTCCTCAGAATGTCTACGTTCAGATACAAAATGGGCCCACAGGTAAATGTTTTTTTTTCACATTTTTATTTACTATACACAAAAAACCATTTTCTTATAAGCTGCAACATCGCCTTCACCTCCTCCATCGGATTTCTATTTGCCCACAAATTATGAAACACTCGTTCGATGCGCCATTTGCTTCCGTCCGGCGAATGTTAATCATCCGCGGGTTACCACCTGCGGCCACGTGTTCTGCGGCCCCTGCCTCGAGCAGGCTCTCAGAATTCGCTTCAACTGCCCCATTTGTGGGACTACTCAAGAGTTTCGCCACACTTTGCCAATTTATTTGTAACTTGATAAATACTAATAAAAGGATCTGATTAAAAAACGGTCTTATTTTAATACATTTTGAAGAAGAAAAGTTCCTTTCCATTTTTTTTTTCTCATTTTTATTGTTAACAACCTTAGCCTAAAATTTTCAGTCAAACGAAGCATTCAAACGATAACATTTTGTCGAAACAATTCTCGGTAAACAAAAATGAGTCGAATAACCCTAAAAAAAGATACAGTAATAGCAACATCGCATACAAGTCTTGTGGAAAGAAGGCATGTGGACTTGCCGGTTTATCCTAAACCGCTGCCGGAACGAGATGTATCATACAAGCTCGATGAGAATGGATTCACTTTGGTGGAAAAGGCGGCTTTGCGCAATGCATGGCGGTTCATTGAGCCCTTCCAGCGACGTTTCGGCAAGGATAACTTTTACAAGTACGTATTTTCTTCTAATTTCCTTGACTTCTACTGTTAATCCTGATCGTTTTTTTTAGCTTTCTCACCCAACACCAAGATTTAATCCACTACTTTAGGGCCGATTCCAGGTCTAGCGACTCCCAAATCAATCTGTCTAAGCTCCATGGTCATGCATTGGCTATGATGAAGCTAATATCAAGGCTGGTTCAAACATTGGATGTTAATTTACAATTTCGGTTGGCCCTCGATGAAAACTTGCCCACACATTTAAGGAAAGGAATCGATTCATCTTATATGAAGGTTCGTAAAAACATAAATAGCGTCTCTAAGTTTATCCTAGCTGCTGGAAATTTATAGATGCTGGCTACTGCCCTCAAGAGATACATATTGGAATCGGCGGTAATACAAAACCATTGTTCATTTACTTTAACTAATGCTTTGACACAATTGGTTGGAATAATTGGGGACTATGCTGTGGTCGAAGATGCCAGAAAACGTGCTATGTCCACGGCCTTAAGGACATCGACTTTTGTGGATACGAAATTTGATCTTTCGAAAGATTCCTTTGCTTGAAAAATGATTAAGTATGCTATGGAAAATATTGCAAGGCTAAAATAAAATTATATCGTTAATATTCATTGGAATTAGTTAGTTTTTGTTATATTTAGTTTTTTTTAAGATTTTGTTTTTTTGTAAATGGAATTATTGGGTCTAAGTTCATCTTCAAGATCAATCAACAAAGTTCGATATGGAAATTTGGCGAATGCTATATACCCCAAACGTATTCCAAAGATTAAGTATGGTCCTGTCATGGACGAATTGGGATTTACGCTTAGTGAGAGGTTGGCGCTAAGGCAAGCATGGAATATAATACGGCCTTTTTCCCGACGATACGGACAGGATGTGTTTTTTAAGTGAGTTTGCAACTAAAATTTAAATCGACTTTTAAAAAGTTACATAATTTGTTTCAGTTATCTAGGTGACGCCTATTTGGATATTCTTAAGTTCCAGCATAATGGGAAAATCAATCTACACGCTCTTCACAACCATGCTAGAGGTTTTTTGTTGTTTATTGGAAGCTTGATTGAAGAACAGGATCCTGTGATGTTTCAGTTGATGCTGAATGACAATAATATGACACACAGCAGGTGCAATGTAGGATCCGTTTTTATGGTGGTAAGTTGTGGGGACTTAAAATTAATGAAGAAAAAGTTATAAAATAAGTATACCTTTTTAATCATATAATAAATTAAAAGAAAGGTGCATTCCATTCCGGCTGGGAATAAATTAAATCATTACCTCTGCGTCACCAACTATTATTATTTTCTTCTGGCAGGTTTAAGGCACGAAATAATCATAATTTAAGATTAGAAAAAAAGTATTTGACAAACACATACTTTCAAGAGCAAGAAAAAACTGAAAATTCTATAAATAAAATCAACTGTTTGTGACGCAAAAAAAAGCACGAGAAAAAATTAGCGTAAAAAAAGAAGTCCAGACTATATATTGTATAATCGCCTTTTTTGTTGTCGAAAATCTAGTTGTGTGAATTGATATTCGTCTGTATAATATAATCTTTTTCTCATAATTCTAAAATTGCAGGAACTGGCTAAAGCCATGACGGATTATATTCTAAAGGTTTTCGAGAAGGTGAGCTCGGCATCGCTAGAAAGTGGATTTCGAAAGATTGTGGAAAAGTTCCAGGGCTACCAGGATATCCAACAATATCATACGGGAATGACCTACAATCGCGCCCGGACCAAGGCCAGTAGCAGAACATCTAGTAGTATCGCTTTGCATTGATAATCTAATATTTGGCTTTTCGAAAACCCCTACATTATCTGTGGATTTATGTTTTCGGCTCTCCAATGCTCCCCCGCAAATGGAAATTATGCCGCTGGTTCGGGAGCTGCCTCGGCCTCTGCCACTGCCATATAGTGCTCTCGTTTGATATGGGGTTAGCTCTGTCGCAGTCGCAGTCGTCGTGGACGTCGCCCTCGTAGCTCTGCCGCCATTGGTACCGCCGATTTCGTTTATTTGCTAAGCGAGTTTCCTTGGAGAAATTCAGTTTTGTCCGGGCGCTCATCGCGTCCATTTGTCGAAGTGCTGCCATTAATTTTGAACTGATCACGGCGGTTGTACTATAACATTAAATAAAAAACTCTTGGAAATCTCGCATTAGCGGGTGGAACATTTAAATAGTGTTGGTTTTTTTATCTATCGAAGAATATGGTGGCCACCGAGGAAATAAAGGTATGCAAAGTTCGAATCGGTAAGATAAGAAATGTGTATTACGTATACGCAGTGTTGTCCAAGAATTTTGGTAATGATGATTAGACAGTTGCGATTAATGTACAGTGGGGAATGTCTATAAACATTCAAAGACAACAATATATTTTTTTATTATCGTCTATAAAAACAGCAAGAATTTAGCAAAAATATTGTTTTAAAATATGTATTCTCATTGGTATAATTAAATCAAATAATTTTGGTTTTTTCAGTACTTAATGAGCTGTATATAATATTTTATTGAGCATTTTTGAATACATTAATGAACAAAAATAGGTTTCTTACAAAAATATGTTTTTCTTTTGTTTTAATATGTTTTTTTAATTGGAGTTACTAGGCACCTCCTAAGCGTAATCTCATGACTTCATATGGGTGTAATTAGTAACATTTGAGCTTGTAAAAGTTCTTGTCTTAAGGGTTTGCTTCCTCCACGCTTTAATCGGACCAATAAACTTAGAAATCGATCAGCTACTTTGTTTGGTTAATACCTGAAAATAAAAGTGTGCTACCATTTTAATTACCAAACACTTAAATTTGCATTTATGGTCGCAATCTTGCCTTCAATCAATGAACTAATTTATTAGGCACTAATTTCGAAACGCTTTCCAAGTGGCCTACACAAATATCTTATCAAAATTCTGCCCCTTGTGAAGAAGTTTACACAAAGTTCAAGATTTATACAAGCTACTCCGGCCTGAACAGTTTTGTTTACGATGCAGTTGGCCAGGTTGCCAAGCTATGTTGGTGCTATCAAGGGCCATAAACCAAAGATTAGAGCTGGCTTAGGCCATGGAGGGTGTGCAGCATCAAGAGTTTTGTACTTGGGGGTGCTGGAATTCGATATTACGAGTAGTGTATTGCCCTTGGCAGTGGGACAGACTAAGCACAATTTTGCGCCGATTGATTGATCGATTGCCCGGCCACTCGACAAGGCTCCGATCTGACTCCCTCAAGTGGCTCTTGGTGAATTACCAAACAAATCGATGGGACATTAGGCTATTGCTATTGCTAATTGAGCACGGGGCCAAATAGCTCTTATCGGAGAGTGTAGGCCATAAACACGGTCAAGATTTTGGGGGTAGCAGCAGCCTGCCAGGTGATCGGTGATCACTGATCCTAGCGTCGTTCACGCAGCCACTAACTGCTTTCGATAATGGCCAATTAGCTGATACCTTTGAGCATGACGTTGGCTTCTTTATTTCCAGATTTTAAAGACTTTCGTACGAGCATTTTCGCCTAAATGATTCATTTACCTGCGCTGATAAGCACTCGGAATTTTGGTTATTTTTATGCGGCTACTGTTCCATATTGCCTGCTGTATGTTTTATCACGTCGCAACAGTAAAATAATAATCGCTGTAGTTATATAGAAACTTGGTCGCGTGCCCATCACTGGGCGTTGTTTATGTTTCCGGACGTACATATATACGCCGAGTTTATCTGGCTTGTTCTGAAATGTCGGGCAATCTGCAGGGCAAAATAATATTTACATATCAATAAGTTGTGGCGTTTCATGGCCGTTTATATCCTGAAAAATGAGTTGATTTTACAAAAACAGCCATTTCCTAAAGTTCAAAGAGCACTGTTTACATGATTATGAATTTATTCTATACTATAAGGTACTAATAATCATCAGAAATGAATGTACTGTATATGACTGTGATGCTGTTTGTCACTTCTTGTTAGATTTCTTATATACATATTGTTTTGAAAAGCGATTTCTTTAATATCATTTCATATCATTGTGAGTAATTAACTAGTCAACTTTCAAGTGAGTAAGAGATTCTTACTAAGAGGGAAATTCTTGGGAATTGTTTTATTTATCATTTAATAGTTACTGAAACAATAAATAACCCTTTGTCCTTATTCATTAATTTCTCTAGTGTAATGTAAGCCTCTTAACAGTAACATTTATAGGTGTCTTTGCAAATTCCATAGTCTATATTTACGAGTATTTAAATAGGATAAGCGATTCACCTGCAACACACCTTGAACCAGAAGGAAAACAATCCCCCACAGAAGTATCGGTTTAATTACAGCATGGCCAATGGACTTGAGCAAATTAAGGGAATTGCCTCAATAAAAGATATTCTCTGTCGGGCGAGTGAGCTCCAATGGCACGGGCCGTAATAAAGACAAGGGAAATGTGGGCGTGTAAGCGGAAACATTGAACATGAAAGCCAAGCACCCTCCTCTCTAAATATGCATAAATCCACTAATACTTGGATATCTGATGGCAAGTGCATCGGAACAAGCCTCCTCGAGTCTGAAAACAAAAACAAATCGCACGAGGAGCACATGGCATAGGGGCTCGCTGAACTTGAAATCGGGAAAACAACAATCACTGAGCAAAAGCCATGTTAGTAGAGCAGTGCCAATAGTGCAAACTAATTAGGGAAAATATGCGGATAATTTAATCGGGAGTCTATAAAAAGAAACTGAAAGAAATACTTATAAATACTTATGTCCATACGTACAATAGTTTTGTAGAAGTTTAACTAAAAAAACCTAATAGAATTCATTTAGGAATAAATAAATTGAACTTTCTAGAATATGAAATATTTCAGCACAAAAGACTATTCGTAATACCTAAATTTATATGTAAATCTATATTTAAAAGATTTCTCTCAGTATAAGGTGGGTGTGTCTGCTCTTCAGACGGCTTGTTCTGACCCCCTTATAGCCATCTCTATTGCACGTTCTCTGCCTCTCGCTCGCTCTCCGAGGATTGACTTGTTTGGGTGTGAATCCGGCGACAGGTTTCTTTTGGCATGCACTTGATGCCATTAACATTTACGTGTTTCCATTTATAATTAGACATTCCAATTTAATAACATTTTAAACGGTCGTTTGCACTTTCATCAAGGAATCATTTTCGTAAGGAGTGATTCTATTGTCACTGTCGTCTAATCAGTAGCAGGTTTCTATTTATAGGCAGATAATACCTGATAGTTTCGGTTCCCGCTGCTGGCATTTGGCAACAGTATAGAAAACGCATCGAAATGCATTAAGCAATTTAATTTTAACCGGCGAGCGCAATCTCGGAAGTATTTTGTTTTTGCGTGGACTTTGTTCTGCTCAGGTGCGGTGGCGTATGCGTAATATCTTGTTGGATTCTCTTATAAAATCGATTTTAATAGGGCTCTATTAATATGACCATGCAGATTAGATCTACAAATATCGATCAAACTCGTTTATATACTTTTCTTTTTAAATGGAAAAATCCAAATATTCCAACAGGTTGTTTTTTGTTTGCAAAAATATTTGTTTGTGGGTGTATCGGAAAATTTCAAGACCAAATCTCTGACGTAAAACAAAAGACTTGGCTGCATCTGATGAGCGTAATCTTCTGGCAAACCATTGAAATGCCGAAACAAGCGCCAGATAATATAAAAGTTCTATGCACAATAAAAGAATTTTCGCAAAGATTCGAGAGGAAAATACGCTTTTTCGAAGAGTCAAATGTTTCAGTCGTCTCGAGGTGTTCGCACGAGACAAACCATCTCCGCCGAGTCTCTAACTAAAATTAGCGGAGAAATCAAAACAAAATAGATTTTCTCATATATATAAAAATTCGTTTTCCTAAGATAATTAATGACAAAAGATAAAAATAAGCAGAATACAAGCCCATATATACAAAGCATAACATAGTGTTTTTTTTAACGCAACCAGAGTGTCATTCATTTTGGCACTGTGCGTTGTTTTGCGAGATCTTCTTATATAAGGTATATTAGAACCCGGAAATCGGCCGAGTCTCGAATGGATTCGGAAAAAGTAGTTCGCGCAATGGCTCGCTGGTGGCAGGTAAAAAACTTATTATCAATATTGTGAATAAAACGATCACAAAAGTTCATTATTATGCAGTGAAGAATAGTTCATTTTTATTTTAGTTGGATTTTAGTTGAAAAATTAAACATTTTATAGTCCGTTTATGCAAGAAAACTGTTTATTTTGCAAAAATGTTTGTTAAACCTATCGCCAAAGTTATCATTTGAGCTTTTTTTTCAATATTTCTTTGGCCTTTCCAAGTGTCATATCATTATATTGAGCTTTCAAGTCGCTGTAGCTGGGAAACTTCTTAATAGCTCTTGCCACCTTCACTCCAGCATAAACAGATTTTATCACAGTCCAAGCGGCCATAATCGTAGTGCTAATTATCTTAAGTATTCCCCAAAGGAATAAATTCAAGGCTGTCAGGGAAATCATCGTAAAGTCCTTGGAAAGATTTTTAAAGTTATCCTATCTTATTTTTAGACTGTTAGTCAGGAGGATGGTGAGGGAAATGCCCACAATCCTATGCTCTACGATCCTCTGCAGGATGGAGTGGTGAAGACTTCCAAGGGACGTCAATATCTGGCTGCTCTGATAAGTAAGTAAAATTGTTTCTTATATCGAAAGACTTTAAATTAATTTGAATAAATATTTACAGTTTGTTTGGGTGCGGTTTCTGCCGGTACGGCCTTAGCCTGGACCAGTCCTGTGCTGCCTCAGATTACTCCAGACAAATCGAATAATTCAACAAATTCCAATTCCACAACTAACAACCTCTTGGGCAATTCTTCAATTGTCAATGCAATTGCAAATGGAACGGACTCTACTGACGATAGAATTATACTGAGTGTCAGTGAAGGTAAGTGCATTACGATTAGACATTATCTTTTGATAGACCAGGCCATCAAAGGGTTTGCGTTTAAGAAGGGTAACTTCAAGGAATATTAGACAATAGTTTAATGTTTACCAAAAAAAGAGTAGTGTTTCAGAAATTTGTCTCTGAGTAATTTATGGTGTTGCCTTATAATAATATCTGTGCAATTTTTAGTAAGCCCAGTAATGGGTATCCGCTGATTTTATTATTATAAGCTCTGGAACTAAAAATACTCAGATAAAAGAACAAGTACTGCGATTTACGTGACATGAGCGTTATAAAGATAACATAAGTTCAGACAATACGTCATTGATATAAGAAAAGCTCTCTCCCAAACTGTTCCATTGATTACCTATCTCTGATTAGTTATAATATAATATATTAGTTGTTAATAACCTTGTGCTTTTGCAGAAACATGGGTGAGCTCCCTATTGGCCATTGGCGCCTTTTTTGGGGCTTTGCCAACTGGATATATAGCCGACACGATCGGCCGGCGCTACACAGCCATGGTCATGGACGTGCCCTTCATTTTGGCCTGGATCTCACTTGGCTTTGCCCAATCAGTTGGCTGGTTGTATGTGGGTCGCTTCCTCATTGGTAAGTTATTGCTATAAAAGTGTACTATAAGTATTAATTTTTAAATGTTTTCTTAGGTGTTGCTACGGGTAGCTTCTGCGTGGTGGCTCCCATGTACATTTCGGAAATTGCGGAGACTAGCATTCGTGGAACCCTGGGAACATTGTTCCAACTTCTTCTTACCATCGGAATTTTGTTCATTTATTTGATTGGATCTCTAATCTCCTGGCACAATCTGAGCTTGCTCTGCCTCATCTTTCCCGTTCTTCTGCTGGCTGGACTTTTCATCCTGCCCGAGACTCCAGTCTATCTTTTGAAAAAGGTAAGACAATGAAGAAATAAAAACCATTACTTCTTAGTTGATTACAATATATTATATTTATCTTTTAGGGTCGTCGCTCTGAGGCTGCACTTTCCCTGAAGTGGTTGTGGGGTCGCTACTGCGATTCTCGTAGCGCCATCCAGATCATCCAGAACGACTTGGACCAGGCTGGCGACGATGCATCAATCTTGGACCTGTTCAGCAGCCGTGGCTCCCGCAACGGTCTTATTATCTCTGTTCTCCTGATGGTCTTCCAGCAATTCTCCGGCATTAACGCGGTGATCTTCTTCACGGAATCAATTTTCAAATCGTCGGGAAGTACCCTGGACTCCTCCGTCTGCTCCATTATTGTGGGCGTGGTTCAGGTGATCATGACCCTCTGCTCTTCCCTACTGATCGAACGGGCCGGACGCAAAATGCTGCTGCTTTTCAGCAGTACGGTGATGTGCATCTGCCTAGCCATTCTGGGGGCTTACTATAACATGTTGGAGAGTAAAAAAGACGTCTCATCCATTGGATGGCTTCCGCTGTTCTGTGTTGCCTTCTTCATCATCAGTTTCTCGGTAGGATACGGTCCAATTCCTTGGCTCATGATGGGCGAACTCTTCCTGCCGGACGCCAAGGGCAAGGCCGTCTCCCTGACCGTCATGTTTAACTGGGTCTGTGTTTTTGCCGTCACCAAGTGCTTTGCTTCGATGAACGCAAGCTTTGGATCAGATGTAACATTTTGGTTCTTTGCCACCTGCATGGCCGTGGCCACCCTTTACGTTGCCCTTGCAGTGCGTGAGACAAAGGGAAAGACTGCTGGCCAAATCCAGGACTGGCTAAGTGGACACTAGGAATATTCCCGAAGGTGCAATATGTTTTCCTTAGTTTAGATTAGTTAAAGTCCTAGAGAACTCGTAGGTGAATAAGCAGCCAATGCCAAAAAATAACAAACGAGATTCATGTCGATCACCAAATGGCCCGATATCTTTGCAAAAAAATTAAGGTCTTGATACATTTTTTTTCATTGGCCACCCTTTCCTTGTTGTTATTTGCTTAATATTTATTTTTTTTAATTTTTGCAAAGATATTTTAGTCATTGGTATCAAGGGACAATATTACGCAAAAGTTACAATTTAACTTATCGATGTTCCATAATGTTTGAATTGACTTTGAGGCTTACATTAAGTGTAGTTCAACTAGTTCCTAAGTACTCATGTATACAAAAGGCTTGGTAACGCCCCCCATTATTTCCAGATAGTTGGACGGGACTTGAGAATCGATGGTGTATATTTTTCTTTTTGTAGTATTTTTAACTATTCACTGTATATATTCTCCTTATAAAGACAAACATACTTACATGTGCTTATATATTTGATGTACATATATTTGATAATAAATGTAAACTGTGTGGAAAATCGTTATTGTGGAAATAGTGGATTGATAAGACATGATAACCCCTGGGGCGGGTACGCCCCTAAAAATGCTAAATTAGAGCACTATCAGTCCTATCAGACTGATGTTTATGGGCGACCGGCTGGTCAGACCACGCCCACATGTGGCGCCAGTGTCTCTTCTGCTTTCCATGGTCAGTGTGAAGGTCATCGGGCTTGATTGATTGATCGACATCGGAACACCGAAGTCGACGCACAAAATGCAAATTGAAATCGTGCCAGCAGCCCGGCATTTCTATGCAAATATTTGATGCAATTGCAGGAAGCCCATCCAACTCTGTATTTGCTTGGATGTTTGCTTGGATATTTGCTCACATGCTCAACAGGTTGTCGACAATCGGCTACATGTGTGCAAACGCCAAATGACAAATATGTTTTCCAGGGGACTGACGACTGACAGTGGGGGTGGTGCTGTCACTGGAGATCATTAGGTGTAGTTTATGGCCACTGCCGATAATTACAATTGTCGAGTGCCTGGCAAATAAAAAGGGGATTAGCTTGTAAAAATCAAGTGCCTAAATGACAATAATAAGGGTAATAACTATATTAAGTTGGCGGCTTAAGGTATCAGGGCAATAATTAATATATATTTTTTTTTCGCTGATTTATTTTCACTTTTATGAAAATTTTATTTTAGTTTAACCATATTTATAGTAAACAATATTCTACTATGCATATCGTAATAAATAATTAACAAATAAAGCATTTAAACGTGTTACAATATTGGCTATTCAGATAAAACTACAAGCTCTTTAATCGACTTTATTTGCTTTTTCTATAATTATCTTCATTTTGTTGAGATAAAAAACAAGCTGGAAAAATAATAAATATTTACATTATCACATCAAAAAAAGCGTTTTTGTATTGGGGTTATTTTTAGCTCTAATATAGCTCTTGTAATATTATTGCTTTTTAATATAAAAACAAATCAAATAAAACTGGCTGACAATTCGGTAAAATGCAAATTATTGTAAGCTCACATTTGCGAATAAATTTTGTAACCAGTTTATATCAAATTTAAAATGCACAGATATTGTTTCGGAAGGAAGTCAGGCCCCCGATAAAACTCACATTTATGATTTAAATTTAGCAGAACCTCATAAGTGAATGCATCGAGCTTTGTAAGTGGAATTCCCATGTATATCATACGGCCAGTTCCGGATGGTGTTAACCAGAATCCCCTAACCGATAAAAAACATTTAATGTGCGTACACCGGAGACATTTCAATTAGGAGGTGAATGCGGCACGCACATTAACCGACTAGCCGAGCGAATTAATTGAGTATGTACTAACTGTATCGTTAGGCCATCGAAATAAGTCAATCCCCTGGGCCGGATCGGGTCTGGTGCATGCTAATTAACTTCCTCAAAATCTGATTCACACTGTTACCGTCTGCCGGAGATACTGATCGGTTAAATTGCTCAAAAAAGTTTTCCACACACCATCCCCATCCACTGGCTGTCCGGAACTAGAGGTCTACGAACACCTTAATCGATTAAATGTGTTTATTGTTTATTTTGTCGGAGTGTCGAAATAGGCTGCGAGAATAGTGGCCAATTGTGCGATTACGGGCCAGACAAAGCGCTGATAAAAATCGCTAAAAATTCCGAGCTCAACTCTCTCGGCTGAGCTTAGTTCAACGGTCGCGTTTAATTCGATATGATAGTTGCTCATGTCTGCGATATGTCTGGGTTTCAGCCTATAGAATTCTCTCCATAGCTGGCAATGTGTGAGTTTCCTCCTATATAAATTTATATAAAAAATGTATTATCTAGCGACTAAGCAGAGTCTCTGGGTATAAAAGCGTCTGTCATAATTCCGCAGCTCAATTTTTTCATGCCCAATAAAAAAAGCGTCAAAACACTCGCGTTCCGGCATCATTCCAATTCCGGCAGTCAAACCAAACAGACACCTCTGCTTGATCTCTTTTCAGTGAGATACGGTTTTAATTTCCACATTACGTATCCGCCGCGTATTACCAGCATACCAGATACTGTTTCATTGATTGCGCGCTAATTGATAATTTCGGCTTCAAAATGGGTGAGTCGACCCACTTGATGGGCTATATCGAAAAAAAGTGCTTGGTTCTTTTTGCCTTTGATTTATATTTGTTGCCGCGCTGCCGAGTGCTGATAAATTGATCATCAAGTGTCGCCTTGAATTATTACAAATATCAAATATGATAATGACTAGCGATTTGATTAGGAGCCTAAATCGAAGCCATTATCGCTGGTTGGTTGATTTCCCAAAAATCTATAAGCTGCGTATATTATGCCTGCATTTAGTGAATTATTATAAGTTAGTGCGTTGAAGCGATCGGATCACTATATATCACTAATAGTGCTGTAAGTGCAGAAAGTATCCTTTAATCCTTATAAATATTAAACAGGTACTAAATAATATTATAAAAGTGCTTTTAATTAAAGATCTGGTAAGAACTTTTACTAAGTGCTGGTAAGAAAATAAATAAAAATATTTACGGGCTACACAGTGACGAAGTAACGAGCCTTGAAGATCGAAACCAAGTTACCTATTTATTTATCTATCAACAGCTGTTAGTCAACATAAAAAATTAACTTCTGTGTCTAATATAGATTTTTATCTGCAGATACTTGTATCTTGTTTACTTCCTCGAAGGAAAAAAAACAATACATTTTAGGCGCCCTCTTTCTTACCAAACTTGGTCTAATAGGATTTTGAGATAATCTTTCGATTGAAGCGATCTAAAAAAAAAAAATTCTTTTTTTTTGGCATTTATTTAAGTAATAGTACAAGTTACAATTAAAATAATATATTAAATCATACATTAATGTCCTGGTGGCAGAGTTGGCATAAAATATTTCCGATAACCTTCATAGGAAAAAGGTTATAAAACATTGTATATTCCCAACGAATTCTTTGAAGAGCTTATCGTAAAAATCCCAATCCGGTCACTTGACGGCTTCCAAAGATTAGGGAAATCTGTTTAAATTATTACCCGATCCCTAGCAAAGAAATATTTATTATAGTGCTCATAAATTAATGGCGCTATAAGTACCCTATGGAAATTCTTTTTGAATTAATGATAAACTTTAAAATAGTTATCACACCTATTAGAAATTACAAAATAACAATAAAGACAACTCATTGTGTAGGATCAATCTGAAGTATTTGATTTAGTTGGCCCAGGTGTTTCTTGGCCACCAACTTGTCGAGATTTCACGGCAGTTATGACAATCGGCGCCTTATTTGAGAGTATGTCACACCCCCTTCACGTGTCTCACCTTACTCACAGAAATTGTGTCAATAGTACCTTCGAACTGGAACTAACTAAATAAATATCGCCAGAATTTATCACTACAGAGGTGAAAACAATTATCGGAAATTACTCAAGAATTACCAATCAGAATCGAAGCTGAAAACTATACTTACGCAATTTGTTTTTTGTTTGGCCAATGTAGTTGGACTTTTTCAAGGGAAGAGACCACTTGAAGATTAGGGCCTTTATTTTCCTCTGAAGGGATATGGACAAAACTGTACTATACAGAGAAAAAAAAATTGTTTTTTATAAATGTATTGTTTCCTCATAATACATAATGATACAATACATATTTTGTGTTGATAATTATATTTTGGCTAGTAGAAGGAGCTGATTTTTATGAAAGGTTTTCAAGATTATTTTTAAAGGAGATTGTTAAGTTTTCTTTAATGTTGCTTAATACATTTTTTAATGTGCATATATACCAGAATTGAAGTGGGGCGGTCGCCCTTTTGCCAGCAGGTCGGAAAAGCAAACAAATTGAGATTGGGGCACAATTTTAGCTGCCCGCTCGCTTACAAATCCTTATCACGTTACATTTTGTGCGAATATGTGGTTCAAGTGCAAAAATGCACACAAATGGCGCAATTCCGACCAAAACACCCAGCTCAATCGGTACAACAAAATAATAAGATTCCGATCCGGTGGGAGAGCAGCTCCTATAGCTCCGATGATTCTACCCATATTGAGTACATGTACCTCCTATAGATGGGATTGCCGTGGAACGGGAGAAGGTGCTTCCCTGATAAGATATTGCACGCGTAAGAGCACTTGTCAATTCGAGTGTCGTTGAATATTATTGGATGTGTATTGAATTCACATATAACACGGAAAATCTTTAAATTCCCCCGATTCGGCGATCCGAACATCATTACAGTTCTCAAGTGAGCCGCCAGCGGTTTGGATTTTAATTACGCATCCTGTTCCCACTGGATTTACTTCGTTTTGAAGGATTTTTTTCTGTAAGGATGTGACGTAGATCTCTGCTTATTAATCCGAGGAATAATTAGTTATATTGTGTTACTAATCATTTCACCAATCTGTGAAAAGTGTCAACAGTGATTATATAAATGAAAAAAGTGAAATATCAGCACCATCGGCTGATATTATTTTAGTGCAATTAAAATAATTAGGAAATTTATAGCATTAAATAATAAAATACAAATTAAACTTCCGCATTTGGTTAATTTATTTATTTTTTAATACCATTAGCTCAGAATGATGAATTTAGATTTTTCCAACTAATGATTCGATAGCGTAATGATATTAAAATTATCCGATAATGTGACAAAATTTTAGTGACTAAAGTGAAATGTGAAATATTTTTTGGTTCCAATTATATAAGTTAAATATATTGTATATATCTTTACAACAAAATTAAATAAAATTATAACAGAAATGTAGGGCAGCAATTTCAACTTCTAGCCATTTGCGATTTTCAGACGATTGAATTTCAAATGGGGATAGAATCATTAATCCATGTCAAGTGAATTTTTAATGACAGACTTTCGTTTTTTTTTATACGGCTTCGCTCTTGCAGCTGCTCTTGTTTTAGCCACATCAGCCAGATGCCGTCAGTAAGCCGGGAAGAAGAGAGAGGTGGACAATATTCCTACACGGAAGTCAGTACGTTTCAGATAAGCGAAGGAAACACTCGAAATATGGCACCAGAGCCCGTCAAATCTGGCCGCATTTTTCTGGCGGCAGTTGCAGGTAAGCTTACTTATTTAATGAATGAATTTTAAAAATTAAATAATACAATATTTACTAGAATATTATTATTAATCACTTAGAATTAACAATAAAACTTTGATTTATTTTTTAGCCAATTTATCCGCCTTTGTGGTGGGAACTACCTTGGGATGGACTTCCCCCATCGGTCCCAAACTTAAAGCTGAGGATACCTCAGATTCCCCACTGAGCAGACCCATCACCTCTGATGAAGATGCCTGGATTTCGTCTCTGATCGCCATCGGAGCCCTAGTAGCTCCTTTTGCAGCCGGTCCTCTGGCTGATAAAATCGGAAGAAAGTGGGTGCTGCTGTCCAGTAGTTTGTTCTTTGTCCTCGCCTTTGGTCTGAACATGGTGGCTTCCGAGGTGTGGATCCTGTACCTGTCTCGCCTGATCCAAGGATTCGGTGTCGGCTTTGTGATGACAGTGCAACCAATGTATGTGGGCGAAATTTCCACGAACAACGTACGAGGTGCCACAGGATCGTTGATGCAGCTCTTTATTGTGGGTAAGTTTACTTGTTCCTGGATCCTGGGATTACTGTATACCCAGATGCGATGTAACACTATTTTATTTCCAGCTGGTATCCTTTATGTTTATGCCATTGGACCGTATGTCTCCTACCAGGCTCTCCAATGGTGCTGCATCGTGGTGCCCGTGGTGTTTGATGTAGTCTTCTACACGATGCCCGAAAGTCCGTATTACTTTGCTGGAAAAGGTCGCAAAACCGAGGCACTGCGTTCCTTGCAGTTCCTCCGCGGTCAGAGTGCCGACGGAGTTCACGACGAGATGACCGAAATCCAAGCCAGCGTTGAGGAGGCGATGGCCAATAAGGGCACCATGATGGATCTGTTCAAGAACGCCGGCAACCGAAGGGCTCTGTTTATCTGCGCCGGATTGATCTCCTTCCAGCAGCTGTCTGGTATTAACGTGGTCCTGTTCAACAGCCAATCGATTTTTGAGAGTGCGAACACAGGACTGGATCCTGCTATTGCCACCATTATCATTGGATGTGTCCAGGTGGCGTCTTCGGGACTCACGCCCCTGGTGGCCGATCGCCTTGGCAGGAAGGTAATGCTCCTCTGCTCCTCCAGTGTGATGAGCATTGGCCTGGCGGCCCTGGGATGGTTCTTCTACAAGCAGCTGGTCCATCACGACATCTCCAGCGTTGTCTGGATGCCTGTTCCTGCCTTGATCCTTTATAATATTGTCTACTGTACCGGATTCGGGCCACTGCCCTGGGCGGTGCTGGGAGAGATGTTTCCGGCCAACATCAAGTCTGCCGCTTCCTCCCTTGTGGCCAGCATCTGCTGGACCCTGGGCTTCCTGGTAACCTATTTGTACCCCAGCTTGGATGCCCTCGGCTCCTACTATGCTTTCTGGCTATTCGCCGGGTGTATGATTGTGGCCTTCTTCTTTGTCCTGTTTGTTGTGATGGAGACGAAGGGTCTTAGCCTGCAGGAGATCCAGGATCGACTCAACGGCAAACGCGACTAGCAAGGTGCAGTCCTGCAGATGTTATCTTCTGCTTATGTTTAAGGTCCTATATGCAAGTATTTTATTGATTAGTGTCTTAAGCCAAAACTCAATTGTTACATGCTTTGTATGTTTAATTAAACCAAACTATAGTCATAAATAAATGTTAATATAAATATATTATTTAACAAGAATTTATATTTATTGGTTGGCTGAAAGGTTCTGGAAATACAAAATTTTGTAAATACAAATTTCAAAATTCCAAAAATGGTTTCCTTTTAATACCATTGCCATTTTAATCAAAAAAGTTATATTCTTTTATTTACAAATAATACTCCTGTCTTCCTGTCAACAAGCTACATTTCCAGAAAATTCAATCAAAAATGGAGGGAAAAACGCGAGAGGAGATATTAGAGTCTATGGACCTGGTTTTTGTGGACGCAATTCTACCGAGGGTCCGTAAAGGACTCGACACCACCAATAGGGCCCACTACAAGGACCATACAGCTGAGATTAAACGAGCCAAGTCGGCATGGCGACCACAAACCGATCCCTCTCTCATATCTGGACATTTCGCGCACAATCTGAAGGTTAGTGGCCTGCAGATGAAAACCAGAACATGGCCCCGTTCCATGGATTGGCGTGAGGAGTATAAACAATTTGTAAAGCGCAACAAGTGGTGCAACCCTGAGATCTACAAGTTGTTTTTCGTATGTCCTCCCATCCGCTACGAAGACGTAGTGAACTACCTTAAGGATCTGCTGAAAACCACTTATATGTCTGATTACTCACCGAACGAGTACAAATCGCTTTTCAGTCAACATCGGGTCGTTATGGGTCCGGAGGATGGCAAAGATGGCATCGACTATCAGACTACCTATGGTAACTATTACAATCGGATTCAGGAGGAGAATCCTTTCAAGGATTCCCTTTACAAGGATCCAGAACTAATTGCAAAAAAGATGTCGGTCCCAGAATTTGCAAAGGCAATGCGAAAGCTCTTCACCAAATACAACCTGACAACGTATTACGAAGAAATATGCCTTCCGACGCTCATAAAGGCCAAGAATGGCATAATGCCGTCTGGACCCATCGATCGTTATACTCTTCGGAAGCAATAGACTTTCTGTAAATTTTTCGACTATTTTGTATCTTTACAAATGGTCTCCTGATAAAATTTTGAACAATTTTGCAAGTGTTCTGAAAGCTTAAAGAAAATACTATGAATTTGGCTAAAATGAATATACAGATAAAATAATGTTTTAATTTTGAAGTCTTAAGTTGTATTTTAAATTGTGGTTTTTAGCAGTAAGTTTAGCTCGTCACGTCGCACCATTTAAAAATGCCTAAAAGTATGTTCTAAAAAAACCTTACTATTTTTTAATTAAACGTAAAGGGGTTAACAAAATCAAACCACAAATAGCAAATAATTTTAAGGTATAACAGGAAATGTCTTAAGACCATTGAAGTTTAATGTTGTTAGCACTTAACTTACTTCTTCAACCCTCTAAAAATTATGAAAAACAGCTAGATATATTAGAAATCATATGTGATCTAATCATATTCAATAAGCGGATAAAGGATCGATAGAATAGCCTATTTAGATTCTAGAAACGTCGATACAATGACAAGCATTGATTAATAATACCTTCAGCAAATTAGATTTCTAAAGACTTCAAGATAACTAAAAAACGCAAGCACGTATGAAATGAAACGAATGATGAAATAAGTGCCCCAAAAACTAAATTACAAATTAACTTAAATTATTAAATTTTCGTATACACAACATCCCCAAAGATTATTAAAATTTAATTAAGCCATTAGGAAAAAGAAAATTCTTTTACCCTTTCAATAAAATTATTATTTATGGACTAAGTACCTAAAACAATGAATAAAAAAATAATCTAATAAATAACAATGACAAGCCTTTTTGTTTGGAAAAACTAAAAAGCCACAATGAAGAAGAGGTTGGCTCTCAGCATTATTTGAAGAATTGTTTGCAAGCTTTTTGAGACACAAAAGCTAGTCATGAGTATTCCGCATTAAGTTCAGCCATCCTGACGTATAACGATGACAAGCTGTTTCTCTTCGGATTTTTTAGCAATAGACTCTCTTCGAATTCATTAATTAATTGCTTGAAAGCTTGATATACGATTTCCAAAGCTTGAGGTGCCTATAAAAAATAGTTGTTTGGTAGAGGAAGATCAGTTACCCGGAAAAATTTTAACCGCGACTATTCAAAAATATATTCACTATGGATCGTTGGCAGAATCGCGTAGCTGTTGTTACTGGAGCCAGTTCGGGAATTGGAGAAGCCTGTTGCAAGGACTTGGTGGCCAAGGGCTTGATCGTTGTGGGACTAGCTCGTCGGGAGGAGCGCTTGACGCAGCTGAAGAAATCTCTACCGGCGGATCAACAGGCTCGCTTTCACATTCGCAAATGCGACGTCAGTGTGGAGCAGCAGGTGGTGGATACCTTCGCCTGGGTGGATGAGACTCTGGGTGGGGCAGACGTCCTTGTCAATAATGCCGGCATACTTCGAGAATCCGAAATTACTAAAGCTAACAACTCCGCTGATATGCGCGCCGTCCTTGACACCAATGTCCTAGGATTTGTCTGGTGCACCCGCGAAATATTTCTATCGCAGGAGAAGCGAAATGTCACCGATGGCCACGTGGTGGTCATTAATAGTATAGCGGGTCATAAAATTCCCATCGTTCCGGGTCTGAGCACGAATATGTATGCTCCATCAAAGTTTGCTGTCACAGCATTGGTTGAGGTCCTGCGCCAGGAATTTCTACAGAAGAAAACCCAGACTAAAATTACGGTATGTTCAAACACTTTTAATCTGCTAAAAACCCCGAAGACGAAAGTTTTGTTTATAAATATATTTGTTTTAATATATTTTGAAATTTTTAGAGCATTAGTCCCGGTGCCGTTGACACGGAGATCATCGATGACAAAATCAAAGCGAATCTTCCGGATTTACCCTTGTTGCGATCAGAGGATATTGCTGATGCCGTTTCCTATTGCATCCAGACTCCTCCAAACGTGCAGATCCATGAGTTGACCATAAAACCTGTAGGAGAAATGTTTTAATATATAAATTATAAAATGTAAAATATATTATGTTCTCTTTTATTCAAAAAATATATATGTAACGTAATATATTACGGTTCCTATAGAAACCCGTTTTTGTATTTTCTTTTACATATAAATGTGATTAAAAAAATCCAAGTAAATCTAAAATATATTAATCTACAGAAAATAAAGTATAAACATATTCCACTCGAGAGTCGGATGATTATTGGAAAACAATTGGGACCATTTTTGAAGATCTCCCATCCATGATCCATGCCTTTTCCCCATTTTTGAAGGCGACCCTCCAGAAAATTTGACAAAAAATCGAAAAAATAATTTCTTCCTAGATTTTGATGCAGATTGATGGAGAAACGACTTATAAATCGTTTAAGGTATTCCCCTGACGAATCGGATGATAATTCGTTGAGATATGGCCTTCGCAGGTGCCCATATTGTCGATCCATGCCTTTTCCCCATTTTTGTAGGGGATCCTCCAGAAAATTTGACAAAAAATCGAAAAAATAATTTCTTCCTAGATTTTGATGCTGATTGATGGAGAATCGACTTATAAATCGTTTAAGGTATTCCCCTGACGAATCGGATGATAATTCGCTGAGATATGGCCTTCTCAGGTGCCCATATTGTCGATCCATGCCTTTTCCCCATTTTTGTAGGGGATCCTTCAGAAAATTTGACAAAAAATCAAAAAAAATATATTTTTGTTCCTAGATTTTGATGCAGATTGATGGAGAATCGACACACAAATTGTTTAAGGTATTTTCCTGAAGAATTGGATGATTATTCGCTGATAAAGAATCGGATGTTTATTTGCTGAGATATGGTCTTCACAGGTGGCCATATTGTCGATCTATGCTTTTTCCCCATTTTTGAAGAGGTCAAGAAAATACATCTACAAATCGTTTATGTTATTCCGCTCATGAATCGGTTTATTACGATTATTGATTATTGGCACAGACATGGGCCCCTTCCATATCTCGTTTCAATAATTTTCCGAATTTGTAAGGGGATCCCCTAAGGGAATATTTCCAAAATATATTTCAAGCCCATTTAGTAATTGAAAAAGCTAATGAAATAGTTGTTTTGCATATTTAATTTAGTTGACCTTCTATACGAATAACGATGACAGGCCTCTTTTAGGGAAAATCTTAATCAAATGCTGAAACAATGAATGAGAAGAGTCTTCCAGAAGACTCTCTTAGCTAGCAATTGTTTTAGAGCTTTCTGAATCTAAAAGCTACTGGAGACCTATAAAAGCGAACGTCTTGCTAGAGGCAGATCAGTTGTCCGGCGGAATTCTTCGAAGTTTAAAAAACAAATACATAATGGATCGTTGGCAGAATCGCGTGGCTGTTGTTACTGGAGCCAGTTCGGGAATTGGAGAAGCCTGCTGCAAGGACTTGGTGGCCAAGGGCTTGATCGTTGTGGGACTAGCTCGTCGGGAGGAGCGCTTGAAGCAGCTGAAGGAATCTCTACCGGCGGATCAGCAGCCTCGCTTTCACATTCGCAAATGCGACGTCAGTGTGGAGCAGCAGGTGGTGGATGCCTTCGCCTGGGTGGATGAGACTTTGGGAGGCGCCGATGTCCTTGTAAACAACGCAGGCATTGCTAGAGATTCCCAAATTGTCAAAGCGGATAACTCCGCCGACATGCGTGCCATTCTGGACACCAACGTTCTGGGATTTGTCTGGTGCACCCGAGAGATATTCCGATCGCAGCAAAAGCGAAATGTTACCGACGGCCATGTGGTGGTCATCAATAGTATTGCGGGTCACAAAGTTCCAATTATGCCGAACTTTAGCTTCAATATGTATTCGCCATCGAAGTTTGCCGTGACAGCTTTGACAGAGGTCCTGCGCCAGGAGTTTTTACAGAAGAAAACCCAGACAAAGATTACGGTACGTTAACAAAAAAAATTAAATATAAAATAAAAGAATAAAAAACAAATTCATCCGAATCGTTAAAAATAATTTGTTATCAGTTCTGTTCAGTGAAGCATTGTAACAACCCTGATAAGATATGTATACTATATTTATCTATAAACAGTAGCAAAATAGCGATACATATAGCGATACAAATCATATAATAGTTTCGTTGTTAAAAAGAACATTCATAAAGTTATACGATTTGTATCAGGAGAAGGTGACCTTTTAGTAATGTACTGTATTTATTTGTTTAATTTATAGAGCATTAGTCCCGGTGCCGTTGATACGGAGATCATTGATGAAAGAGTTAGGGTGAATTTCCCTGAATTCCCCATGCTACGAGCGGAGGATGTTGCCGATGCCGTTTCCTATTGCATCCAGACTCCTCCAAATGTCCAGATTCATGAGTTGACCATTAAGCCTATAGGAGAAAACTTTTAATTTGATATTAATAGCTTGTAATATATATATATATATGTGATTAAAAAGAAAGAAAAAAAAATGTTGACAAGAATTTGTACTTATTTTTAGGGTACTATATTTCAAAAGTTTTTTAACTCATATTTCAGTCACACATAAAACACTAAAGGGTATACAAAAAACACAAAAACACTACACAAACAAAAAATAAAAAAAACCTAAAAATAATAAAAAAGAAAAACATAAAAAATATAAAAAACTTAAAATGGAATCTTATGTTATAAAGTGCCTTTTGCCACCTTGCATTCCATACGCGAGCATCAACAGAACGGATTACGTGGATCGCACAAAAGGCTTTGTCCGCACGCGGCCCATTCGGGCCATTCAAGAGGATCCATCTCTGATAACTGGTCACTATGCCCACAATCTGAAAGTTAACGGGATTGAAAGGAAGACAAGGACGTGGCCCACAGCCATGGATTGGCGCGAGGAATACCGACAGTTCCTCTTGCGTGCCAAATGGTGCAATGAGGAGCTCTTCGAGTTGTTTTTCGTACACCCTCCCGTGGATTATAAGGTCATGGTAGACTATCTGAGAGATAATCGAAAATCCATTTACATGCACGATTATTCGCCTGAAGACCATGTCGCTTTGGTAGAAAAGAAACGGATTCCTAGAGGATCCATTGGCAATTTGGGACCAGGCGACTATCAGACAACCTACGGGCACTTTCACAATCGTTTGCATGAAATGGAGCCGTTTCGCAGTCATTTGTATCCAAAGAAAGCTAAAAAGAACTTGTCCCTCGAAAAGTTCGCGGCTGACATGCGAAAACTCTTCACAAAGTATAGTGCCTCCACATATTTTGACGAATTATGCGTTCCAGCCCTGCTGAAGGCCAAAAATGGCATTATGCCGGCTGAACTAATCGATCGATATCAGTTTCGTAAATACTGAGTGAGAGTTTTCATTTAATTTGTCATCTTTTTCCATCCAGGAGAAAGATCTTTCAATCAAGGTTGTAATTGGCGCTTTAAACATTAAATAACTCATGCAAATACTAAAATATTTAAGTTGTTTCATTATATTCTCCATTCTCCATGTTTGTTTGAAACATATACTATATTTTGGTATCGCTTAAAGCTTATCTATTAAGCAAAATATTAGTTGTTGAACTCTGGTTTAATGAAAAAAATATAAATAATTCTATCCAGGGCCGTAGCTAGGGCCTCGGGGGCCCTGGGGCAACAAGTAAATTTGGGGCCCCCTATACGGAAGTCTTTTGCCCCGGCGGGGCCCCTTCCCTTCGGGGGCCCTGGGGCACCGCCCCACCTGCCCCATGCTAGCTACGGCCCTGATTCTATCTTTCATTTAAGAATTATCAATCGTATGTCTCTGGAACAGTGGTTCTTACTAAATATTAAAAAATTCCGAGTTCTATCTTAGACTCTTCTAGAAACGTACTTTTGTAGAATACTTACTACAATTATATAACAATTATATAATAAATTAATTGCAATACCTTTTTCAATTTTTTGAGACAAATAGATCAATAAAATATATAAATAATTATTGCCAATAAATCAATTCTCTAGGTACAATAACTGCAATCAATTTTATATTCTTAAGTTTCACTGTTCGACGACTATTATGTGAAAAAAACCAGATATCAGCGTGACTTGCTGGTTTTTGCAAGCAATTCAAAGCTTTTTTATATCTCTTTGATTTTCTTAAGAGAAAACTGAAAACAAAACATGTATCAGTTATTCTTATCAACACAAACATTAATTTATAAATATCGAAGTGTTTGTATCAAAACATTGACGGTGACAAGGCATGACGACGAAAAAAGATTATTTGAAGATTTAAGATTTCTTTTCAAGTATGAGAAGCTTTCCAAACGCAGTTAATATACTTTTAACTAGTATAGGAATATTGATATAACGCAGTTATATATATCTTAAAATACTCAAGATACTTTCAAATAGAAAATAAATACTTTGTATTCAGTTGTATCCAGGGTCCTTATTAAGGGCTCTTTTAAGAGTTACCCACCAAAGCCACCATCTACCAGAAAAACATTAAAAATTAAAATCACTCTCTCCTATTTAGCACTCCCAATCTTACCTCAAGGAATCTATTAATTACCACCACAATACACAAAATTAAACTTTTAGAGTATATTGTTATACAAGTAACATTTATTAAATCTCTTCAACACACAAGTTTAATGAAGGAAGTACAGTGTCATTTAGTTGCAGTTGCAGTTAATTAAAATACGTCGTTTTTTTTTTTTGGGGTATAACCCTTTGTCTCTATAAACACCGATTTCTTTGAGTTTCTCACCTTCTGTATCACAGTTACATGGTAATTACAAACGTGAGGGCGTGTATGTTTGTTTATGTTTTGAACGCATACAACTAGGATAGACAACAATATGCTTCAGCACACGCAACGTATTAATATATGCATACATTTGTGAGCATCTCTTGCAACTAGCATATAAAGTAACTACATCTTTGCTGGAGTCATCAAAGAGACCCAACTTAACATCTAATAAAAATCCATAGTATAAATAGTTTTGATTACAGTTAAGTACATAAACAGCTTTTGAAACGTTTTGGCTAAAAACTAATAATACCTTCGCATTATGCAGTCCCAGTACCTACGCTAATTGCTTCAGTTTACAAATTGTATTCACTTGGCTGGAGCATCAAACTTGCATTAACGAAAATAATAAAAGCATATTGCAACCGTCTGAAGTCTTTTGGAAATAGCACACTAAGGAGAAGTTTACAAGTTTTAGCATCGCTTAAGTCTACCAATTACACATATATCTAAACTCTAGAGTATATTAATGTAGAACACACTTAACTCACATGCTTACATGCAGCCAAGTACATATCTTTAATACTATATATGCCTACACTGGGCTTGTATATATATATATAAACGTTTTTCGGGACAGACTACAACGCCGCCGTACCCTGTATAAAAATGCAGTGCCATCTCTTAACTTTCCTGGCAACACAACCCACTCTGGCTGGAAATTGTAAACAACTCAATTGGATGCAGACGGATACGTTTGATATTTGGCCTCTGGCTGCGTTTGGAAGGAGTGTTCCGTATCCCGCATAAGGGAGGATAGTGCATGGCCGCTTTCCGTTCCGGAAATGGTCTTGATCAGGGTGTTAGAGTTCAGGGATTCAAGTTCGTGTGTCTCCGAGTTGACCAGCTCCACAATAGCCGAGCTAGTAGGGGTTAGTAGTTGTTCGCTGGCTATCACCTGGCTTGGTTTTCTAAATGAAAAAGGAAAGGTATTAGTTTAAAATAATCAGGGACCTATTTTCTTATCTCACCGTTCGTAAAATTTGTTGCTGGCACTGTTTCGTTTACTCCATTGTGGTCTTTTCAGTTCAAGGAAACCGTGCTGCGGTCCAGCCACTCGCAAAAGACTCATTAGGAAAAAAGTGGCATAGAACCAGCTCACAACCATCACCACGATCAGGAAGACTCCGATTTGAATATAGGGTAAAATGTTGGAAGCCATCATGATTCCACCAGCCATCCCCGTGGTTGTTGCCGCCATCACTGTGGGTCCAATTATTCGCGACAGCACAAACTGAGTGGCGGCTATGCGCTCTTTCACGGGAGACATTCGGTAGTGGATTCCGTAGTGGAGGCTGAAATCCACCGCAAGTCCGATAGCTGTACTAACGGCAATGCTTTCGAGGATGTTGAGTTGCCAGCCCAACAGGATAAGAACCGCCACAGTGTTGAAGATACTGAGGGATACTGTTAAAACAGCGTAAAAAGATATCAGTATATTGACCGTAAAACAAAGCAACACCGCCAGGGAGGCAGCCATGGCCAGGCAGATAGCAACTAGGGTGTCCTGCGATAGGGTGTCCTGCACATTGTAGAACTTTAGGTCGCTGGTAAACCAACCGCCCCGAAGTTCCGGGGGTGCTGACATCAGTTGTTGCTGAAACCAGGTCTCAACTGCCTCGTAAAACTCCTTGATATTAGCGTAAATTGTGCTATAGGCCACATTCGATTCAAATTCAATAATGATGGCTTTGGCCACTAGAGGTGTGATGGATGCAGTTAGTTCGACACTTTCGTTGCCCTCCAGACCACGGTAATCTTCCGACTCTATACGATGGGGATCTGCAAATTTGGGCCCAGCTAAGCCAGGTCGAAAAAACCATGTGTCGTACATGTTGGAGATGCCTATAGGAAGACACAGCTCGAATATGTGCGGATCGAAGGGAAACTGCGCCTCGCAGCAGGGTGAACGATCTTTCCGGGTGATATCCATGTCATCTACACATCTGTCAAATATATACATATTATTACATTGGTTTTAAAGAGATTTGTAAATGTTACCTTCTTTTCATAAAATTAATGAGGTTCTCGATGAAACAATTGGGCAACAACATGCCCATTGTCTCCTTGTAAAAGGGCTGCTGGCGCACACTCTGGCAGAAGTCGAGTATCCAGAGCTGGGCCGACTTGCTAGATATATTAAAATTATTGTCATAGTGCAAGTTGCCATAGGAGTTGGGATTTGTATAATCGCCATCGTCCACCGCCTCAATTCCCCACACAAAGTGCATGGGCATCTTAAAGTTATCGTACGCTTGGAGAGGTTTTTCAAACCAAAACTGCTGCTTCATAGTCGAGTACATCTCAAATGGATGCTGCGAGACGAATAGTTGAAAGTGTGACTTCTCCGGCAGCTGGAGTCCTGGATACCACAATACAATGACGGCACTCGATGCCCCCAAAGCGCCGAAGATTAACAGCCAGAGATAGGCATAGTTCATGATGCTATGAGTAATGAATTCCTCAAATATTTGACAAAATCTATTAATTGACTTTTTGGTGGCATGGATGAGTTTCTGAGCCAATGGCTGACGACAGGAAATGCGGCTGGCAAAGATACGTTCCATGACTGATACCGATGCGGGCAGCCAAGTGATCATAAGTACGTAGTTTGTTGCCACCACAGTTCCCGCAAAGATTCTGAAATTACGAAAAAATAATTAAATATAATTTTTCCAATTATTGCAGTAAAACTATACTTACCCGAAGCATTTAATGGCTGTTATGGAACTGCTGTAGGACGCGTAAAACGCTCCTGCTGTGGTCAGTGATGTTACAAACATGGAGGCAGCAGCGTGGCGCATGGTAAGTGCCATAATATTTTCCAAGGACTCTGTGTGATCAGAGTTCTCCAAGGGAGATGGTAGAGCACTTTGCGACTGAGTGCTTAAAGTACACCTTGTGCTGAACCTCTCAGCCAAAACGCATTGCCAGATTTTTACAAACAAGAACACATCGTCCGCTCCGATTCCAATGATAACCACAACGGCCAGTAGGTTCATGTAGGGAAAGAACTCAAACTCGAGAACAATGGCGTAAAAAAAGTATGCCAATCCCAACGAGAAGCAGATGGCAATGCACGACATTAGAGTGATGAATGCGGATCCCGTGAATAACCAGACGCTGGCCATGACGAAGGCGCCTCCGAGGGAAACCAGCCAGACATCGGTCAGCAGCAGTTCGTTGAAGAGCTCATTCTCCAGACCCAAATCCATGGCGATTACTTTTACCAGCTCGTTTTGGAGCTCCCTGCAAAAAATAGTAATATTTTTAAACTCATTCAATCAACACGAAAAAAATAAAGTATTTTCCAAAATTGAAAAAATATTTTGTATAAAAAGGAATAGAATGGATCCTAAGCGAGGTAACCGCGATTCGGTGACTCTTTTTATGAAGGAACTTTTCCCCAAGAGCAGGGTGCTGATAACTACAAACCAAGCCGATTATGTAAATCATACGGAAAAGCTTATCAAAAATCCCCCTGTTCGCCAGACCCAAGAGGATCCGTCTCTTATAACTGGGCACTATGTGGAGAACCTGAAAATTCCCGGTGTTGAACAAACGACGAGGACCTGGCCCAAAGCCATGGACTGGCGTGAGGATTACAAACAGTTCATCAAACGGGCCTCATGGTGCAATGAGAAGATCTACAAGTTAATTTTTGTCAATCCGCCCGTTGATGATAATATTCTCAAAAAGTATATACGGGATTTACGAAAATCGATCTACATGCAGGATTACTCGCCCCAGCATTATGTCTCTTTGTCGAGTCGGCGTAGAGTTTCCCACGTCAACGATCCATTTGAGTTCAAAGAGGACGACTATTTGACCAATTATGGTTGTTACTACGATCGCCTGCAGGAAACTGAACCGTTTAAAAGTGTCCTATATGAGCCCAAGCCCAGAAAAGACTTGACGCTGGAAAGCTTTGCGTCTGCAATGCGCAAGCTATTCACCAAGTACAATTGTACCACATATTTTGATGAAATCTGTGCTCCAGTTCTCTTAAAAGCCAAGGATGGTGTAATGCCTGCTGGTTTCATAGATCGGTATCAGTTCCGAAAATATTGAGTACTTACACGTCCTCCCATTCGTGGAATAGTGGTAATACCCGATTGGATTGAGCTACCGGAACGAATATCACGGCATATTTTAGGTATTCGCTGGAGTCCTACAAGAAAAAAAAACAATTAAAGAGTAAAGTACACTAAGTAAAGAGTATAACCATCTAAATCTATAAATAAAACTAAAAATCAGAAAATTGAAGTAATTGGTTTAAATGATGTAGATGGGTTTTGAGTGATTAGGACCACTTACATTTGGCTTAATAAAGTTCAAGTCGCTGAGATAGTTTAAAACGTTAAAGACAATATTGTGGCGCTGGCACTCTTCGGGAGCACGGCAGTGTGGGATCTCGTTGCAGCGGTTGTCCATCTTGAGATCGTGGAAGTATTCAAAGCAGTTGGTAAGAAGACTTTTGAATGCGGTAACGTCCTCGGAGGTAAGGTCAAAACAGGAACTCTTGTTGGCTAGCACGGCAGCGTAATTTGGCAACGACCACGGCCGACAGCACTCGGTGGTCTGCATCTCCGGTTCGCAAAAGGCTCGGTAACTGGGCACGTTGGTTATCTGATCCTGTAGCTGGCACATGGCCAGGAGACCGTTGAGGTCGAACAGCGAATCAGTGGCATTAGGTCCGATGCGCTTGACCACAAAATGTGAGTATTCCTTGCGCGGGGAAGAGTCACAAAAAAATCCTCCACTCGGCTGGTGTGGATGGGCATCCGCCCAGCTATCCGTGGGCATGGTGGCGGCCTGTTTTATTAAACGCCATGTGCTCTTCTTCGTCTGTACTCGCTCCCTGTGCTCTTCCTCATCCACAGACGTCGTATTGTGTCCATATTCAATTTTTTCGGTGTGTCCAGTGGGTTCCAAAGGCGAAGACACGTCTTTAGTTATTTCATAGTCCCGGAACACTCCAACACTGTCGCCCATCCAGACATCTCTGTCCAGATCGGTTACAGGAGGACTTGTGGCCTTCAGATGTTTTGTGAACGTTTCCAACATCATTTTCTGGGACACCTCCTGCTTATCCTGACTTTTAGGATCAACATTCTGTTCCTTTCGTCGTTTTTTGTTTTTCCTGTTTTTGTGTTTGTTTTTTCTTCTTCGCGGACTTGGAAAATTGGAATCTCCATTTCCGTGGTCCACTCGTCGCTTCTCCCATAAATCCGAGGGATTCGAAAAGAGTGCGCCATGATGGTCTGTTTCCTGGAGGAGATTGTGCCAGGCCGTAAGCCTTTTTCCTATCTTGGTGCCTCGAGTCTCAAAGCCCTGAAAGAAATTGAAAAATTAAAGTTAAAATTTAACAAAATAAATCAAAGATTAATATAAAACTTTAGAATTACCAGTGTGGGGTCACTGAAGTCGGGCAGCTTATTGAGCATAAAGGCCACAATGATGCAGGCGATGCTGTAGACGGCGACAGAAACGAGCACCAGATAAGGACGTCTGGCCAAGACATGATAGTACCAATTCATCTTCTCCGAGTCGAAACACAACATACTTGTGGAATGCAACTCCTACATTGGTTTTTTATCTCATTTTCATAACATTGTGGTATTTAGTCATAATGTTTCCCTTTCAGTGCATTCTGGCGGATGGAAAAGTCTCAAATAACCTTGGGCTTCCTGGGACAGGGCCAAATGCTATTGTTTTCTTTGTACTCTCTGTTTGTGTTATATACACTGCCTGGGGACCAGTTCTTGCAGGTGGAGTTGCACTTGTTGCATTGCTTGGCGTGGGGGAACTAACTGAGGGCTTGCAACTAACTAAAGCAACAAAAAAACAACCAAAAACTATGCGAATAAGGATAATGCAGAAGACGATGGAATAACAACAAAAAAACAGCACAAAGGATACACTGAAGTCTGGGCGCAAGTGCTGGAGAGTTCTTGGCCAGATCTGGCACTAAAAACCCAAACAGCTGTTCTTGGCGGGAAATTTAAATTAAGCTGCAGAAAAACTAAGAAGATACAATGAAGCGCACCTGAAAGATTAAACATAATATAGAAGATAATTTATGCTATTTAAAATTAACTCAATAGGTTGTTCAGGTATAAATAATTATAGCCAATTTAAATATTGTTAGCGGGAAATAGCTCACCTGCCAGCGCAGCCTTCAGAAACATATGTTTTCTACCCAGTGTTGGAAAATGCCATAAATCGTAAACTTGTGCAATGTTTTGTAATCGTATTTATCAAATGGTTTAAACTTATTTTTATAAATTAGAAATGCTGCGAAGAGTGCAGTGTTTGATCCGGTTGCATAGCAATGGACGTCCGGCACTCCAGTTTAGAAGCTTCGCTACGGATGGGTCCAACACCAAACAAAATCCCAATCCCAATCCCAAGGCTCAAAAACAGGGAAGCAAAAACCTGCCGGCTGTGAGGAATCCCTTTGCCACAGCTCAAGACAGAACCAAGGACTCGTATCTCACCATGGTCGAAATCTTTAACGAGCGCGACGTTCACCGACGCAACCATGTGGAGTTTATCTACGCCGCGCTTAAGAACATGGCAGACTTTGGAGTTGAGCGTGATCTGGAGGTTTATAAGGCTTTGATCAACGTGATGCCCAAGGGAAAGTTCATCCCCACCAATCTGTTCCAAGCTGAATTCATGCACTATCCCAAGCAGCAGCAGTGCATCATTGATCTCCTTGAACAAATGGAGGACCTGGGTGTAATGCCGGATTACGAGATGGAAGCAATGCTGCTGAACGTCTTCGGCCGACAAGGGCATCCCTTGCGCAAGTACTGGCGTATGATGTACTGGATGCCCAAGTTTAAGAACCTGTCCCCATGGCCTCTGCCTGATCCAGTTCCCGATGATACCCTAGAGATCGCACGCCTGGCGGTGGAGCGTATGTGCACGGTGGACTTGCGATCAAAAGTTACAGTTTTCGAGACCAAGGAGCTGAAAGATTCTATAGACGACACATGGATTGTAAGCGGAATGAGTGCTGAGCAGGAGAAGCTCTTGAGGGAGCACTCCCGTCAGAAGGCCCTGTACATAGAGGGACCTTTCCATATATGGCTCAGAAACCGTCGGATAAACTACTTCACCCTGCGCGCCGATCCGGACACCGAGTTCCTGGCCCAGTTGGATGAGCGACAGCTGGACGATGATGATGTGTCAAATATTGAAGTTCCGTTCTTTGGAAGAGCTCCACCACGGCGTCACAACCAGTTGGGCAAACTGCGTTCGGTCCATCAGCAAGATGATGGCACTATTCTGGCTATCTGCGCCACTGGCACCTCCACCAAGGACTCTCTACTCTCGTGGATTCGGTTTTTGGAGGCCAACGGTAATCCCTCCATTGGCGAGGTGCCCGTGCTCTTCCGGTTTACATCAACGATGCCCGCCAAAGCCAAGGAGATCGAGGGCTCTGCCAGTGTGCCGGCCACAAATGATAGCCGAAGTAGGGAAAATGGACAAAGTAGAAGTGAATAAATCAATTGTTGAAGAAACTCTCCAGGTGTGTTGGTTTTTATTTCATTTAAGTCCAAACTGGTCTCTTCTAAAAGCATTTTTTTAACAGAATTTCTTATATTTGGTTTGCTGCAGTTTTTAGTGGGCCATGCGCGCAGTATTAAGTCATAATCACTAGTGATTATGTAGGTGATATATTTAAATTTGTACCAAATATGCTTAAAATCATCTTTACAATTGAGTAATTTTTTAATTATGAGGAAAATTAAGGAGGATCCACACAATAATAGATTGTGAGCTGAGCTTAAACGAAAAATCACAGAACCCGAAACTAAGTGTACTGAAGATCTGCCTAGGATTTAACGCCTGTCTCTAACCGCTAGTTAAGTAATATATACATGTCAGATATATCGTAATATCGATGGAACTGTCCACCTGGCCAGTGTCTAGTTCAAAGCTTATCTACTTTGTGCCTGTCTTGTTAACGGGGAAAACTTGGGTGACCACACCAATGCCCTTGCTGGTGCCCTCGCGGAACAGGATGCGCATTCCCGGCCGGACGTATTCTGGGTGGCCCACGAACTCGAACATCACTGACGCGCAATCGTTCGTGCCCAGCCGTTCGCCACCCATGATTCCTCGGATCACCGCCGTCTGCCTGATGCTGCCAATGTGCACCGTAGTCTGGAAACCCACATAGATGGCCGTGGCATGGAACAGCACGGAAACTTTGGCCTGCAATTAATGTGGAAGATTATTAATTTTTGAAAAATAGTTTCTAATTATTTTTACAAACTTGAAAGAAATATGTTCCGTAGGGCTCGTCCAAGCCATTTCCAATGTCTCCAAGCAGCACCATGCCACTCCTGAGTGTAGGCAAATCCTGGTCAGGAGTAAAGGACAGCGATGCGCTCTGACCGGCTCGCACTACCCGACACGGCGCTTTATTCCTGTGAATTGTGTTCACATTCACGGGATGGAAACTTCCATCCGGCAGTGGACCAATTTTCATGGGCATATTTTCGGTGAGCACGCCCTGAACCAGCAGGCCACCCACCACAGGTCCCACGTCTGTGACCCGGAAAATCTCATCTACTTGGAACTCACAGGACTCCTGTTCGAGGCGATCCTTCTCGGCATTGCTGATGCCCGGCGACAGGACGTATAGAAACTTTGTGACTAGATTGAGACCCGTGCCGGTGACATTTGACACGCAGAATATGGGCACAATATTCTCGGAGACCTGGTTGGACCCAGCCGATATGGCCTCATCAGTATTGGTGACCACAAAGGGCACCTTGCGGCAGCCAATGGTGGTCAGCAGATTGCACAATTCCTGTACCGTGGCATCCGGTGATGTAATGTCAGTTTTGGTCACCAGAATGAAGAAGGGCATGTCCAGTGCCCGGACAATGGCCAAGTGCTCCTCGGTGGTGTCGTTGCAACCACTTCCGGCTGACACCACCAGCATAGCGTAGTGAGGTGAGTATCCACTCAGTGCCTGGACTGTGGTGCGCATGTAGCGTCGGTGGCCTGCCAGATCCATAAAGGTAACCAGCTTGCTGGAGCGGTCACTAATCTCCTCGGCCGTCATCATCTCATTATACTTGTAGTTCACCACGTTTCCAAGAGCATCAAAGCCGAGAGTCTCGTGGGAGATGCAGGAGGTGCGACCTAAGGTTAAAGGTTAAGTTAGTTTATTAAATAGTATTATTTATCAAATATTCTTACCCGACTGAATCTCGTGCATGTGCCGGAACATGTTAAGCCGCGCTCGTCCGTGTCCATTGTCCAACTCGTCCTGTGTGAGCACGCCCAGAAGTGTGGACTTTCCAGCATCGGCTCCTCCGAGCACCGCCACCCGCACCTCAATGTTGTGCTGGTCGTCGGGGATCTTCCTCACTAGAACCTCAGCCACAGCCCTCCGTGAAGCTATGGTCTTCCTTCGGAGCACAGAGGTGCTCGCTCCCAGGCGGTGTGCCATCTGTTTCAGGGTTGACAGCGATGCATTCATGTCCTTGTCGCTTAGGCCTAGCAGAAGACCGGCATCGGAGACCCCGATCTCGTAAATGGCCTCGCCATTACCCTCCCGTAGCCGCCACTTCATCTGGGTGACCAGGTGCTCGAAGCGCTGCTTTGAGGGATTCACCAGCTTTAGCTTGTACTCCACATTCCCAAGCTGTGGCTCTGGAGGCAGCATTCCCCTCTCGAAGTCAAAGATCAGGTCTCCACTCTCCGCGATGACTCCCTTTCCCATGCTTAGGGGACACTCATTGGCATTGGGATCTGTCTCGTAATCGCTAATACTGCTACCAGTTCCGCTGCTGTTTCCATTCAGCTCCGGCTCCTCGTCGAAGCCATCGTCCTGATTCGGATCGAAGAGGCTCAGAAAGGACTCCATGGTGTTTTTAGATGTCTACAACATAAATATACATATATATTTATTGTTAAATCTTCATTATGGCAGGCGATTTTTGCAGCCTCTAAACAAAGAAACGTTTTGTTTTCAAAAAGAACAACAAATTTTTTGGCCAATTGCGACATTGAAGGCATACGTAAGAACGTAAACAAGAGTCTTCCACAACTGTGTTCAAAATAATAGCTTTAAAGATTTGAAAAAAATATTTAAAATATTCATTTTTGAATATTAATTTGTAAAAAAATTTAAAATATTCATTTTGTGGAGAGTAACATGAAATAATTGTAACCATAACGTTAAAATGTATCACTTTATCTTACAGTAACTTGTGAAAAATCCATTAAAAATATAATATTTTATAACCACATAAAAAAAGATTAATATTTTTGAAAAAATCTATTTTTTTTTTAATTTTAAAATCGTATCTGATTTTTTTTTGGTCGTCCCCTTTGACTTGCAGCGACCTTGAAACTCTTGTTTATGTTTGCCTTTGTTTGGATACACAAAAAAGGGGGGTGCACAAAAAAAACAATGAAAATCGAATGCTGAGCGAATCACTTGACCTCTTACCGAATAAATAAAGTTTTTGCAGTGGGTTTAATTATTAAACTAACCCGTATAATTTATGTTTTTGAGCGGAAAACGATAATGGTTCCTGTTTGCGCGCGGGTCTGGCACAAATTATTGATTTTGGCAGCGCTTTTCATTTGCCCAGGTCGAAATCTGTTATTTGGCTATCTGGGCCTCTCGGTTCTGAATTCTCGGTTCTGTGTACTTGTGCTTTCTGTTTTTGGCTGCCTTTCGATTTTGTTTATAAACTGGCTCTGCTTTGTGCTCAACAGCAAATGGGAATGAATGTGTGCGAACTAAATACAGCCACAACTGGGGGGGTCCCAGTACACAGTACAAGTTTATAGAGAGCTTTTCGTAATACCCTACAGGTGGAGTAATGAAGTACTTCAATAAATATTGTATAGGATTTCAAATGGTACTTTTACTCATTTTAAAGAATGAATTCTTTAATTCTCTTAGTTAAGAATTTTTTATTATTTATTTCAAACTATTTATTTAGATAACATTTTTTAGAAAAATAAACTGTATTGTTTAATTTATTCTAAAATAACTATAATTTTCTCTTTAGTTTTTCAGAATTTTAACTTAAATTAAAAAAATAAATAACTATTAAACTTCCTGGAAAACGCACCTGCCAGTCGACCTGGCCCGAAGCTTATTGGCGCGTTTTTATGCCACAGCTTTTCGCGTCCCATCTTCCTCTCAGTTTGTTTCAATTCTGGTTCTACACAAGGTTTGTTTTGATCGGATCAGCTGGGAGGAAGGTGACGCTATATCTCAAAATTAATTAGAAGCGCCAAAAGCTTTGCTCGAATTACGGGGAAATACTAGTCTACGTGTCAATAATAAACAATTGAAAAATATTTTGCAAAGCGTGAGTGGAATTCACCAGACAAAGTGGGGAAAACTATGAGTGTTTACAAAGGGGATTCAGATTTCATCATCCAAACGCAATGTCAACGCACTCCTCCATACTCTTTTACTCACATTTCACAATTAGTGCAATGGGCCAGCTAAAAACAGGTTTCTGATGCAATAGCGACGCTTCCAAAGATCGTCTTCAGTTCACTTCTTTAATTCAAATATAATTCACACTGCCATGGCTATTGATGAATTTTTATGTCTAGTGCTGTGGACAGGCACTGGTTAATTTTGGTGGGCGCGATTGATAACTCGCGATTAAATAAACTTTACGCACATAAACAAATCCTCCTACATTTTCAATAAACACAAACAAACTAAGCATAGAGGTGGACCAACATTGAAACATCGATATACCGAAAGTTTTTAGAAATCGATAGATTAGAAGGGGGAGCTATAGACACAAATTAAAAGTTACAAAAGAAATGTAATACCTCTTTTTACTTTCAAATAGGATAAAATGTTGCCATAGTTATCTATATATGTGATGGAAATCTTAAGAACACAAATTACAACATTTAATATCGTGGAATTTAGCGCCAAACCGTTTGAACTTCTGTAGATGCTTACCAACACTACTTTGGAACTGCCAACTTGTGTCCAGCAGATACAAGAAGTATTAGCGGTCTATTTTTCTTTTATTTAAAAATGAAAGTTTTCTAATCTTTACGAAATTACTTCAATTTGGTATTTTTGAAATTTTAGTAAGAATTCCAAAGGGAATCAAGTAAAACAATTATATATCATTAATATGTTTACGTTTTATTTCTTACCATTAACATTATTACTTTATCACAAATATTTTAAGCATTTTTACATATGTAGTTAGTTACAATGATGTGTATATGTTTTTTAATGGGGTTGCCTTTATGCATGTAATTATTTACAACGTTTGCTCTCTTCGAGGCTCATAAAATACTTTTTGCTGACCGCGACATAAGGGCGTGATTCTACAGGTTTCGGTTCTTTTTAAAAATGTTTACTATTCGCACTCTTTTTTTAGATATCTACAGCGGGGACTTTTGCCTATAAATATGTATGTATAAACTTTGAGAAAGTTTACTATTTGCTTTTTGCCGGGAATGCTATAACTTTTACATTTAAACATTACATTGATCTCACTAGTCTCTATTGATGATTTCTGCTTAATATTTATTTCCATTACCAGTTTCGTTGGAAAGTCAAGACGTTATCGAAAGGAATGCTAAAATGATATGACAAACTTTTGAACACTTATAGTCGTTTAGCCCTTGTCTATGATATACAAATATTTATATTTACTTCCTCTAGCATTTTTATCTGCTGACTTTCAATATGAATTTATCTGATATGCTAATGCCTTGATAACAATTGCCAATGAAGAGTACAAGAATGGAAAGAGCCACAACCAACTATTTGAACTGCTCCCGAGTTCATAGCCCATAAATAATATGTACAAAATACTTTCGTTGTGAGTGTGTGGGTGTCTATAGGTCAACTGGTAATCAATGAGGTGTCGGCCAACTGCCAACTCCTCCGGAAGTGGCCAAGACGGGCTCATCAAATCGCCATCTCGTTGGGTGTTCGGTGTGCTTTTTATCCCGACTCGACCCGCATAAATCATTTTATTAGCTTATTAAAAACTTTTCCATTTATTGTCATCGTTTTGCGCTATCGTGCGCACAAATCCGTGCCCAGTTTTATTGTGTGCTCTATACCCATTCAATCGCTTGTGAGCTTATTACTGTGGCTGGGGTTTCTCGGTATCGTTTTCGGGTGGCTATCCCATATTTTTCTAAACTTTTCTTTATTGCTCACTTGTTGGCTGATGCTGCCTGCTAATAGCAGGGCAAAAAAAAAAAAAATAGGGCTTGCGGGGAGCGGCTGCTGTGACCATTAAATTCAAATCTGCTGCTGTTTTTGGCGCGTGTTTAAAAGTTAAATAATGACCAGCACTGGGCACGCAATGACGCAAGACGTGTCCAATATAACTTTTCCTCTTATTCGGGTCGGTTCTGGCTTTGATCTTGGGCTCTGCGTTGGCAGTTCAAATAGTTGTGGTTTTTTTCTGTCGGCTTAGGCAGGAGAGGATATGTTTTTGGGCATATATTTAAAGTTTTGTTTTTTTTGTTTTTATCCCGGACAAACAAATTCAACAACAAGTTTCGTTACGTAGTAAGAGCTTTCTACTTCCAGCATCTTGTGTAGTTCAGGGCTTGGAAGAATAGTTTCACCTTTTTGGGCAAGACCCCTTAAATTAAAAACTGAACTCGCTTCAAGACGCCGGAACATAGACTCCGATTTACACCAGTCAAAGTATATATAGTATACAATTACAGCTACGATTACACTTATCTTAAACATTTACAAACGAACAGAGACACAGACACACGCATTACATATTACATATTCATATTTTAGCTACTTTTCTAGGACTAAGAATTATTTCTAAGTGACGCCGCCGAACAGGAATTCCATGGAGTATTTTGGTCAAAATGAAAAGGTATTGAAATCGATTAACAGCAAGTAAAACTATAAAATCAAAAATAGAGTTTTCGAAAACATTGTTCGTTGTTTAAATACTGTTTTTTTTTAGATTTTTGACTAAGCCTTTAACCTAATAACCCAATAATTCCTAACAAGTTTCCAGAAATAAAGTTTAAATAATTAACACTAACAATTATTTTGACCACATCTCCATGTTTCTAGTTAGTAGTTCGCAGCCACTTTGATTCGGCTTTTATTTGGGGCTACTGCTGTGCGCCAGTCTTTTGGTTGGATGCCAGGATGCGACAGGATGCGCCCGACGGGCGGTCCCCCCTTTAAACGCAGCTCTCCGGCCCGGGCAGGGTGTCGGTGATTATGTGGTTGCGCCCTGCCGCCGACTTGTGCGTGATGGTATTCAGCTGCGACGGAGAGAGGCTGGTACCCGCGGCCATCACGGAGCTCGCGCCCATGCCAATGCCCATTCCCAGGCCCATGCCGAGACCCTTGGGTAGCGTCATGTGCGCAGCGGGCGGTGGCTTGTTCAGCCCGTAGTCTATCAGGCTGCTGGTGGTCAGGTAGTCAGCCAGGTTGAGCGGATCACGGTGCTGCTGATGCTGCTGCTGCTGCATGCTCCCACCCGGCTGCTGGGCCAGGTTGTGGGGCAGGGTGTGATGGAGGTAGCTCCCTCCCCCGGTGGACGGCCCATTGGCAGTCACTGTACTGCCGGCGGAGCTCAGCGTGCTGCTGCTTCCGCCAGTTCCCGCTGTGCCGGCTGCATAGCTGGCCATGCTTAGACCCAGTTGCTCGTAGCGACTTAGCGTGGGCATGGCATCGTACAGCAATGGGGGCGCTGTTCCGCCCCTCACCCCATTCGCTGCAGGATCACTGTCCAGTTTCAAAGTGCTCGACTGCGAGGGGGGGCTGCTCAGGTGCGGCGCATTAGAGTCCTGAAAATGATCATATGTTAGAATCGAATTGGTCTAGTTTGGTGAGTATTTGACTTTAAATATTAAAAGTACATTAAAAAAGGATAAATATTCATGCACAAAAAGAGGTCAGTTAGTTTGCAACGCCTACTCCTGGCTAGGGGCACTTACATAATCCCCGGCTTTGTGTCCTGAAACATTGCCGGCAATGGGAGCGGTCGATGCACCACCTCCGCCAGCGAACAATCCACTCGGCCGATTTCCCAACGGCGACGAGATGTCACCACCGTTAGTGGCACTCTTCTGGGCACTCAATATGTCCGGCTGCTTCTCGATTCCTTGCTTCAGGGTGTAGGCCACCACCAGTCGCTGGTGTCCAGCGCCTGTTTCCAGAGGCGCGGTTACCGTCACATCCATGCCTGTCAGGGGTTTGAAACATTAGTAACATGGCTGGGGGGATAGCTGCGTGAACACACGATTTGAATACCCTTGCAGATATATTCTATGCAGGAATATAGCTTAAATGCTTTATTCTAGCTTTATTCAATTTTATTTCTTACTAGCTGCAAGGGTATAAACTCAATCTGCAATGGATATCCAATATATAAGGAAAACTTACCCAGGTGCTTGTCTTTGTCATCACACATGTTGCGGGCACCTTGGCCCCTTCTCCGGCGAATGGCGATGACCACCACGGATAGAACTGCGATGCCCACTGTAAAGAGGGTGCCGGCAAGTAAAGCAGCCAGGGGCAAAATGGACAGACCCATGCGTCCATCTGAAAAAAATGGAGAATGAGATGATTTGTCAATAAAATAAAGTACTTAAAGGACTTTACAGCAAATAGTTTTATTTATTTAATATTCGATGATAAATGTCAATGATTAGCACTTAAAATACAATTTATGAAATAAAAAACACGTGCGTAAGTTATTTGCACGTTTATTTCCATGGTTTCTGACGATGAAAGCAATATCCCGGTTCTTTGTCCGACTGAATTCGATAAATAGCCATTGGTCGTTGAGGGTCCACTTGAATGCTGCTCGCGCAGCTCTTTTTCAGCCGAGCCAGCATCCATCCGACGCCCCTGTATGCGCTATACATCTCTATATGTACTACGTCCTCCAAACCCCTCGGATATATGTACACCTCACTCCTCTCACTCTCATATTTGCTGCTCCCATAAAACGCACGTCGCATGTCAAGTGGCTGCCACAGGCAGCGGCATTTCAGCGGCTGGCTCGCTTAGTTTGTTGTATTTGCGAGTGCTTTAACGTCGGCGCTAAGCATTTCAATTAAAATCCGTTTCCCAGCTGGATTTTCGGCCGATTCAGGGGGAAACGTAATTGAATATGCATTACAAGGCCGAACGCCACCCACACACACAGTGCGTATACGTAACCAAAACGATGAGACGCGACTTCCATCTTTGTACGTGTATGCATGTGTTGGTGTTTCAAATTCAACCAAATCGTGCGCGCCTGCGGATATGCAACACAGAATTTCAATAAGCAAACATAAGAGGCCGCCAATATTCGGAATACCAGGAACAGTAGCTATTACTTGTGAGAAACTGAGATATTTGCTTGGAATTTTGCAATAATTTAGCAATAGAATGGATTTCTGTTTCTAACAAAATGTTAAAAAAAAGGAAACTTTTTCAACCATATTTAACCTTTATTAAGATATCATTATTTAGCTTGTTAGTGCCGACTGTTTCAAATACCGGGCCTTGTCAGCCAAACGCCAAAGTTACAAATCAATAAATATTCTTTGGTGGATGCTGTTTCTACTGCTACTGTTTCCAAATGTTGACGAAACTGCGCCGCTGGCGAAATTGCTCATTTATGCATGGCTGCGTCTAAGCGAAAACATACATACGAATACAGGCACGACCGCAGTGTTGCAAATATATGTACATACATACATATATAGAATAAAACACCCACAGTAGCCATCGTTTATGTCCAATTTGTACGTGTGTTGTAATTGCTGGCACATGACTTTTAAAAAAAGGATAAACATGTATATTTCGCTCGTACAGCTCGATTCACAAAAGTTGTGCGGTGTTTCTATTTAGTTAGTTTATTTATGGCGTGTGCGTTTTAGATCAAAATTGTATTTTTCATGTTACTAAACCGTAAATATAGTAAATATTTAAAATGCTAATAAACTAGCCCCGTGGCTAGCACAGAAAGTGTGTTGTTGAAAGTGTTATGGTTAAATAGGATAGTTAGATTCAAACTTTGGCACCATGGTGTATTTAAATAAAGCGCCAAAGCACCAGAGGAGAAAATCACATGTAGGACAGCTAACAAGCTGACGTCCAACATTTTTAATTTTAATTAGATCAGGCTAAATGCCTGGCAATTGCATTTAACGAACGAGAAACGGGCCAGCGAATTCTGATTGGGAAAGCGGCGGCATCAATCATCAGAACTGTTTGCCTGGCCTGAATACAACGACCTTAACTAATTTCAAATTAGTGAGACTTTCCATTTAGTTACCCGCCATATATATACATATATGCACAACATAATACCGATTCGGAATTTATTTCTTAACGCTCATCCAAGCAGATAAATAATGTTTTATTTAATTTCGGGCTGTTCATGTAGCGTTTAAATGATTTATGAATCGATGCGCAGATTGGCGATGGAATGATTTAAATTAAATTCGAAATTTATTCGGTTTATTCAATGTCATGCCAAAGTGGAAATGATAATTCATTATAAATTCATCATTTCGTTTGATATTCGCCGTACACATGGCGGATACGTAATTTACTATCTCATTTGCGACAGAATGTGAAGAATTGGGCACTAAGACAGGCACGACCCAGCCTCCCCAACCACTCCCCCGTTCAAATTATCCACTTCGGCCCCCATCCGGCGACAAATCCCCAATCGCATCAGAAAACCCAACACAAAGGGCATAAAGGAATATAAAACCGAATCGAGCAATCGCTTGCCAAATAAAATGTATATTTGGCAACCAGGAAGAGGGCACTTGAAACCGAAACTGAACCGGAGAGCGACGACTCCAAGGACTACAAGGAGGACGACGGCACACAAGATGAGATGCCAAAAAGAAAAAGAAATTTAATTTAAATATAAGCACACTGGCGTAATGAAATTTTCACACTTGTGCAAATATTTACCAATAAAACCACCTGGAATGGTGTGCCAACGGAGCTTCCGGGCCACGATACTCTATGCACATGCCCCAACTTAAGCAGATAAGCCAGACAACCAACCAAAGAGCCATCGAGCGAGTCAGTTCGTGTGGGCATACCTGGTATACCGGGTTTACATTGGTCTGTCTGGTGTCTGGGTATATCGTACCGCATAACCACCAGGTCCGGAGCCAAGACCAAGCACCACTATGTGGTAGCAGCAGGATCCGCTTGAGCTGGAGCCGGAGCCGAAGCCGGAGTCCTGCGTGCCGCTCATAAGCCAATTGTTTGCATGGGTTTCATTTGGATGAGTGCAGGTCCTGGCTATCCTCCTTCCGGCTGCGTCTTCTCATAAGCTTAATTCGATTTAATGCTCCCGTTTGAGATATAAATGATTCGATGAGATGATGAAAAAGTGGATTGGTTAAAATGTATTGGGAATACTTCAAGCACTTGACAAAAATGGGGTGGACTTTTGAAGTGAAATTGAGTCCTAGGAGAAGCATTGTTGGTGTTCCTATGACTCCATAGTTTTAAAGAAAATTTCTCTCAGTGCCCGGCAACGTGCCCATGTGGGTTTTAAGAAGGGAATGCGTTTACACAAAGTAAGCATAAATAAAGAAAATGCTGTCTGCGTTTCAAGGAAACAACGTAGACAGCGGTGGAACAGAAAAAAATAAGAAGAATTGGGTGGGGCTGTCATCTATTGCAATGGCGGTCACATTTCCTTGCCGCCATCCTCCCTCAACCGCCCCTCACTCCAACCAAATTCGATCCGAGCTGTAACATATAATTTTATTTTATTTTACTTCACTTTCTGCACCGTTGTCTTTTGGGATATTGTATTCAGATAAGACATGTTTAATGTATTTTTTCTTGTCGTACAGTAATCGTTTATATTTTGTGCGCTTGGGCTTTGGGCTCAGAGCTCTACCTGTATCTGTATCTGTGTTTGTATCTGTATCCGTATCAGGGGCTCTTACAGTATCTGAGTATCTGAGAGAGGCTATAGCTCCGGAGCTCAGTGTCTGCCCGGTATCCGCCTTGAAGGTGTATGTGTGTGTTCGCATATAAACTGGTGTGGTATAATGTAACTCCTGGGGAATCTCTGTGTGTCAGTTTAGCATAACAAGATATTTCTTTTCTCTGTTGGGGTTTTACTTGCCATCGCTTTTTTTGGCTAAAACATGAAATTGATTATATTTACATTAATGTGGCATCAAGTGTTGCCATTGTAAAATATTTTGGTCTGCCCCCACCCCACACTTTTGTGCCAGAATTCTATATGGTTGTTGGCAGAAAAGCTTTTAGATTTACCAAAGGTGCAAATATTGACACTTGATGTAGGTGTACTGCATATATAGAGCATGTACTGCAAGTCTAAAAAATTAGGTCGCCCACATACGCATTGCCACTGGGAAGAAATATCTGAAGCCGGCATAGCTACTAGAGTTGTGGGATAAAACTCAAACTACTCATTTTTCCCAAGTGTAATCCCCATATCTGATAAGCTGGCCAGCATTCAATCTATCTCACACTCCTAAATAATGGCCATCTGCTGGAACCATCTCAATGGGCTGGATTGTGTGTCTGGAGCGCATTAAGGAGATGATTGAGTGGATTTGTTGTCCATGGTGATTGGCAACCGGACCGTTCAAATATGCAATTGTGCAGATAAACATTATTGGCTGACCAAGTGCGGACAGTATTTGGAGCCCAAGTAATATATATATAGCTCTCGATGCCGTCCAAATGCCTTCCATCATAATGACCATAATAATGATGTCGGTCAGGTAGTGTTGGCATTCGAATTGCACATGAAATAAATACTCGAAAGCTGCTCTATAATTTGCACATAATGATATTTGGTCCATTGAATGCCATAATTATTGTTGAATGCCAAATATTATAATATTCTCCACAAAGAAGAAAATTATTTCAGGTCTTACAATTGCCCGACAATCTTGGGAAAATTTGAGAAGATTATTTTGGTCTAATGTATTCTAATTAAATCCGATTCAAGAAAATGCTATTAAAATTTGATCAGATCAAAGTGTTTTGTATTTCAAATATGCCAACTGCTTTTATAGAGAAATATGGTGAATTTAAGACAATATATGGAGCACTCATTCTTGCAAAAAGTAATAGCATGTTTGGCATATTATTTTATCCAATACAAAAGGTAAAACAAGCTTCCCCCACAAACATACTCTTGAGAAACAAACACTTTTACACTTTTTACCTCAATTGTTGGATGAGAAGAAAAACTTTTAAAGAAAATTAGCGTCAAAGTTGAATAACAAAGCATGAATAAGAAATCTGTGTGTCACTACTTTGGCTACCTTGTAAAGGACGAAGGACGATGGAGGATGAGCTGGGCCAAAGTGGAGTTGCAGTGTCGCCCCAGCGTAAACAAAACTCGTTAAATAAAAGAGCAATTGTACTAACAGCGACAGCAACAACAACCGCACCAAAGAAATGAATGAAAGAAAGAAACTAAAACGGTTAAGCGGAATATGCAAATACTTGAATGACTTTTTAAAGGTGAAATGGCGCTTAAAAAGCAATGAATGCTCTGGTCCTTGGTCTAGGAGGGGGGCTAAGTTTCCATTCATTTTTTCACTGCCAGCTGGAAAAACTTTGGCGCAGTAGTTTCATTTTTTTTTAATATCCACCTACCTGAACGCTTGTCCGCCTCATTGATGGGCACATTCTCGAGGACAATCGGCTCGGAGCGTCCTTTCTGATTGACGCTGTAAACGAACAAGTGGAGGGCGGGATGGCCATCCGGATAGCTGTCCATGGGCATCAAATCTGGCGAGGAGAAAGATTGGCGGAAGGTTGATTAGATTGTCGGTCAATTCGTACACTTAATTTGCATAAATCGGATTATCGGCATTGCCGACATGACCTAATAAATTTTAAAATATTCCACTTCCGAGATTTTAGATTAATTGGGTTCGGAATCTCTGGCTTAATTAAAGAAAACAAATAAATCAATTTAATTTAATATTCTATCTAATATTCTGATGGCGAGGAGAGATAGTTGGACCCGGTTTTGATCATTAATTTCAAACTTGGTAGTACTGTGCCAACTTCATTAGGCAAACAGGCATTTAATTAGCACGTCGCGGTGCAAAAGTTCGGTCCCATAAAATGAAAAGTTCTTGACTGCGTGGATTTTTTTTTCGCCCCAGCCCTGGCCCCAGTCCTGACTCCTGATGCTTTCCCGATTCTGCTGTTTTTCCCTGTTTTTCCGTTTTCTGGTTTTTCTTAATGTGCGCATCAAAAGTTTTGTTTGTGGAAAGCTCATGCTCTCCTTGCACCGATAGCAGCTCATTAAAATGGCAACTACTGCAAAAGGGTGTGAGGCCGGGATGAGGCGGGGCTGAGCGCCAGGACTAATACGCATACATTGGCAAGCCGCAGGAACAAAAACAAATTCCCCCGATCCTTGCCCGACTTAGCCCCACTCTGCCCCCGCTCCAATCCATCCGACAGCGTCGTTAACACGCCTGTCTAACTAATCGTGACTTTACGCTTCGTTTGACTTTGCAAATATCGCTGAATACCAAACACCCACCCACTCACTGCCCTCCGTCACCCCTGAGTCATCGATATGGCACTAAGGCTTATAGTGGAAAAAGATGCCACTGCAGCTCAGGGGGCAAGGCGGCTAAAAGCCAACACCCAGGCCAGCAAGGATCAGATCTCCTTCGGCTGCTGCTCTTGCTCCTGGGAGGAGCTCGTTGCCAAGTTGCCAACTTTAATAATCCGAAATGTGGCTCATTAACTCGCCTCATACCCACCGAATCAAATGTAATATTATAATTTTCGGTTCCCTGTTGTTAACCTCCATGATAAATCTTGCTTTTTCAACAGCTCGATTCGAATTTTTGGCTCTGCTCTCTTTTTTGGTTTCGACGTTGGTATTGCCTTTGGGGTAAGCCACGCCTCCCCCGCCTCCAGATCCGCTGGAATCCTCTAGCTGGATGGCTGACTGGCTGGATGGCTGGCTGGCTGGCAGCATTCTATTTCATCCAATTCCCCACCTCAAAACGCCATTGGCATAAAAGTTTTGCTGACTAGCTAAAATTCATTACAACAAAACAGGCAGCAGCATGTGCCAGCAATGGTTCAGGGACATGAAATGTGGATGGAGCGGAGCGGGTATAAGGTCCTGGCAGCCTCAACTAATTAATCTGCGTAGTGCTGGCTGGCTAGCTGCACTGCTAAAAATAATGGTATTCTTTAAGTCGATTTAAACTTGTCTTACACATTAAAATAATAATGGTGTTAAGATGTTAGATAAAGTTCGGAAAGTTATTCAAGAAGTACTTTTGATACCTTATTTTCGTGAGCTTGAATCGAACATGGAATAATCAAAACTTGCTATAATGTCTAAGGACATAGAAAGTCATTCAATTTTATAATTTATTTTATATCGTATATAAGCCATTTTTTTCTTAGTGCAGACTTCCCCCAGACTTTCTTGTTGTCTTGAAGCCAACGCGCAATTTTGCCAGCTCAACTTTTTGCTCAGTTTGTTACTTTGATTTGTTTTTGTTTTTACTGTTGGTGCTACTGCCTCATGCCTCATGCTTCCTACCTCCCGGCACCTCTATAGTCCTGCCCCTTGTGCTTGCCCCTTGGATTGTTGTTGTTTTCTTGTTGCTTCTGGCCGCATAAAAGTCAAGTCTTTAGTTTGCGGCTTTCGCAGAGCACTGTAAATATTGTAGCGCCAACACCCTGGGCCTGGCCAGGTCCTGGGCCTCGTGATTTCTAAGCCAACCTCATTTAAATATAATAATGCATAAGCATCGTGTAATAAAACATTGCTTTGGGGGGCTGGAAATCTGCGGAAATATTGGATTTCCTTCAGCCATTAAAGTCCGAGCAATTGAGTTGCTGTCAGTGGAGCTTACTATTTAAATAAGTTGTTTAATGTTCACGGATTTTGTTAACAACAATTTAAAACAATTAATGCATTTAAAACTAAATAAAAACTCTCTTTAAAAATAGACTTTTCTGTTACCTGACAGATCTATTCGGAAGACTGGCACGTCCGCATAGGTGCTGGTCATGTTGAGTCTCAGCTTCCTCGATTGGGAGTCGTACGCCTCCAGGTAGAACTTCTGCTGCAGTCCACCGTCGTAGCCGGGCAAGCACTCCAGTTCCATCGTTGAGTAGATGATGTTGTCGTAGTTGTCGAAATTGATGGTTCCGCCCCCGTAGCCATCGTGCCCGCCTCCGGCCCCTGAACCACCACCACCTGAGCCACTGAGCAAGCTCTGGGTGACGACGCCATTACTAAAGCTGTACTCCATGCGTGAGTAGTCGAAATGCGGTTGCTGCCACTCGGCAGGTTCTGTGGTTCTTGTGCTAGTCCTGGTTTTCGTTTGTCCTGGCAGCGGAGTGGAAACTTTGATGGAGCTGGAGGAGGTCACCGCTGTTGCTGGCGTTGAGTCGCCGGCAGTGGAGAGAGCCACACTGGCCACAAAGTCATCATCGCTAACATTGTACATATCATCGACCTCGTCATCCTCCCCCTCCTCGGCTTCCTCCGCCTCCTCCACATTGTCCTCGAGTGACTCCAGATCCAGTTGCTGTTCCAGCGAGGACAACATGTCCTCGTGCGTCTGCCGTTTGCCATTCACCACCTCCACCGTCTCATATTCGCTCAAGTCGGCAGGGCCATCGGCCAAGTAATCGCCATCGGTGGCCAGCTGGGCAACATCTTCATCCAGGTCTGCATCGTCATCGCTGGGGTCTCCATCCGTGTCCGCATCCGCATCCATATCCTCGTCCTCATCCTCATCTTCGTCATCAGTATCCGTCTCGCCATCTGTCTCTGCCTCATCATCATCATTATCGTCGTCGTCGTCGTCGTCGTCACCGTTGTCGTCTTGCTCGTTTTTGGAGGACTCCTTGGAAGCAGTCGTCTCTGCAACAACTGCAGCAGCAACTGCTGATGTTGCTTCTGTTTCCTTGACATTGTTGCTACTAATTGCTGCTGCTGGCTGGTTGCTTATTTGTGGAGCATTCGGCGGCATCAACTGTTGCTCCTTCTGCTGCTGCTGAAGCATCTTTTGCTTCTCCTGTTTGTCACTGCTGGTTAAGGATTTGCGTGCTCGTTTAATGCTGCTTTTGCTGCCGCCACTACTTGCAACATCCTTCTCGATTTCCAGCGCCGTGGTGGCCGTGGCCATTGCTGCCAATGAGGTTGCGGACGAGGCAACTGATGATGTCGGGGAGGCTGCCGCTGCCACAGTCGCTAGAATGTCATTTGCTGCCTGCCGCTTTCTTCGCCTCAAAGTTGCATAATGATGGATTGTGTTGCCGTCGTGCTTCTTTGCTGGCTGCAGCTTCTTTTGCTGTTTGTGCATGTTTTTCTGTCGCTTATTAAAATACTTTTCTGGCACTTGGCCATTGTTGTTGGCTTTGCTTCTGCTGTTGCTCTTGCCATTGCTGTTGCCTACATGTGACATTGATAAATTTGATTTTGCTGGCTTTCGTTGGCTTGTTATTGATGCTCCTGGCTGGAGTAACTTCCTCTTGTTGTTGCTGTTGCTGGTGTGTGCATCCAGCTGATGTTGCTCCTTGTTTTTCTTAGGAATTGGCTGCTGTTGCTGCTGGCTGGCCCGTCGCATTCGCTGCTTCCCCGACTGTGCCACCTGCAATCCATCAGTTCTGCTATCACTGCCTTTGGACTTGCCAGCAGTGGCCTGTTGTTGCTGCTTCTGCTGATGTTGCTGCTTCTTCTGCTGTTGCTGCTGCTGGGACTGTTTCTTCTGACGTTGCCGTTCGATTGCCGCCAGTGTCTGTGACGGTGTGAATGATGTCCGCTTGTTGAGTCGCTGCAATTGCTGCTGGGTGAGTTTCTTATTATTAGATTTGACCTGGCCAGCACCCGGCTTGCCCCTCATATTTTTATTGGTGGCATTGTTTCGGGATGTGGCATTGTTGCTCCTCTGGCTGTTGCTGTTGCTGCCATTACTATTGGCATTATGGCGCTCACGTACGTACTCCATGTGCGGATAATTCGACTCGTGTCTGCCGTATTGTGTGGGCAGCATTTGATTGGCATGCATTGTCGTCTGATTCGATGAGTTCAGCGAGGCGGAGGTCACCACATACGGCCGGAGAGTACAGTTCCGTAATGCCCCTGGCTTAGCTACAATGATCGATGGAGGAAATAATACAGAAATAGTGTCAGTGTGTCTCGAGAGATTGCGGAAATGAGTTTATATTTTATATACAATTTCAAAGTTTAATTTCTTGGTTTAGCTTCTAATATCATTAGATTCCTTACCTGCTGGCACCACTTGAAAAACACACGGATCCGACTGCTTTCCAATAGCATTCCGGCCGTAACAGGCCAATGTTCCGTAGTCCCTCTCACCTTTTGGCGTGTAGATCAGCTCGCTGATGGTCTCCACTGTTGGGCGAAACAGAAATAAGAATACAGGTGTAAATTGCAATTCAGTTGTGGCTCTTATTATTACGTTAAATTGCCCTTTTCGGCAAAGTTAAATGAAATAAGTTCTGCTTGCCCAAGCAGCTCAGTCAAGCCAACTGGGACGATGGCAGATAATCCAATTTACGGCTGTGCGAGTACGAGAGTATGTGCATGATATTGATAAAAGTCCGTACACTTTAGGCCACCCGCCCACCTTCATTGTCTCCATTATGCTGTATGCTGTATGCTGTATGCTATATGTAGCAGCCACCTCTGGCCAAACTCTGGCCTTTGCGAAATGTTAATTTCTAATGCCTGCTCAAGCGCAAGCACATGCAAATGCCTCTCCACTGCCTATGCCGCAGAGATGCAGATGCTGCAAGCTCGCCTTCGGCTCTATGCACTATAAACCATGCCAAGTGGCAATGTATTTTAATTGAAAAAACTTCTCAACTCTTTTGAAAAAAAAATAAAACCAATTGAGCAATTTCTTTTATAAAATTAAAATATTTTAAAGTGATAAATAAATCTTAAATATTTTTTGAAATATTTTCGCAGTGCCTTTACTTACCATAGCTCTCGAAGTGCGTCTCATTGGACTCCACAACAGTGCGCCTCACATCGCTGGTGGTGGTCATGGTGGGATCCTGAATGGTGGCATAGTGGCCCGAGGGCACCTCAAAGTGTTCGCCACTGGAGGAGAAAGTCCATTCGAAATCAATTTCGGGCGGATCCGAGTTGACGCGGCAGGGAATGGGCACGGCCTCCTCCAAGGAGGCGCCAATCACGGTGATGGTGCTGCTGCTGCAGACGGGCGCATCTGTTGGCGACACAATTGAGAGATCGAATTTAGAAAGGACGAAGGACTACTGGAAGGATGGGAACTAGGGCCAGCAAAATGCAAAATAATGAGCAGCTGCAATTGTCCGATTGTCCTTTGTCTTATATCAAGTATTTATATTGCAAACATTGTGCTGACAGGCCAGAGGGATGGGGAGTTCCGGCCAAATTGACAGCTACGATTTTCAATTTAAGCCAAGCAGCTGACGTACAATATTGGCGCAGGTATGAGGTGACAACTTAAAGCTTTACAATTTAAATTTTTACAAAAGAAAACTCAAGGGGTTTGCAACTTGCCATTACTTTATAATTGATAAAAAGGCTTTCAGACACCGCAAATTAGCTTCAATTAGTCTGTTAAGCGGCTTAAAAAAATTAGTTGTGCTCACTCCACTTCCAATTTGAGACATCTTTAAGTTAAAGACTTTAGAAAATATCGATTCCCAACCTCATCCTAATCCGGTGCTTAAAAGTTTTTGTCATAGCTTGGAGAGACTCCCCCTACACGCGACTCATGATTTATTCAAAGTAAACTCATTTTGCGTTTTTGGCTACAAACGATTGAACTTGAAATTTTATGTTATACACGCGGCATGCCGAAAATGTCGCCCCTTTCCCCAACAACACACACGTGCTGGGGGTCGGCAAAAAAAAACTTTTGCTAGCAACTTTTCAAAACTGCGCCAAGTGTGCGATGTGCGACGCATTCTGTTTCTTGTTCGTCCTCCGGCAACGGAATTTCGCCATAAACAACCCAGCAACAAGACAACAACAGCAGGAGGAGCAACATCAGACAACACACGCCTCGCTCTAAGCACCTGAAGGCATTTATTACCAAAGCCGCAACACTTTTCGTTGCTTTTTTATTAAAAATTATTCGAAAAGTTAGTATGTGTCGCAGGCATAAGCCGAAAATCGTGTAATGAGTTTGTATACAAATATTTGAGCACTTTTCGGGAAAGTTATTCCAGGAACTACGAAGAAATATGTGATTAGCTGAAGGGGACATCTTAAACCCTTTTTAAAATGGATTCAAAAAAATAATCTATTAAAAAAGTGATACAGCAAAAGCAAGGCAAGGTCCCCTTCAAAAATAAGGATAATGCATTGAGCCCCGAAAAGGCCTCAAGCGATGGCCATATCTTTGACAATAATCATCCGAATCTTGAGCGGAATATCTTAAACAATTAGTGGAAGGATTCTCTATCAATCTGTATTAAAATCTACAAACGAAATATTTTTTCGATTTATCGTCAAATTTTCTGGATGGTCTCCTTCAAAAATGGGGAAAAGGCACTGAACCCAAAAATGGCCCCAAGCGATGGCCATATCTTTGCCAATAATTATCCGATTCCAAAGCGGTATATCTTAAACGATTTGTGGAAGGATTCTCTATAAATCGGCATTAAAATCTACAAACGAAATATTTTTTCAATTTTTTTTCAAATTTTCTGGATGGTCCCCTTTAAAAATGGGGAAAATGCACTGAACGCCGAAATGGCCCCAAGCGATGGCCATATCTTTGCCAATAAGTTTCCGATTCTTGAGCGGGATATCTTGAACGATTTGTGGAAGGATTCTCTATAAATCGGCATTAAAATCTACAAACGAAATATTTTTTCGATTTTTTGTCAAATTTCCTGGATGGTCCGCTTCAAAAATGGGGAAAATACACTGAACGCCGATATCTTTGCAAATAATTATCCGATTATTGAGCGAAACTCTTAAAAGATTTGTGCATCAAATCATGATTCATGGGCGAACTGACGTTTTTTTAACTGAGGACTTAAGTGGGCAGCTGACTGTTTATTTACTGCACACAAGGACCTTTGTGATTTGGGTTTTTGCTAACTAGATATCGTTATCCAGTAGTGTTGGGCACAACTGATTCTCTGCAACACTGGCAGCCCTGGATGGTGGAGGGCAATTCGCTGGATGAGCACGTCCAGGAACCACGAACTAAAAACCACTAAAAGTGCCAGACGCATTTTTAAGCAATTGTTATTAACTGAAGTTCAGGCCATAAATTTTTTCATGCAAATTGGAGTGAGTGCTATGAATCTGCGGCATAAGTACGCAATTTCGGATTATTATAAATATTGCGGGGGATAAAGCTGCAGTTGATTGCTCAGTTTTATGATCCCATGGACTAGCATGCAGTGAAATGAAGAATTGCCACCCCGAAAAACGCCGGAGTCTATCCGTATCCTTGAGCTCATAATAATATTTTTATGGGGGCGTCAATTTCACAATCGTAGAATGTCGATTTTAATGTTTGCTGATTAATTTCTGCCCAGATATGGGGCGACTGCCTTCTGCTATAAATCAATTTATCTCAATCAATGTGGCACAATAAAGAAGCCCCAGATCCGAATAAAAGGTAGGAGCCCCTCTATCCCACAACCCGTTTCCCATATACCATATCCGATAACCCATAAGCCATAACCCATATCCCTTCCCATTTCCAATCAACCATCAATCCATTCATTCCGCTGTATGTAAATGTTTACGTGGCGTATGCGCGATGCTCGTGTAAATAGCCAACGTTGTATTTGCACGGCAGTCGGTGGCGGTGTATCCTTATGCATTGTACTCGTATTTACTTTCAATTATCGTAATTATCAAAAAGGGTAACACGGGTATTGGATATTCGGTAATGGCAAGGCAATGCAAACGTTTGCTGATGTCTTCGGTTTTTCGTTGTTCGTGCAGTTTATTTTTTTTTTATTGGGGTTTGGTTTGCTTTTGTTGCCCGTTGTTTCTCATTCATTTTCGATTTCATATCCCCGTGCTGATGCTGCGAAAATTTTGTTTTCACTGAACTCAGCCAGTTGTAGCTACTTATTTGAGTTTCAAGTTCGGATTCCCATTCAATTCGATTTGCCATCTGTGCAGGGAGGCGTGCAAATTGCGAATAATTAGCATTCTTCATATTTTTATTGTAGCTTATTTAACTAACCATGCAAACAGGGTCTCATGGCATCAAAATATTCATTAGCCTGCCCAATTATTGAAATATAAATTTCTTAACGTGTTTTGCTTTCATGTGGCCTGCAGTGGTTTTTTATTTCGCTTTAAATATGCAAAATAAAAACCAAATTGAATCCCACAACTGGTGCATAAATTTTCCCGGGGGCTGTGGGAGTGTGTGTGAGGGAATACACCTGACCTGACCGTCCTGTGCTCGCTCACCTGACCTTACCCATAATTATAAATGGTTTAATAATGACTGTGAGTTTCAATAATAAAAGCAGATCATTCATTTTTATTACCCGCCCTCCCAGCTGACACGTTAAGTTCTGGGGCTAAACTTTTGGCCCCCGATGGAATGACCGGACCGGACGGATACTTTATGAAAACATATGCATATTTATGCACAAGCAAACACAAACATCCAAGGGTCACACACGCCCACACAACAACACACAACACACACTGACACCGTTTTGTATTTAAGCATCATTAATTATTTAGAAATACAGTCGGAAGTAAATGCTCTATAAAGGTAATTGAGACATTTTCAATATGTGTACGTACACAAAGGCTCCGAGCGGCGTTTATCGGTCATTTATTTTTCCACCACCGGGTCTGTCCACAAAATATAATTACATACTAGACTGCTGGGGCTTGAAAGTGTGAATGACGACGCCTGAATTGTCGGCAGTTCGCATTGTGGCATTAGACATGGCCATCAAATCCTAGTTGTGACAATTAGAAATCAATTGAGTTATCACTTGTTTGGTTTCAATTTACACTTGGCCCTGAAAGGCAGACTGTGAGGGTAATTGGACTCTCCGAAAAGTGTCAATTAAGTGGGATAAGGACATGGGAAATGTGGCAGGTGTTTAATATTCCAAGACGCCTTGCTAGTTAAGTACTAATGATTTAACAAATAATTTTAAGTTTCCTCACAAACTGTCCCATTTCCATTATGCAGGGTATCAAGTCAGTGCAATCTGTTCAAGTATTTTTAATTAAATGTTGTTATTTATATTGCCATAACTATGCCAAAATGTGGCCAAAGTACTTGTAAATGGATATCACCTTTTGAGCAAATAACACATGAAAAGCCCTGCAGCGTCAAATAATTTCAAATGACAACAATGCTCAAAATTTCAATTTGCATTTAAGGTCTGTTCTGGGATTTGATATTTGCTATGACAATTCAAAGGCTTGATAGTTTTACATTCAAAGCAAATGCTATTTTTCTTCTTTGAGAAGCTTTGAGGAGCTTGACATGAACCCTGGCCTCAGCTAGAGGCTTCGGACAAATTAATTAGCATACCTTTCACAGAGTATCGAACATTGCGGTCGAAAAATTAACATAATAATATTCACACAATGCATTGATGTTTTGTGTTTTTGGCATTCAAAAATTTGTAAAGTTCTGACGGCTTTGGTTTTTAGTACAACACATACTCAAAATGCACTCACGTACACGAAAAATATGCATTTTGAGCCGTAAACGGATGACAGCCGTTCGGCACAATATACGTACATTTTAGATGTGTAATGTTACGGCTTTTTGCACAAAATATTTTGTGTCATTTTATCATACTTTAGTTTGCTGGCCATCCTGTGTGGTCTTTTGGCCAACAAAAAAAAAATGGTATATATTGTGCGATTTTGTCAAGTGCACTGCCGTCGTGTTGTTGTTACTGTGGCTACCATTTTTGTATGTGGGTGTGGCTGCCATTGTGGAACGATATCGAAGGAATGTGTGAATATGTTTAGTTTCCTGCCTCTCTTTCACTTCATCTATTACCATCTCTCTCTTTTATGTGCGTGTCTATTTGCACAAAAATTTATGCATATGTATTTTTAATGCTCCGCTCCAATGATATCAACTGTCAGCATAATTTTAGCAATTTTTTGGGTATTTTAATATTTCCATTTTTGTTTCAGAAATATTACAATCTATTCTAAACTGGGCTTTGTCATTGCATTTATTTCATTTCGATTCTGTATCAAATATTCGATTTTGGTAACTAGTCTTTTTACTGAAAACTATCAAATTGCTTAACAACTATTTCAAACAAATTGAAATGCTAATTTTATAGTTTTTTTTATTTAAACTTACATCGAATCCTTAGATTGACTGGAGCAGACTGGGTTTCCCCTCTGTCGTTTGCCGCCGAACAGGCATAAAATCCAGAGTGGACCCTGCCCACCCGTTGCAAGACCAGAGATCGAGTGGATATGATGATGCCCCAAGACACATTCTGGGTGACCGGTTGACCCTGGTAGACCAGAAGATGGCTCATTATTTTTGAGCAATTAAATTTCGGTTAAAACTCACGTCGTGCGACCACATGATGCGGTGCTCCTTGGGATTGGACTTAATGTGGCACTCGAAGTAGACGTCGTCGCCCTCTTTAATGTCGTCCGGCCGCAGAGTGGAGCCCAGCGATAAGGTGACCTGTGGTGGATCTGAAAATGAGTAAAAAACACGCCCAGTTATTTTTAGTAAAGTATCCATTTTAATTGGTTTCGCTAATATGCTAATTTTGTTGTGCTGTGAGCGCTCTTTTGCTGTGTTGTATTTTTTAAAATTGAAGGCAACCGTGCGAGCGGCCTCATATAAAATCGAAAAATATTATTGCATAATAAAACGTCCTGCCGTTGTCGTCAATCTACAACGCCGCAGCGCGTCCCATAAAAGTTAACAACGCATCGCCGGAACCGCGCTGTAAACCCCTCTCCATGTTCGATCCCGTATCCGGAATCCGGGCGCCAAGAAGCAGCCACCCTGCCGCCCAATGAGTATGACAAAAATTTTTAAATTAAAATCGTTCCGCTGCCGCGAGTGACGCCCCAATATCAATGATGGATCATATAAAATATTTAGTGCTTTTCTTGCCATTATCCTTTCCATTTTTACAACATCATGATTGGACGTCAAAGAAGGTGCCTGAAAGCAGCAAATTGTAGCTGTTATGGTTGAAGAAAGTGCCTGAGAAAGGGTGAATCAGACTCCCAATAGTCAGACACAAGATTATATTATGAAAAAATAAATCGTCAAGGTGGCTTGTGTGCTTTTCACTTTCTTTACTTTACTTTCTATTCGAAAATATGGATCCATTAAAAGCATAATTCCCTAAAAGCTGCTTTCCCCATATGGTTATATTTTTGTCTATTCCATTCATTTGTATTTTTTTCTGTAACACGAAAAAAGGATGAAAGCCAAAGGAAAAGTTTCTCTTACTTCTAGTTGGAACCTTACGCGCTCTGACATACAATATTTATGGTAAAATTTGGCATATATAGCTGGGGATCTATGTACGATTTTAAAATTCAATAAATTTATGATTATCCTAAAGAAAGACCCAAGGCAAAACAAAGTGAAAACTAAGGGATACTTTAGTATGGGACAAACTTAAACCATATCTTTTTTCGCCACTTTGACCTTCAACTAAAGTTGAGACCTTGGAGAAGTGGGGGGTGTGACTTTGGGCGTTGATTTTAAATTGATAATCATATAAAGTAAAATTTATGGCATTCTGCTGGCGTTGGAGCAAATATGCGAAACGAGGCAAAACAACCAACAAATTTTTCGCCGGATTTTTTATGGCCACGCTAAAAGTCAACGGAATAAATATTGACATATGAGCGAACGGCTTCATACTGGGCCAGAATGGCAAATGCAAAAAAATATAGGGCAGTTCAGGGCAGGGCAGAGGCGAGAGGGCCCAGCATGTAAATAATGCCATATAATTTAGACTTATTTGCACAGGCGACTTTGATTTGTGCCCCAGCTGCATTTATGGTAATTCTAATCGATTTTGCAGAATGTAGTGGCACTGAAAATATTTTTAAAAGTTCCATTGGAATCGTTTTGTTAACACGGGATATAGTCTATAACCAAACCATACTATTGTACCATAAATGATAGTTCTTTATAATTATAGTGAAAAGTATCTGGTTGAATGATTTCCTCTTAATAAATAATTTTTTAAGTGCATTTATGGAGAGAAAACCTTCTACTTACAAATGACATTCATCATAAGCGAGTCCTCGATGGCCGAGTTCTGCAGCCGGGGATTGGAGCCTTCGCACTTGAGCATCGTGCCGTCGTCCTCAGGTTGTGGATAAAATGTCAATGTGGATATGACTCGACCATTGGCTTGGCTCGTTGACAGCTATGTGGGTGGAGGGGCGGCAGATAAAGTGAAATCGATTAGAAAAGTGCCCACCTCCGCATACTTCCTCCGCACTAAGGCAGAGAAAATTCATAAATAAGGTGAGGCTATAACACGATTGATTGCGAGATGGCACTTAGGAAAAATACTGACAAACTTATAAAAAGAGTAAAATCTTTACAACTCAAAGATGGAAATATGTAACAACATTTTTTCGAGTGCATTTAGACCTTACCATGCCACGTTTGAAGGGCCGATTATTTTGCGTCCATTTGATTTCCGTGTCCGGCACCGAACCAGCCACAATGCAGGTGAGATTGTACTGCGTGTTCGAGGCGAAGACCTTCAACTTATTGGTTAAATTGACTGATGTGGGTTTGACTGTGGATGGTTTAAGGGGATTAGCCGTGACTCGCAATATTGACTGGAGTTCGGTAGCCACTCACGTAACATTTCGATGCGAATGCTGCGCTCCACGGGCGCCACCAGTTTCGTGTTCGAGGCCTGACAGCGGTACGTGTTGTTCAGGGCGTTGCGCGAGATTTGGGCCACCTCCAGGCGGTTGACGGTCACATGGCGGCCCATGGACACCCCACTGCCCGCCTCCAGGGTGCGGGTTCCATTCAGCCAGGTCACCGTTGGCTCCGGGCGACCTGTTGATAAAAAAGGGCAACAAATTCACATTGATATTGGAGGGAAGGACTTTAAGTACTACGTGTTGTATTTGGTGGAGTTTAAAGCCTAAGTGGATACATTTTTGTTGAAGTTTTGTTAAAGATTAAAATTATCATCTAGATTTCAAGTCTGGATATTCCATTCCCGGCCATTAATATTTATAAAGAATGAGAGCCATAGTTCACTCTAAGCTCAAAGGGATATAATTTCAGAGTTTCTTGTCAAGTGCTCGCATTTCAAATTTAAATTTAGATTAATGTTTAATGCATAAATTAATTTTAAATTTTGTGCCAACTGTTTTTCGCTGCTAACAAACTTTTCCACTCATGCATTATTAACCCATCCGTCTAGCGAGAGTTTCCCGAGGTGGGTTTTCTAAACGGAAGCGGCGTGACCACAGGGCCGCGTTCGAAAATTTATGACCGAAAAATAACAAAAAAAAAATGAAAGAAACTTTCAACATTTTAATGATAATGCGCATTTAGCAGTGTGTACCCAAGGCTTTTAAAAAAGGCTTAGCCAGCTTAACTAGCAAAGTTGGGGCACTGCCCGAGAAGGCTGGCCGTGGAAGGACGAAAGACCAACGGGGGGCTTGGGAAATGGAAAATGGGAAAGGGACCGTCACGGGTTTCCCAACGAACGCATAAGCGTGAATATTGAATTAGTTGGTTTGGGAAGCGAATTGGGGGAGCTGCAGAAAGTTTTTTGGGGACAGCTGATGACCCTGAATGGGAAACAATACGGGCGGTGGGCACTAAGGACAAAAAAACCGAAACTGAGACGCAAATTTATTTCAACGTAAAGCCACACAACTGTGGATATTAATTAAAGTAAAATTCGCCATTTTTTTTTCGTCACATCTCTCACACAAAAATTTAAAATTGAGCCAATTATTTTAACAACTTGAAGGCATCTTTTCTTTATTAAGTTTTCTTAATTTGCCCAATCAATATTTATTTTTGGTTTTCAAGAAGAAAAATCAAGAATATCCCTTCATCGACGAGCTTAAATTTGATAAAAGTTTCTCCTTTTGAACAGAGTAGAAGAAAAAGGTATTTTCTGCATCAATATGCCACTCTACCTTCCTCCATTTACTCAATGAGCATAAATATTAAATTTTATAAAATATCACATGCCTATATGTTCAACAGACTATCGATTTACTCTTCAGAGTTGCAGACTCCCGATGCAGTTTCCCGATTCTGCAGTTTGGCATTTCAATTGAAATTCTGCAATCACTTTTTCGCTTTACTGGCATCTCTCAATGCTTTCTCTAAGAGATAGGGACAGTGCGAGAGCGAGAACGAGAAAGGAGAAAGTGGAGAGGGTGAAAGCATTTCACTCGCTCACATATCAAATGTACGAAAATATTTTTAATCCGTTTAAGTGCCCGAAAGCGCTTGGGTCCAGGTCCTGGGGGCGGCTTGCTTTTGCCATTGGGCTTGGTATGGTTTGGGCCATTAAGTGAGCCAAGTGAATGCGGCGGAAATGAGCAACAATAGCAACAAGCAGATGGGTAATGCCATTGGCATCTAGTGCTGCCAAGAAAAGTTGGCCAAAAAAGGGTTTCAGTGTATGAGTGTCTTACAATTTGTTCTTTTTACTTTTGTCAAGCAAATTGTTAGAACTTTAAGGCCTATTCAAGGATATTACTCTAAATCTAACATTATAATTTCTATATAATTCTTATTTAGCTAGAAAGTAGCTAAAGTATCAGCACCGATTGGCATTGGCATTGGTGGGTCCATAAAGACGAGCAGCAGATTGAGATTGGGGGGGTTAAAGTAGCTGATAGCTGAGTGTGGACTTGGGAATTTACTGCCACGGCTGAGCCAGAATGCTGGCTGATTGCAAAGGATACTTGGCGACAATAAGCCAGCAGGGATACACGCACACACACGGCTCGTCGCCGAAAAGTTGAGCAGGATGGGAATGCAGGGATAATAGACAAATAACAGTTTCCCTGCGGCATTTAGCTGGCCCGCTCCACTCCATTTCTTTTCTTTTCCACCCATCCGAGCACTTTTCCACCCATCCAGGCATCCCGGAGTCACCCCGGCGAACACCCACTTCCTTTGTGTAATGAAGACAGCGCGTTTGCCATTTGCTAAGCCATACTTACGCTTGTTGACAATTGCTTGCCGGACAATGCTCCGGAGTCCGGAGTCCGAAGTCCTCAGTCCTCAGTCCGGAGTTAAGGGGAAAATATGCAAAGGACTGGACAATGGATAACCCGGGCGGCCACTTTTATGGGGGAATGCTTAGACTAGCTTTTTATTGCCGGTATTAATTGCTATTAGTCGAAGTTAATAAAGTTGATAAAGCAATTTGGCATTTGGCGTTTATTGTGCCAGGGGCTATGATTAGTGGTGGGCCATAAAAATAGCGTCAGGATTTGCATTAGCTTTAATCAGGACCCCAGGACCCACCGACCCGTACACAATTCAACGTCAACCAGCAGCACAATGCCTCAGCATTGGTCCTGTCGACGGCATGTGGCGTTGAAATTGCGATATTAGTTAATTTGGCTTTGAGCCCTTTGCTGGATCCGAATGAAATACGAGCTTGCATTGCGGTCTTCCAAGGAGGTAGCCCATTACAGAGGAAATAAAAATGTTTTCTATAATTAGATACTCATTATTTTAATGGTTTAAAATCTTTAATTTTAAATATAAGGCTACAGATTCTGTCTCAGTTTTATTTAATCCCCCTTAATCCACATACATTCCATAAAAGTAAAAGTTTTTTCCGAGTGCATTGGGTGGTAGCTTGGGTTTGGGGCAAAATGTTGCATACAAATCAGAGGCGCCGCCAGTGCTGTGCCACCTGCCAAGAAGCGTGTCGCTCAGCAGGTGTCAAAAGCGAATGTTGTCGACGTCGTTGGAGTTCCACAAAACCCCCAACCCAGCTGAAAGCTGAAGACCTCCTGGGAGCCCGGAACCCCGAACCCAGAGCCCGGGCCATTGGATGTTTAGCTCATTCACATGCGGTTAGTCAAAGCACCGACGTGACGCATCACCGCCAAACCAAAGCAAAATGCCAAGGAGCAGGCGAAATCCTTCGCCAGCAGGTGTAGATATGGGACCAGCATGAGTGAATGCAGCTCCACACCATGCCGGAGCAACTGCTGCCAGTCAGGTGGCTGACATTCTAGAGGCGTGGCGAATAATGAGCACTCATTTGCCATGAAAGCCAAGGATCCTTCAGCAGAAATTGGGCCACTACTTTTTTAGCCTGATGGAGTCTGAAAAGTTCAAGACCAGTTTTAAAATGAACTCTTTGAGATTTCCCTCTGGAGTCGTGGAAACTTATGATACTAGCTTGGCTCCAGTTCAGATATTTTTAAAGCCTCGCTTATCTCCGTTGCCGTGATAAACAATTTCTCTTAAATATGACAAAGTTTAAAAGCCAATTCAAACAGTTCAATGAACTGTGCCCACAGACAAGCCTGTCGGTAATAATCAACTAATTCCACTATCAAAATGGACTTAAAACTTTTCAGAACTCCAGCAACAGTATCGCCACACCATCAGCTGCAATCTCGACTTTAAGCCATGCCAAAACCCATTTAGTATGGCCAAAAATAAAAATAAAGGAAAAAAGGAGGAAGAGTGAGCAGCTCGCAAATCGAGTTGGTAGTTGACATGGAAAATGTCTGGGGTGTATGCCGAAAATATTCTTGTCAGAAAGTTAATGATTTATAATGCTGATGCCGGGCATTCGTCGTTCATGCTTTTGGGGTTGAGTTCAGTTCGGTTCGGTTCCATTGGGTTCAGTCATGCAAGGAGAAGCAAGAACCCCTCAAGCTAGCCAGAGAGCCAGCGAAGCGAGCAACTTGTACAAAAATTTTCACACTTGCCAGCGATTGGAAAAGCGACTAAAAAGTTTAGAGGATGCGATGGTGTTCGCTTTTTTTTCTCCTTTTGCCTTCACCTTGGGGACCTCTTTAAAGATTTACGATGCCGCATATGCCTACAGGTCAAAGCTTGGCCAATGAATGTGGGGGGTACTCTGTACTTTGTGGTGTGGTGTGCACAACAAAAGCACGCCAGACGTGGAAATTTGTTGCATTTCGCTTTGAAAGCAAACTGGCAATGACAGCAGCCGCAGACACAGACGATCCAAGGATGTTGCTGGTGTCTGTGGAGCGGCAATGTCACCGCAGACTTTGACATACATTTATTTTTATTATTTACGATGACTTAGCCACCACTCACATACACCCCCCTCATACACACACATCATCTCGGTCATGGCTGGCGTCTATCTGGAGTCTTTCATCTTTAATTCTTTAAATGGACTGGTGGGGTCGAAGGGGAATGGCTGTAAACGAGGCCGAAACTGAGACTAAAGGCTGCACAGGAAAAACATCTTAAAAGATGGATGAAACTTGGGATATGAACAATAATTTCTGAAACCTCTAAGATGAAGTAATCTTTATACATTTAAATATTATAACAAACATGAATAAGTCCTTGAGCTTTTAACAATAATTTCTTTGTCTTTTGAAAGGGTTTTTGGAAGTTTTCATTTATTACAATATTTTAGGAAAGACACAGCTCAAGGTCTATTTCTCACAGTGCTAGGCTGGAATCAGTTGCGTTTTTGCCACAATCTTGCCCCAGCTTGATAGCCTTTTGTCTGAGTGGCACATTTATGTGGCCGAGTGTACGTGTATGCGTTGGTGTCGTTTATCATGATTTACTTACCGCCACGCACTTCACATGTCAACACAATATTATCGCCCTCGAGCAATGGACCCACAGCGCCGGCGACATCGCGGCCAGAGGCATCGTACACGAGTATTTGATGTGGAGGAACTGCAGAGTAGAGTAGAGAAAGGACAAGTTCGTAATGCACATAAAAAAATATATGTATTGTCTATATATATCTTTAAACCAAAAAAACAAATAGCTAGAATTAAGGATCGCTTAACAAGAGAGGCTTTGAAAAAGTTCCTTAATCAAATTTAAAATTATAAATAATCTAGAATTTCTTTTAGTGTATAGCCTAGAGCTCCCTTTAATGGCAGTGCACTGGCTTTTTTGTACTCACCAATAACCGTTAAGTTAATTCTATGATTACGCGTGGGCGAGTTCTGAAAGTCGACACGACAGCGGTAGACCTGTTGAAGAAATCCAATAAAAAAATAGACAATAGCACAGCGCACTTTTCGGACGGTAATGGTCCAGTTTGAGGCACTTACGCCCTCGTCATCCAGCTGAATATTGTCCACAGATAACTTGGCCGGCTGCTGCCCGGTAACGAAATACGCACGTGGCCCAAATGAGTTGGTATCTGACCAGTACAGTGCCTTTTCGAAGGCCCGCCCCCGCACATCGAAGCTGCAAAACAGGAAAAAAGCAAAACCGGAAATGTTAAAAGTTGCCTAAGTAGTTCCTCTTCTCTTATCTCTATCTCCATGGCCACAGGGGAAATGCAAACAAAAAATGGTATATATATGTGAATAAGTAAATAAAGGGAAATAAAACCAAAATATTGACGATAAGTTGTGTCAGCAATTGCCTCCCAGAGCATTTCAGATGTCGCAGCAAAGGTCGTAAATTTTAATGCGTTGTGGAAGTTTGCCAGGGGGTGGTGTAACCGCGGGAGGGTGGTCGACCTTATGTTTTGAGCATAAAAAATGGCTCTCCTTTTGCTGGGGGAAACATTTTTCAATTCAATGTTTTCATGCGGTCTACCAATGGTATATTTTTCTCTCTCCTCAGCCTCAGATTAAAGTCTGAATTTTAAGAATTCCTTTAAAGGATTATTTTTCATCAAAAGGTATTTGATTTTGAGTCTTTTTTTTTGATTTTATTATCCTTTAGTTCTTTAGAAATAAATTACTATTTAAAGTTTCCGAAAAATACTGAAGCTAAATCTAAGTCCTAAGTGAAACATTTGTGGCAAAATGGCATCAAACAGACATCTTTTGTATTTTCAAGCTCATGCGCCACTTTTTATGGTATTACTTAGAAAGTCACATAGCAGAAAAAAATTAAATAAAAGCTTAAAAAAAATGGAATAAACTAAAACCTGATAGTTAGCACAGAAGCTGAATTGAGTTAAGCTGTATAAAGTCTGAAATATGGACTCTATTTTCCTGCATTTTAAACAGGCGACTTTAAAAACCCCCGAGATGCTACTAAATAAAGAAAAAAACTTATTGGCCCGCTCGGTAAGTCTTTTCTCGCCCAAACCATAAATATTGAATGGGAAAATTGTAAAAACGACACGCTTGAAAGTGGCTTGGGCCTGAAATTTCACGCGTCTACGAAATGACCCTTTTCCTGTACGCGATGACCCAAGGACCAGCGGCTCGACAAAACGAACCCCGAGCATAAATTTGCACGCAACTAATTTCTTCCGTTTCGCATTATTTTCGCAGCCCAGAACAGAGACCACCAAACGTTTGCAATTTTGCGCATTAAAAAGCCTGACGTGCTATCTTTGGCGCTTTTATTGTATTTGTTAATGTCCGTCTGAAGGCTTTGGACGCTTTTTCAGGGTTTGGTGGCACGCCCCCAGCCCTATTTCGCCCTTTTGCGACACGCCGTAAATGACTTGGCGGTAGCAAGGCTTTCAAACAATTCTTTCTCAAGGCACTGAGAGTAAAGTTTGGTTTTTGTTAGAAAAGTATTTGGTACATAGTATTTAATTTAAGTAGTTTCTCAAAAAATATGGGGTTTCTCTCAAAAACAATTTGGAGATTATCATACCAAATGATCTTACGCACAATTTCGCATAAAAAAATAGCGTATACGCCATGTTGACCAACAATATTTAATATTACGTATACGACCTGGTGGCCACTCACCCATTTACTATTTATTTCTGATGATTATTTTTCCTAATAAATTAAAAAAAAAATAGTATTTAAAATTAAATTTTACTTAAAAGCAATAAAATTGCGTATACGACATGGTGTTTCATTAAAGTTATCTGAAAAGTAAGATAAAATTTTAAAAAAATTTCATTTGGATATAAAACTATATGAGTCTAAAGACTTCTGATTAACTGCAGACTTCATTTTCTCTCAGTGTGGTTTCTAGTGACCCACACGCCAGCACATCGTCTTTGCACAGTCATCGCAAGTTGTGTCCTTTTGTTGCTTCCGCCGTCGTCGTGCAGTCTGTGGCGCTATCTATGGATCCTGTCCCCCATACCGCCTACCACCTACCACCCATCGCCTTTTGCCTGGTTCTGCCAGTGGTTGTGGCCCTGGTTTTGGCCCCGTCTCTCAGTTGCGGTTAGCGAAGCGGTTTGTCATTGTGCCGGCTGCCAGGGGACAATTCGCGGCCTGCGACCGGCCTCCGCCGTATTGTTTGCGCCTTTAAGTGGTTTTTTATCATTTTGCCGCTGACACAATTTATATCCGGTGCTCATATTTCTTATGCTTATCACAGGGGCTTCTTCCTCCTTCCTCACCGCATTTTTCCACGGTTTCAGTTCTTCGTTTTCCGCTACCAGCCACCATCTACCCGCTATCCATTTCTTCCTTTTCTTGTGTGCTGTGTCATGTGTTTGGCCGTTCCTCTAATTGTGTTCAAAGTGCAGTAAGCCATGCGGCGAATAAATTACGGTTTCTAAGCCTTGCCCAAAGCCAGGGCACGTTCCCTAATTAGCCTAATTAAATATATGCGCGAAAATGTAAACATAACAGAGAGTGTGCGGAGTGCGAGAACTTCTTGAGAAATTTCCTTTTAAAAACTGCGTTTCAGGGTCCGTGGCTCTTAGTCGCTTTTCTCGCTTTTAATTTTGCGCATTTGCAAACAATAGAGAAACGCCGAATAGTCAACAAAGGCAAAGGAGCCAAAGGACGAGAAGGAGGAAGGAGTCGCAATAGCGATAAGGCAAGGTGGACGAAATGAATTCCAGTTTCCCAGCAGGTTTCCTCCTTTCCTTTAAACACAGAACCGAATTTCAGAAAAGTTATCTTATCATTTTAATCCTATCTTTTGTAATTAAAATATTTTTCTAATAACTATTTTGCTAGGCCTTCTTCTATTTATCTCTTTGGGCCTTAAAATTTGTCTTAGTGTAACAAATTTGGGCAAAATATCCTGGTCTTAGCCCAGCTTGCCCTCTGTTGACGTTGTGTTTTCCTCTTGTTGGCCTTAGGAAACAATAATGCCAAGTTTGCACAATGAGCACAGCAGCGAAGGAACTGTTAAGGGATAGGAAGGGAGCCCGGCCAAAGGACAGAAAAACAGAAAAATAAACGCCAAATGCTCGGGCAGTAAAAATTGTAAAGCAGAAAAACAGAAAGCAAGAACAGCTAGCGAGTGGCAAGAAGCAAAATAAAAGTGGGCCAGGCCAAGAAAAGAAGACAACATTGTGGCAGTTGCAGAAATGTTGACTGTCGTCGAGGAGCAGGATAAGAGAGAAAGCGCCGAAGAGAAGCAGACTGGCCAGCTTTTGGAGAAAGGGCAGCAGAAGAAAGAAGGCATAGGAGACAAGTGGACGCGACCACGCGACGTCCGCTTGAAGAGTTTGCTTTGCACTCGAAAAAAAGTAGCTTAGTCTAACTATACCATATTAAAAATATTAAATCTTTAAAAAATAGTTCTTTTTGCAAATTATACAATTTTTAAAGGTTTTCTTTTAAAAGGTTATAAATTGAAAATTGTACCTTAATGTCTTAAAATATAAAGTTTTAGTGCATTTCTTTTCCATTCACATTGGCTTTCTTCCGCCCACTCATCCGCTTACTTTCCCTTTGTCTATGGCCTGCTTTTTTCCAACAATTAGTTGAGTTTTATTTATTTTGCGTTAATTGGTAGCACTTTATCTTCGGGCCTGAATGAATGAGCTGCGTCCTTTAAACAAATCCCCGAACGAGACAGACCTTGAACTGGTCTTTGCATGGGCTTGGTAATTACGTTTTTGGGGTATTTTTTTTTTCGCTAACTTGGTCATAAACTTTCGGCTCCTGTACGCCGCGTAGTCTTCCGTTGCCACTCAGGACGCGCAACCTGCTGCCCCGTTTCCCGCCCCGAAATCCAATATCAAAGCCAACTCCTCATATTGTCATTTAATGTTTCTCCTTTTTGTTCGGTCTTCAGTTTGTAACGCTTACAAAATCCTATTCAAAAAGATTGCAAAAGGGCTAAGCGGGGTAGGGACACAGCAGAGTTCGCCCAAAAAAAAATGGAATAAAATATAAAAAAGGGCCAAAAACTTTTGCACTCACAATATCCATTGAATAATTTTATGACAATATGTGTCAGAGCGTGTCGGTAGGTCGGGTGTGAGTGGGTGTGCGGTTCTGCCGGAATTTTCTGACAGTTTAAACAGATGCTGCCATCGTGGGAACACTTTTGGCCAGAATCTCGACTGGCTTATACTCATTTCAATTGATTGGCTAATTATGTTTTTGCTTTTATAGAAGGCTAATTTATGGAGTTTGCCAGATATATAAATCTTTAGAGGATAAATAGATAGTTTTGTTATTTCAACATATTGATATTTTTTCTTAAGTACTTCAGAGTTCTTGCTTTTATTTATTTTTTAGATCTATTTCAAATCAGTTTGTATTTTCCATCTCTACAGGGTACATAAGTGGCTAGATCCAACACAAGTAGTGCCTGACAAAAGGCAATAAACTATATGGGCATGAGGGTCTGATCTGCAAACGACCCGCTTTGGGCGTTTTATGCACGGACAAAATTAGACAGGTGAGAATAGGTGCTCTCTCGTAGCATACAATGTACACTAGGATATATTGTCTGGCAGCCCGTATCAAATTATGCATAAAGAAACCCTATCACAGGGACGAAATACAGGACAGCCAGCAACAATATTCACGCAGAAGCGCCAAAAAGTATGCTCCGTAACTCGACAAAACTGGCAACAAATTTAAAATTGGTTTCAACACACACACTAACAGAGTTACAGTCGTGCAAACAAAAGAAGCACAGCACTGCGAGAAATATGAAACAATAATAGCACCAAAAAAAGGGGCTGTTTACACGCCCCCATCTATATGGAGGCGCACATACACTTGCAAACATACACACACACACACACACAAGGACGCAGACAAAAGTATGCAAATGATTTTACTGCCCCTTTGTTTTTTCTTTATTTTTGCTTTTTGTTTTGCCGATGCCCAGCTCGTCCCTCTTTGTGTGCGGGTATTGGTGTTATTATGGAGCCATGCTGTGTAATATCTGTAAATTTCTTTTGTTATTGCCAACAACAGTTTTCCCACCACCATCACCACCACCCCGTCGCCTTTTGCAAGCCCCCTTGCCCCATTCCACCGAGCGGTGTTGACATTTGTTGGCATCGTTCCACACATTGTTGCCGCTGGTGTTGCTTTTTGTTTGGTTTTCGCTTCATCTTCTTCTTAACTTTTACTATATAATTTGTAGCATATGAATATATGAAGGACCTCCATTCCTAGACCGGGGGGAAAAAAAACGATGAGTGGAGGGGGGTCGAAGGGGTCCGCAAAAACAAAGAAACATAAACATCGTCGCCGTTGTGCTCGGTGGCCAAGTTCAAATTTATGCAGTGTCGCCCAATAAATTCCGCAATAAATTCAAAATAAAACTTTCATCTTGGGTGGCCTATTCGGTTGTTTTTGGTTATTCCTGAGAGTTGCCTCAGGTTGGGGTTTCAAGAGCGAAAAGCTATTTATTTATGGAGATAGAGCTATAAGAGGAGATATTTAAAAATATTAAAAATTATATTCAGGCCGGTCTTTAAAGCTTTATTGTATTCGAACAGATTACTCTTAATTTCAAGCATTTTCCAATTAGGACGAGTTCCTTCCGTCCAATTACCAAAATCAAAGTCATTAAAAGTTAATAATGACGTGGCAGTTGGAGGGAGCCGTCGCTTTCGAATGCAAAATTAGTGGGAAGATTGCAGCTGAAACCATTTCCGATTGGGTCCAAGTGGCGAGCCGACAAAGAAAATCCCAACGTTAGCATTTCTCAGTCGTCAGGGGAAACCAGAGCTTAGTGGTGGCGAAATCGATTTGCATGCGCCACTTGCATTTCCGCTATTACACACGCACACACCCCCACATTTAGTCGTCCGCCCACACAACTGCATATATACATACATTTGAAACTTAATTACAGTTTTAAATATCCCATCTAACCTGAAATTCGCGCAAAGTGCCGCTCTACAGCCGCTTTGCAGTCGTAAAAAGCCCCGAAAATGCACTCGACTTAATTGCCTTTGGCCGACGACTTTTGGGTGTCCTTCTCAGTGCACTGAGAGAAAAAGGATCTTTCTTATATATGAATTAAATACTAATACTTTATAATATCATATAAGGTTTTAAAACAATTGGTTCCTCATAATAAATGGAGATTTTAATCTAAACATCCTCTGTTAATTTTTTTAATTTTTTTAATTTTTAGTGTAATTCTATCCAGTTCCTTGCCGTGATTCCGCCATCTTCAGTTTCCGCTGGCGTTGGCCTTTATTGCCAACCATTTTGAATACCATTTTGTGGTTTATTACTTTTGTGGCAGACCAATGCCGGCTCTCAAGCAGCCACACTCACACGAGGCTCAACCTCTGCAAAGTGAATGCACTTTCGATTGCCAACCGTTTGGCCATTGCTCTTGATTTTCCCCACTTTACCCTCTCGCCCGGTGGATCTGTATTTATAGCGCGGTGGCCGCGGGCCGGCGATTATGGCATTTAGCTGGCACGGGGATTATCCCGCTTTTGACAGACGCTTCCAGACCAGCTCCCAGCACGGAAACGAACAGAACACTTCTGGACAGACCAATCCAATCCGACCCGATGCTCGCAGCGAATTTCATTATTCATGACGCGGATCCTTGGCAGGCAGGCAGCCAGTCAGGTGAGCTTTAAAAATCAATTAACCTTGATTGTGGCCCAGGCCCAAAGCCCATTGTAGGCACTTCAATATTAAAGCAAGGTGTATCCAGGGGCGTATTCGCTCTCGATAGACCAAGCAGAGATTAAGGAAAGCACTTACAGTTTCGACAATCAATAAATACACAATTTTTAGTGGAGGATAATCCCAGTAAATCAAAGAGACTTGAAGTTGGAGGCTACGTACATATGTTAGTCTTAAAATAACTATTGAAATTGAATCACTTGAATCTGTAAGGTCTTTAATAATTGCAAAAGTATCTTAATAACCTTAAAGTTTTCTTGATGAAGTTGTTTTAAGTTTCTTGTTTATTTTTCATATTAATATTGCTTCATCTTCGGAGATTCCCAGCGTGATTCCCAGTCGCTAGAGATATTGCGACTGCACTTTTCTTATTTGCTTTTTTGTATCGATTCTGCCATTGCCGATGCCAATGCCATTTCCTTTTGCTTTTTGTTTATTATGTAGGCTTTGCGGGCAGCATCGATGGGTGGCAGGTGGGCGGTGGGTGGCTTGGGCGGTATAGGTTGACTGCCATGGTTGCCATTGCCATTGATGGCCTGCAATATTGAACGTGACAGTTGGCCCGTCGACCCGGGGAGCTCATATTGTCCCTGTCTTTCCCAGAATTTTTTTTTTTTTTTTTGCCTCGTTACAGGTGGCTGTCATGGCAAATGTTAATTTTAATAATGGAGGGCCAAGCAACCTTCGAAGCCCCGCCGACCCAACGCCGACCCGCTTTTGTCTTTATATCGTGCACGATTCATAACAAATAAATGTATAAAAATCTTATGAAAATCGCATTTCAAGGGTCAAAGTCAGCAGAAACAAATCCCAGCGAGCAATCCGAGCCATAAAAATGAACCCGAAAACCCGACCCAGAAATAGCCTAACCCTAGCAACAACAAGAATATATGTACAAATACAAAAACTGTCCGATTTGGGGCGGTCAAACAACAAAGCAAAAGTTAACATTATAATTTTTAATATTTTTGCTTTTAGCCTCCTGGGCAGGACATCGTTTTGTTGCCCCTTCAGCTTATTCGGTTGCCGTTGGTGTTGGCTATAGCGATGGCGTTAGCGTTGGCGTTGGCGTTGGCGAAGCTTTTGCCTTTGTAACTGGGTGTAAAGCTGTCAAATGCAGGAGAGCTCCTAGACAGGACTTTACACAGGATGTTTGTGTATTTTTTTCGGTGTGTGTGTGTATAAGAGTGTGTGTTTGTGTGTAAGGACTTGTGTGAGTTTAGGTGAGACTGCCAGCTGTGACGTGCCTTTGGAAATGTTGCAAAGCCTGCCTCACAAAAAAGGATAAAGACACTAAGCCAAAAGACCTTGATTATAGCATGATTTTAAAAAAGAATTTTTAATTAAATAAATTCTGCAAGTTTTCCAACAAATTTATTAAGATTTTTTATATATTTCAAGGAGAATAAGTAGAATACACTTTTTGATTTTTAAGTTAATTTTTTCCTGTGCAGGCATAACTATGAAGGACCTTGGGGGATCCCTTTTTGTGTCCCCTTGGCCTCAATGTCTCCCTTTCCGTCCTTCACATGCTGCTTTCAATTTCGGCGCCTTTTCGGTTTTAGCTTTTGGTTTTGATTCTTTTCTAAGCCCCATTCTGCTCTAAAACCCCCAGTTCTCCCGCTTCATATCCTTCGATTTCACGCAGCGCTGGCAATTTTACGCCAGAGTCCTGGCTTGAGCTTTTCCCATAGTATCCTGGTATCCTGCCAGCCTGTTGTGCAGCTGTTGCTGTTGTTCTTGCTTCCACTCTTGTTATTTATTTGCTTAAAGTCTGTAGCAATTCTTATTTTTCGTACTTGTGTTCGGTGAATTGTCCCCAGAACGGAAATCGAATTCGAATCACTTTCGGATATATTTGGTTATAAAGTCGGAAATTTTGGCAGCATTATTGTTTTTCACATTTTTCTAGTTTTCCGTCCAAACACACACTCACCTCCTTTTCCGCTTTTCCGTTTTTTCCCTCTCTAGTTCTATCGGTTTCCTCCTCATCTTTTTCTCCTTTGTCTGGCCTGAAATTTATTGCTTCCAATTGAGTGCACGAAACGGCAACAACAACATCAACAAGGATCAGAGTCCTGCCAGTGGGACTCGTGAGCATTTCGCGCTCGCCCTTGAGATACACGTGCGTTCGTATCCATGTCCTGTCGTTGTCTATGTCCGTATGCCCCCGAAAATCACCCATCCCTGCTGCCACATTCGTCCACCCGCTGGTAACATATTGAAAAGGAAGCACATGTAAGCAAAATTGACAAGGCTAAAGGATATCGATGTCTGCTTATAATGTGCAACATATTAAACCTAAGCACACGTTCGCCGAGCCCGCTCTATAAATAACAGCAGCAGGACTTTCACGATATTAGGGAGGAGTAGCGGAGAACTGTCTCCCCATCCGCCTGTCCCGCAGCTTTGGCCCATAATCAAAGTTGCCGCCAAAACAGTTTTCACTTTGGATGCCATTATTTTGCTGCCCCCGACTCTCGCCTCTCGCCAGCCCGGATGTCCTTTGCCTCGAGCCCTGCGGCTAATATATGAGTCCATGTCGCCCTGTTTGGCCTGCCTGGCATGCCGTTGCTTTGTTTTGCTTTGACCTAGTCCTGGAGCATGTCCTGGGCCAAGTTCCAGGACTAGGCATATGCGACAACTACACGTTTAATAAAAATGTAATTTTTTATTGAATATTTGTTCTTTCTTAAAGTAATTAAGACCGAAGACCTTTTAAAGCATTTTTTAACCAGAATCATGTTTTTGACTGACAATTAAATTTAATTAGAATCTTTATCTAGGCATTGATTTTTCTTTGAGTGTACTTTCTACTCGAACCCACTACAGTTGAGTTGATATTGATGATGTTATTAAAATAATAAATTATTTGAAAATTATGAACTGCTGCCATTTCTCATGAAGCTGTCGGGTCGAATGAGTGGAGTGGTGGAAGGAGTTGCCACTGGAGGTGCTTATAAATCAAAAGGTGGCCAAAAGGACCTCGGTGGGTTGGTCTCTCAATAGTAGGGCGGAACTTCTGTCAACCGCACAAAAGCACATGCATATACACACGGACAGATTCACATTCTCGAGACCGAAATCTCAAAGAGACTATAAAATTAGCAAGTGCCAGCTAACCTGAATTCAAATTTGGTTGCTTTGGAAAAAGGGGCCAGCATGCTTACCTGTATAGTGGCTTTCCGGCACTTTCGCGGAACCAGAGCACCATGTACACCCGATCGTCCTTCGCCTCCGGCTCGATGTCGCATGGCAAGGATGCGGTACGTCCCAAAACGGCTTCTACGGCTACTGTGGAAACTGGAAAAAAAAATTAAGAAATTTTAATCAAAAATTGTTTAGGGAATTTATGGTTTTATCTGTTTTTTTTTTTTTAATTTTATTAAAAATTCATTGAATTCATCACAATATTTTAAGAATCAATCCTGATCCCTTTTATCTCAAATTAAAAACCTCCTGAAATAAAGAAAAGTCCTTTTTCCCTTGGTGTGTCATTACCATTACCACGTAATGCAATTGAATAAAACGACAGGTGGGGGCTTTTTTGAAATGTCATGACAAAACTATTGCCAAAGTCATTAACACAATATGAAAATGTCCTTTTTGCTCTGGGCCGGGCTGAGCTTTTAGGGTGTTGCCGCAATTACTTGAACTCGGCTCCGCTGAATCCTTCGACTTCGTTGACTCCTTCGTCGATTTTCTACAAATGTCAACAAAACGGTGCCTTTTAAGTGTCACGTTGAGTTCAGTTGAGCTGAGTTTCTCGGCCCAGAACGCGGAGCACGCAAGGCAACAACCGCACGACAGGCAGCCAACCAAACACCCACTCAGCCGTTGAGCCACCCGGCCAAGTGGAACAAACCACCCACGGCTCACACAACCCCGGTCACACAACCCCACCCAGATCCTTCTAACCGCAATAGCCGCTGACGTTCATCGTTGTAGTCGCATAATCACAACCAAGTACGTGAGTGGGAATATTAATGCCAAATTGAAGGCAACGACAACGATGACGTCGACAATGGCTATGGCTATGAAGACGAGAATGAGGACGAGGATGGCCGGCTGCGATTTCACGGCGGCCTCATCTTTTGCATTTAAACTGCCAATTGATGTCACTGGAAATAGATAAATGCTAAGGGCGGCGCCGTTGCTTCCGGGTGGCTAAAAATCATTCCCATTTTCGTTTATTTTTGTTATTCCCAATCGAGTCCAATCCAAAGTTTCCCCTCCATCCAATCCAATCCAGGCAAATGACAATAGATTAAAGTTGGCTGGCCGGCTTCCGTCTTGTCAGAGTGGCGTTAAAGCCCCTAATTGTCCTTTGGCGTGAGGAGGATCCAAGGGTCTGCGATGGGGGCGGGGTGTTTGCTCAGTTTTGTCGTCACAAGTCGTAAATTAGTGAGAGAAACATGAACTGTAAATGCATATCCATCAGTCTCTCCAATGAATAATACATTAATGGCCTTCAAAGTGTTGTGAATGTTTAAATAGACCTCCAGGAAGTGTGACGAACTTGAGGGCTTGAGATTATGAATGACGAAACATAAAATGTTGAAAATCTTCGCACCTAATGTGCTGGTTTATGACCAATAAAATATTTTGCATACCTCTCAAAAAACGGTTGCATAAATTTAAATATCCAACGAATTCCCCAAGCAAATCAAGAAATAAGAAATGTTTGCCACCGATTGACGTTTGCGAATCAATTTCCATGTGTGTGCCTGAGTGAGTTGGTGGTTGGGCGTGTTCGATAAAAATTGAAAATTCAATTGCTCACCTGTCCAGCTGTCAAAACCCTGAAACTCGAACACATCCATCATGAACCTATTTTACAGCCTGATGCTCATTAATACCCAAAAGGGAGCCTCACAATCATGTTACGCGTAATTTAATTTCTGCAGCCGGCAAACGAGGGAAAATCGAGTGAAAGGAATAAAAATGTGCGCGGGGGTGGCTAGAGGGCGGTAGGGCTTTTCTCAGCTTGCAGACGATGCCAAAAATTGTTGACATTTATTTAATATGCGCACGTTTTATAGAAAAGCAATTCCCAGTCGGATAATTTATGGCACACTACAGAAATTTGCACATGAAAACGCTGGCCCCCCTTAGGAGCTTCCCTCTCATCTCATCCAAATATGCGCCCACGCCGAAGGACTGACAAACAGACAGAGCGGACAGACTGGCGGACAGACGGACAATCAAACTCACAAATATATACATCGTGTATATGTGTCGGGCTACATGCCGCCATTGTATTGGTGTGTGGGCTGTCGCCGAACATGGTAGCAATTTTCGTGCGTTTGTAATTCCCATGTAAGATGTCAAATGCTCGACGAGCAGACAGAGTTAGGCCCTCTATCAGTTGGCTGAAGGCTGCTCTACACAGGGAGAAAATTGGGTCATAATAGGATTAGTATAAAATGGCTAGACGACTAGTATTATCAGACTAGACTAGAAGACTTATGGCTGTCAAAGTATTTAAGAAAAAGGTAAAAAAGCAATGTAATTGTTATTTCCGTTTTAATGTTTTTTAAATTAACTTTGAAATTAATATTAAAATTTGAATACTATTTTCAGTAGTATAATATAAAGATTAAAGTATGAGGAATATAAATTATTAAAAAATATAAAAATAGGTATGCAGAATTCTAGGAATATTTATTTATTCAATTTATTTAAAAATGTTCTTCCCTGTGCTCTAGTCCTGTTCCTGTCACTGACAGTAAGTCCCAGAGGCGGGCGGGATGCTGCAGCAAATTGACATAATTTGCGATATGCGCCTCCAGCACCGCCTCCCTCATCTCGGAGACCTCTCCCGAGCCCCCAAATCCTAGGCAGCTCGTCAGCGTCGCGCAAGCGTAAGTGTGTAATGAGTGATTTGCCCGTGGGGCACACATGGGAATCGAGGGCAGATGGATAGAACGGCTAGCAGGATGGGCTGGGTGCTTCCACCATTCAAAGGCCACGGAATCAGGCAGCCAAAACCAACTGGCTGTCCTGGATTTTGGACAGAGTGGCGCGTGCTGCGGCTTAGGTGGCAAGCTGCTTCTGAGGTCACCGCTTTGGGTAGCCACAAGCGGCAACAGTTCAGTTCAGATAGACAAATGTCACTCCATTCACTCGCGTGTATCTGTGTATCTGTGGATGCGTATCTGCAAATGTTGAGCGAGTGTGCTCGTGCATACGGGAAAATGGGTCAACTTGGGATTATTAGTGCTAATCGAAGGTAATCACTGCTTTTTTGAAACTGCCTCAAGAGACAGGTGGATTTTAATCCCTTTTGTTTATCTGAGATGACAATTTATTCTCTTGACTTGATTGTCAAGGGAAATTAATAAGCTTATGCAAACACACTTGAAGGATAATCAATGACAGTAACTGAAGTAGCGTACAGAAAACTATTTGTTAAAATATAATTGGCTATAATACCCATAAGATGCCTGAAGCCAAATGGCAAATGCAATGTCCTAGATGTCAATAAATGTCTATTTAATTTTATGAAACACAAACCTATTTGTAACCTGTATTAAATTTTCATGTACATTTTCGTCAAAACTAAGAGTACTTGTCAAATGAGAAAAATAGCTTTCTAATGGCTCTTTTTTCCTACTCATGCTGATCCAATATTTTTTGCCATTCTGCAACCTTTACCTACTTTAACGACATTGCACGCACACGAGCATGCTGAAAGCAAAACACCAAAGCAAACATATTAGCCAGGGAATGGGTATTTCCTGCTGATTTCCGCTGGATTCTATATGGTACGGTTGCGTTTTTTTCCTGCGTTACCCAGTGTCATTTTACTTTTTATGCTGGCTAAAGTAGAAAACAAACACAAATTTCATTCTGCTGCAGGCTCCATTTCCCTTCCTTCCCGTCTCTACACTTTTTTTTTATGAAAATTGCCAACAGCTAGGCAACACATACTTAGCACGCACCAAGGCAAACACACAGATACTTTGAAACAGAGATACAGCCACACGCTGGCACACTTACACACACTGGCGCCGGTCTGGCAGGACGCGTCGTTCAGCGCACTTGGGTTATGCACATAGTATAGTATTTATATTTATATAGAAAAGTCGCCGTTGCCATCTTTCCTATAAAAACGAAAGAAGCTGTGAAACTTATGCAAATTGCATTTCAGTGTCTGTGCAAAAGCTCGACACAAAACACAGCGAAGCGAAGAGGCGTGAGGAGTGGGGCAGCTCCAGCGCCTAAAAGTATGCAATGCTAACGCGCCGCGCTCCAAAAAGTTGTAGAAAATGCGCATAATGAAATCCATGGCAGCGACAGCATCTCTGCACTTGGATAAATGAAACAGTACAAAAAATATTAAAATTAAAATAAAGGGAAGCAAGTGCCAAAGATTTTTTTGAAAAATTAGAAGCCTAGTTTATTAATTTTTTTTAATAGGAAGGAAGTTAGATATCTTTGATTGGTTTCTCTTGAAATACTACAGGAAGAAGAAATATTTCAAACCTTATACGATTATTAAAATAAGATAATTTTCAAGTGTAGAAGAGGCAGCTTCTTAGCTTAACTTGACTTGGACTTGCTTGCCTTTTTTCACGTTCCACTTTCGCGGAAACGCTTTTGCTTTGGCTTATACATCTCCTTCGTCCTTTACTTGTATTCGCGGGTGTGTGTGAGTGTGTATGACTAAGTGAGTGTATTTGTTGTTCTTGTTGTTGTTTAAGGGAGCGCCAAAGTTTTTCTTCTCGTTTCACGCTACAACCGCAAGGATGCCAACGACAACGACTCCTGAGCATGGTAATTTCTGCAGGTCCTGGCCGGGCTGCGAGTGTGTGACTGTGTGTGTGTGCACTTAACTGTAGACACTTGTAAAAATAGTGTGCTCCTGCAAAGGCAGCCACTGGAGATGTCGACCCTGGCCGAAAGCTAAAGCTGAAGCTAAAGCAGGTCACGTGTGGCATAAACGTGCCATTGCGTCAGTCGCTGCTGCTGCGGCTGCTTTTGCCTCTGCTGTTGCATTGTTATTGTTGTCTTGGGTGTAGGAAAATTCCTTAAATAAATACATATGACGTGTCTTTGCATCTGTGTATGTGTGTTCGCGTCTTTCACGGTACTCGCTCGTATGTGTTTGTGTAATTGAGATGAAAGTTAATGGGCAGCATAGCATACTTTCGAGCGCCCAAATCGCAAGCTAACAAAATGCCAGACAATGCCAATGTATATATGTGTGTGTGTGGATATGTATATGAGAGTGTATCTGTATGTTTGTGAAAGTGAATGCCACTAAAAGCAACAAGAACAGCACAGTGGCATTGTTGTTGCCACTGCTGTAGTGCCTAAGTGGCACAAGGTAAAGTCGCATTGCCGCAGCCTCAGATTTCAGCCTCAGGTGAGCGGCGCCAGTGCCACGCCCTCGTTTTGTTTGCGGGCCTCCTCGCTTACGATTGCGTGTGTGTGTTTGTTTGTGTGTGTGTGCATCTGGGTGTTTGCACTATTTGCACTAATTTAGTTGAAAAACAAACAAAGTCCTTTGTTCAATTTTCGCCTTTCAGATTGAAGTAGTGCTGAGAATGGCGGAGAGAAAAAGATACTCACACTTCTAAAAATAAGGATTCCTTTCAAAGGCCATAATTTAAAAATTATTTTTTCAATTACGATAGATAAATAACCATCATGACAAATTTTATTAAAATATTTCATCAATTTTATTATAAAATATCTAATATACATATGTTAATTGCAGTGCATTTGAGTGTCGACTATAAGATTCTTGGCCAAAGGCAGCATTTGTGATTCAACTTAGTGAACTGAAAAAAAAACACGCCTTATAACAAGAACAGCAGCCCAGTGGCAAGTGTTAACCTATTTTTCGCTTACATTTTACAAACACTTTCATTCCGTAATTAGCAAAGTAATCTTGCTGTGCTTAAATGTAGCATGCTTTGCAATCATGTGCGCTTCATTGACCGAATATGTATGTTTCTTTTTGCAAAAGTAGCATGGCAATTAGCATGTCAATTGACGGAGCTAAATCAACAAACAGAAATTCAATTTCGTCATGATAAATAAAATACCAGGGCCAAGACCAATCGTGACAGTCATGATAGCAGTCACAAGCAAAAACATTCGCTACTAAAAGTGGGGCAATATCAAATACTGTTTGTATCCAGTAATAGAAATTTTATGGAGTGTTTAATGTTGGAAGGAAACTAAACTAGACCTGTCTTAATACTACTTAATTTCATCTGAATACTTCGGCTTTCATTCTAAAACCCTACTTAAAATCGTAGCTGTTTTTTAGACATGTTTTTTATAAAACAATATCAGTAATAGCAACTCTCCCAGGGTATCCCTATGTTGATGCCACTATGCCTTCACTCATAGACAATAGAACTCTTAGTTTTGTTTCTTTGTGGCCCCGTAAAACAACGAAAGAAATAACAAACTGACAAGTAGGCACGCTGCCTGTCTCCATTATGGTATTATTGACCTTCGGCCTGGTTGACTGGCATTGTCGCAGATGAGTGGGCGATGGGTTATTGATTTCCCTTGCCAGCACTCAGCAATCGATATTTGAATATGGGTGGGTGTAAGTGCTTAAAGCCCTAGGTGGCTCAGTGTCTTTAAAGGAAAAGAAATTTCCCACCGTTCGTTTCTGGTTTCGCATTACACAGGATGCCAGGCTCGGTGGTCGAAAGGTCGAGGGCTAACCTGAGGCATGTGAATCAACTGGCAGGAGTTCGGATGCTGACCACATCTGAACAGTGACCTCTCAGTTGGACTCGACTCGACTCTATCCCCTTTGGCCCCTGGCCTTGTGTAGTCTGATGCCTTGGATGCC